TGTGAAGAACTTCTTAAAAACATAATGAATTTCCTGGAAAAAAAGATTCAGCTCCCTCATAAAGGGAAACAAATGCAGCTTATAGTTTTAAGGCTAACATAGTGATATTTTAATTGTACTATATTAATACAAAAAAATAATGATTTGATAATACCTTGTACTTTTCCACCTTGAAAATATCTACACCTGTCAAAGTTTGAATAGTCCTATGAAAAAGCCCTTTGAAAAGGAACCATAGATAGATGTAAAACCCCATACTCCTGTAACAGAAGTGGCTCACACATTTCCAGCCTTCCCTGAAAGCCTTTCCTTTCTTAAGTGGTTGAGATAGTGACTCAATATGTCTCATTAAAATATAAATTTAAATAGTAGAAAAATGCAAATATTTCTTGCACTGAGAACAAGGTGGGGTGGCAAAGCAATGACAGCACCTCCAGTGTGCCACTTGGGCACTTTGGAAGGACTGTCACTAGCCCTCAACTTGGAGATCACAAAAAGTCATCTCTGGGGGGGAAGGTGGTGGGGGGGTTTGTGGAGCTACAGCAAAGACAAAAAAAAGCTCACAGTTGTGGCAGGAGACACCAAACCAGCAAAAATTGCCCCACTGTTCCACTTGAGCATTAGTAGGGAAGCTGAGATTGGTGGTAGTCTGTGCTACCTCAACAAAAGCAGCAAGAATTGTTTGCTCTGTGAATTCTCTGGAATAAATGTTTCCATGGAGCCTTAAATGGAGGCTCTTGGTAGGCTCCTTATCTCTGATCATGCAATTAGTGTGTGTACGTGTACACACACAATTTTAGTTGCTGATTTCATTGGAGTTGCATATGCAAAATTCACCATAAATGTTGCTGTTGTAGGAAGAGATGAACATTTTTTTGTCATATGTTCCTCCCTAAGTGGAGTTGTAATGTTCTCCTTACCAGATATATTTGTAGATATCATAGAAACATGTCTTTTTATTCTTTGGCGGCATCTGGAACATTATCTGCTGCGCTGTACACCTGCAGATTCCCAAGATTCTCTTTTGGCATCTAGGACTCCACTGAAAAGCAGAAGATTGCAAGGTCATTTTCCCTTAAAGTTCTTGGATTTTTTCCATTTTGCTGTAGTAGTTTAAAAAAAAAACCAACAGATTATGTCAGTGTGCTTAAGAATGCTTTTTTTAAGTTTGTATATATATTTTTAGAAAGTTTTTTACTTGGCAAAGGTCCAGCTTTGCTTTGGTTCAAGCCTTCTGTGGTTAACTGCAGCTCAGTACTGTAGCACAATAGTGTAGGAAAAGAAAAGCAACCCCCCCCCCCCCCCCCCCCCCAAATCTGGGTTTGCCCAAGTACCACAGCCTCACCACAATGGTACAGTTTTAAATGTATGCAGTCCTATACATAGTTCTTCATAAGTATGCTGGGCCCTAATGAATTAATTGGGATTTACTTCTAGGTAAATGATTGCAACCTTAGTTCTGTACAAACAACACGGTAAATAAAACTAGTACTTACGAGAGCCGGAGAGATGCAAACTCTGATATCATGGGATACATAGTTCTTAGTTCTTGCCATCTAAGAAATGGGGAGAACTTGATTGAAATAGAACCACAAATTTTGTTTAAAAAATTTGGCAAAGAAAGGCTTGCTGGAGGCAGGAGAAACTGTTCCCCCCCCCATTTTTCTCTCTACCTCAGCCTTCATATCTCTGCGTGCACATGAGCTAGCAGAAACCCAGGAGAGGGTTCTACTAAGCTAAAGGGTAACAGGTTACTCATCCCAGTTTTGCCTGGAAAAAGTACATCTCTCTCTCCCTGCCTCTAGTCGTCTTGTATGCTAAGGGAGGGCAACCTGTAGTCCTCCAGGTGTTTTGGTTTACAACTCCCATCAACCTTTACCACTAGCTTTGCTAGCTACAGATGATTGGAGTTGTATACCAGCACAGCTGGAGGGCCACAAATTGTCCCCCCACCCTCATTGTATAGGTTGCTACAAACCTAGAGGACAGCCTTGCTGACATAAAGAAATGGATAGCCCAGATTCTTAAGTACATTTTATTGAAACATTAAGATGAGAAAATGATACTGTTAAAAAGGGGTAATTATGGACATTGTACAGTGGGATTTTTAGTTTACAGTTACACATTTTTGAAGTTTGTTTTATACTTAAACATAACTATGAGCATTTTTAATTCCAAGATTCCTTCAGGCCCGAGCCAATCTTTGATTTTAGAAGTGGACTGAGCCGAGTGAGCCAACTTGATTTAGACCAGGTAAAATTCTTCAGTCTATTCCAGTTACATAGCTTTTGGGTTGAAGTATTATTTGTACTTTTAAAGTTGTTGCATGTACAGTGTCTAGAAAATCACTAGTTAACTAACCACAAAATGTTTTGTATTGCATGGTCACTAAATAACAGTACACCTTCACATGTTAAATATTACTGCTAGAACTATACCTGCACATTTCATATAATGTGTGCTTGACACTGAGAACAGCTGGGAGGAAGAAATGATCCCATGCTTTTTTGTTTCTTTTGAACCCTAACATTTACACTTTCTTGAATGTGGATTGTGATACTCAGTTTGGAGAAATTTAGATTTTTATTTTATGTATATTTCTTAAAATGGTTACTGGAGCAATACTGTGCTGACTAAGGAATGTTGATAGTGGCAGGACTTTGATTTTTCTAAACATAGGGTTATAGCCTAAAATTATTGTGTTAAAACTACCAAAAATAAAGACCTCTAAAGGACTTCTCCAATTTGGCGCCATTCTCATGTGTTGTACTACAGCTCCCATAATCTCCAATCAGATGTAGTATTTAATCTTAATTTGGTAGATTTAAATAACCTTTTTCCATCATGGAACTCAGTGTGGTATACATGACTTCAGACCTACCTAACTTCACCAAAATGACTATTATGTGCTCTCACTCTTCTCATCTTATCCAAGTTGCATCTATTTGGGAAAAAATGTGAATAATTTCTAACATGGGCTGGTAGAACATAAATTGTATTAGCAATTATAACTTAAATTGTTACAGAAGATAAGTGATTATATTGCTCTTTCTGCTTATACAGTATTTAGAAAACTATTTTAATAAGTGTATTTTAAGTTGTTGTATTACATTGATACCCTGCCTTTCTTGTGACGAACCCAAGAAAGCTTTCAAAGTTTTCCAACTTTCCATTTTATCCTCAAACAACAGACGTGTAAGATAGGTTAGGCTGAGTGTCTGTGACTGGCCCAAAGTCACCCAGTGAGCTGCATGACCAATCTCTTAAGTACCCAGCCAGCAATAACCACGACACCATGCTAATTCTATTTCAAGTTTGTAATTAGAAATGTTTATTCAATACACTTGAGTACCACTATTCCACAAATGAGAAAACTGTTGTTTCAGATATGAAACAATATTTCTACAAAATAAGAAAAGGGTTTCTTTAAAAAAAAGTTACACAAGTTTTTTCTCTTCTCTCTTCTTAAGCTGCAGATTGAGGCCACCAATAATTTTGGGGAATCATTGCAGAAGAAGCTCCTTGATATTGAAAGCCTATATTCTAAGGTCCGGTCACGCTATACTTTCATTCAAGCGCTTGTTAGACGTATTCGGGGTTTACTAAGGATATCAAGAACCTGAAGACTATAATCGCTTGTGCCTCACTGAAATTTTTGAACATATATCATTTTCTAAATTATGGTCAAAATTATTTTGCTATATTTTTTCATTACAATAGTAAATCAACTTTGTGTACTCTTCTTTTTACCAAGAAGGAAAAAAATAAAAAGTTTTTAAAACAATACTGTACTTGACAAACTACACATCAAAGTTGACAGGTTGCTGTAGTTGATCAAAGATCAGATGTCTACTAGTCCTTTTTTTACAGTTACAAATCCACCTGCAACTTGCAACAATAAATCCACTTCAGAACTAGACATTGTTTTTCTTCCTTGTCTTCTCTTGCTTCTTTCAAAAGAGAAATAGAGTGATCTATAATATGAGGAACGTCAAACCAATGTACCCTGGGTAATCTAGACTTCTCTAGAGGTTTTGTTTCTATTTTATGTATTCCTTTTAAGATTGCTTCATTCAACAGTGACGTGTTCAACATTAAAATCTTTACTAATACCAAACTTTTATCTTCATGTCACTCTATCCCTGTTTACTAAAAGGCAACGACGACTTCATTGCTTCCACATGTGTGCAATCCTGACCATGTTTGGATGGGAAAAAGCCCTGAGACTCAGTATTCCCCAGTGTGTCTAAATAATGTATAGGATTGTGTCCATGGATGAGCTTTGATAAATTTCCAGCAGAAGAGTACTGTAACTTCTGAGGATCAGCCTTAGCAACTACTCTTCTGTGTATCTATGCTTTAATCACATGCAAGAATAATGATGGACCTTATTTGGCCCAAGTAAATTAGGCCTCGGGCTGTTAAGATTGCTGATTTGTTATAACCAGTATCCTTAACTGAATCTGGAAGTCAAGAGAGAAGCTAATACGTGGAACACAGTTCTTTGCCCCAATAGTGCCTACTCTGTGTTTACAAATATATGTGAAGCGGTATGTTGTGTTGAAGCTTTCAACAGAGTTACGTCTGAGGGTCAAAGGTTAAACAGCATCTATGGCCGTATCAGCGCTCCTGCTCTTATTACAGTCCACGAGAAGCTCACGAAGTTTTCCTCCAGCTACTCAGTTTCCGCGCTTTCGGTAGCAGCACGCGGCTTGCAGAATTTAGGCAGCCCCGCCCATCTATCCACTTTCTCCCAATGAAGGAAGCGGAGGCCGATTGCAGCGCACACTCGAACAGCAGATTCGGTACAACCATTTTCAAGCTGTGCGGAGCGCTTTTCGGGTCTTGGTTTTGTGATTCTGTCGAGGGATCTCACTCGAGTTTTCTTCGCCACCGGTGGAGCGGCGGCTACTGAATTCTTTTCACTCGGGGGGGAACTTGTTCGTGTCGAAAGCGCGAAGCAGAGACGCGCGCCTCTTGTTCGCTGGAGGCACGCAGGGGGCGTGGCTGAGGGACGCGGCCGACGTGGAACCAGCCTTGCCGCGATTTCCGGGTTAACGGCGGCGGCGGAGGCGCAGGAGGGGGCTGCGTGGTTTCTCGGAGGGAGAAGCGACACATAAACTCCGCTGCGATGGGTGAGGAAAGGGACAAGGGCGGGCGGCTGGCTGCGGGCGGGAGGGCGAGCGAGCGAGGCGTAGCTAGAGGCGCGGAGACGCAGGCGAACAATAGGTCTCCCAGAAACGGTGGGGGGTGCCGGGGAGAGAAGCGGCTCTGTCGCGGAGTTTCTCTCTCTGCCTCGGGAGAGATCCGAGGGGGGGCTTGCGCCGGGGTAGTCACCGAGGCCTTAGGGTCGTTTGCACAGCCTCTCTGCCTTTGCCGTTCGAGAGCGGCGGCTCTCTCAGGCTGGAAAGAGAAATCGAGAAAGGGGAAATACTACCCGCAGCTTGTGGGGGTGTGGACAAGCTGGAAGAGAGAGACGTCCGTGAGGTCTTCCTCCTGCGAGTTTCCTGCCGTGTGACGTGCACGTGCTCTGGCCCGCTGCGCGGAAGCCCAAGCCGTAGATCCCCAGGCAAGCCGGGAGGCGGGCGCCGGTTCCGCGCGGGGGCGGGCAGGCAGGCAGGCGCAGTGCCAGGCACGACAGGCCCTCGTCTCCTGATGATGTGTGGAGACCGGGTCCCGGAGAACACAGCTCTCGATTTTGACTCGACCCTGCGCAGGAGATGACGGCGGCAGCCTCTTCCTGCACCGCTCCTTCTCTCCGAGCACCTGCGTAAGCCGCTTCACTTCAGCAAAGGGCTTTGGGGGAGCAGCGTAGTTGCCACAGTCCTCGGAAGTTTCGCCTTCGTACCTTCGTGGGGCAGTGCCACTTAGCAGCTGCTTCAGTTAGCTGAGAAGTGGTATCGGCTTGTGCCTTGGTTTAAAAAAAAAACAAAGCCCTCAGCCTTTTCCATGTAACGTGATCACCAAAGACCAGCAGTCTGTAATCCTGAAGTAAGAGAAAGGAAATTATCCTTTCCCTGCTGCAGTGGATTTTGACCCTGCAAAGGAAGGGAATTTGCCTATTACCTTTGATTTGTTGGCAGCAAGGAAAAAAGAACAGTTCTGTATACCTCAGTGTAGAAGATGGTAATGATGCAAAATGGTCTTAGGCTATGTAATTAGTTACATACACTGTTTAGTTTTTACTAACATCTTTACAAAGCACCAGGTAACAGGACTGCAAAGTGTGTGTTGTGTGTGTGTGTGTGTGTGTGTGTGTGTGTGTGTAAGAGAGAGAGAGAGAGCATGCACGTGTACAAGAAGATTTCGTGATATCTTGTTATCAATTAATTTCAAAACAGAAAATACACGTTGTTGACAAAGAACTATCTGCACTATTGTCTTAGAAAAGCATATTAAAAGCTTATGAACATCCATAATTTTAAAAAGTAGACAATGTTATAATCATTCCAAAATCTTAATTCTTGAGGAGTACCACTTTCTGTTGTGCTTGGGTTAAAATGCTGTTTGGTTCCCAGGCATGCATTTCAAAGGAAATTAGATTCCTTTCAAAATAATAGTAGAGAGGAGGAAAATGGCTGATTAGCAAATTTGTACCTATGGTTGTCTTATGGCATTGGTTTGCTTGTCATCATGGGATGTCTCATCCTACCAGTGCAATTTCATTTCCCATCTTTTGTGCTGTGTATGATAGACCATGTGCTTTGATTGGTATATATGATTTCTTTATATGTCAACAGTGTAAAAGTCCCCTTCATGGATCACTGCCTTGCCATGGCAAAGGGACTTGTGCAGTACAATGAAGCTATGAGCTATGCCATGCAGGGGCACCCAAGGCGGACAGGTCATAGCAGAGAGCTCTGACAAAACGTGATCCACTGGAGAAGGAAATGGGAACCCACTCCGGTATCTTTGCCATGAAAACCCCATGGACACTACCAAAAGGCAAAAAGATAACGGCGCTGGAAGATGAGCCCCTCAGGTTGGAAGGTGTCCATTGTGCTACTGGGGAAGAGCAGAGGACGAATACTAGTAGCACCAGAAAGAATGAAGCGACTGGGTCAAAGCCAAAAGGACACTCAGTTGTGGATGTATCTGGTGGTGAAAGGAAAGTCTGATGCTGCAAAGAACATTATAGCATAGTAACCTGGAATGTAAGATCTGTGAATCAAGGTAAGGTCAACGTGATCAAACATGAGATGACAAGATTGAACATTGACATCTTGGGAATCAGTGAACTAAAATGGACAGGAATGCGTGAATTTAATTCAGATGACCATTGTGTATACTACTGCAGGCCAGAATCCCTCAGAAGAAATGGAGTAACCTTCATAGTCAATAAAAGTGTAGGAAAAGCAGTACTGGGATACAATCTCCAAAATGACAGAATGATCTCAGTTCGAATCCAAAGCAAGCCATTCAAGATCACAGTAGTCCAAGTCTGTGCCCCAACCACTGGTGCTGAAGAGGCTGAAGGTGACCAGGTCTATGTAGACCTACAACACCTTCTAGAAATAACACCAAAAAAGACCTCCATTTCATCATGGGGGATTGGAATGCTAAAATAGGAAGCCAAAAGATAACTGGAATAAGAGGCAAGTTTGGCGTTGGAGTACAAAATGAGGCAGGGCACAGGCTAGTAGAATTTTGTTAAGAGAATACAATGGTCATAGCAAACACTCTTTTCCAACAACCCAAGAGACTGCTCTACACATGGACATCACCAGATGGTCAACACAGAAATCAGATTGACTATGTGCTGTGCAGCCAAAGATGGAGAAGCTCTATACAGTCAGTAAAAACTAGACCAGGAGCTGACTGTGGCTCAGATCACTTGCTTCTTGTTGCAAAATTTAGGCTAAAATTGAAGAAAGTAGGGAAAAGCACTAGGCCACTTGGGTATGACCTAAATTATATTCCTGATGAATATACAGTAGAGGTGACAAATAGATTTAAGGAATTAGTTCTGATAGACGGAGTGTCTGAAGAACTATGGATGAAGGTTTGGAACATTGTACAAGAGGTTGCATCTAAAACCATCCCAAAGAAAAATGCAAGAAAGCAAAATAGCTGTCTGAGGAAGCTTTACAAATAGCTGAGGAAAGAAGAGAAGTGAAAGGCAAGGGAGAAGGGGAAAGATATACCCAATTGAATGCAGAATTCCAGAGAATAGCTAGAAGAGATGAGAATGTCTTCTTAAATGAACAGTGTAAAGAAATAGAAAACAATAGAGTAGGGAGGACCAGAGATCTCTTCAAGAAAATTGGAGATATGTAGGGAATGTTTCATGCAAAGATGGGCATGATAAAGGAGAAAAATGGCGGGGACCTAACAGAGACAGAAGAGATTAAGAAGAGGTGGCAAGGTTACACAGAAGAACTATACAAGAAAGAGCTTAACGTCCCTGATAACCATGATGGGGTGGCTGCTGTCCTTGAGCCAGACGTCCTGGAATGTGAAGTTAAAAGGGCCTTAGGAAGTCTTAGCAACAACAAAGCTAGTGGAGGAGACAGTATTTCAGCTGAGCTAGTCAAAATCTTAAAAGACGATGCAGTAAAAGTGCTACACTCAATATGCCAGCAAATTTGGAAAACACAACAGGATTGGAAAAAGTCAATTTACATTCCAATTCCAAAGAAGGGCAATGCCAGAGAATGTTCAAACTACTGCACCATTGCACTCATTTCACATGCTAGCAAAGTTACGCTCAAAATTCCACAAGCTAGGCTCCAGCAGCTTGTGGACCAAGAACTGCCAGAAGTACAGGCAGGGTTTCGAAGCGGCAGAGGAACTAGAGATCAAATTGCCAATATATGCTGGATCATGGAGAAAGCTAGGGAGTTCCAGAAGTACATATACTTCTGCTTCATTGACTATGCCAAAGCCTTTGATTGTGTGGATCTCAACAAATTGTGGCAAGTTCTTAAAGAGATGGGAGTACCAGGCCATCTTATTGGTCTCTTGAGAAACCTGTATGCAGGTCAAGAAGCAACAGCGGGGACATGGAACTACTGATTGGTTCAAATTGGAAAAGGAGTACGGCAAGGCTGTATACTGTCGCTGTGCCTATTTAACTTAAATGCAGATCACATCATGAGAAAGGCGGGGCTAGATGAATCACCAGTTGGAATTAAGATCACCGGGAGAAGTATCAACAACTTCAGGTATGCAGATGATACCACTCTAATGGCAGAAAGTGAAGAGGAACTAAAGAGCCTCTTGATGCAGGTGAAAGAGGACAGCACAAAAGTTGACTTGAAACTCAGCATTAAGAAAACTAAGATCATGGCATCCGGTCCTATCACTTCCTGGCAAATAGATGGGGAAGAAATGGAGGTAGTGACAGATTTTATTTTCCTCGGCTCCAAGATCACTGCCACCTACTTTGGCCACCTAATGAGAAGGAAGGACTCACTGGAGAAGAGCCTAATGCTGGGAACAATATATGGCAAAAGAAGAAGGGGATGGCAGAGAATGAGGTGACTGGAGTCACTGAAGTAGTCAGTGTGAGTTTAGGCAGACTCTGGGAGATGGTGGAGGATAGGAGAGGGTGGAGGAATGTTGTCCATGGGGTCTCGATGGGTCAGACACGACTTCGTGACTAACAACAACAACAATGCTCTTTAAATTTCCAAGATAGGATGAGTATGTATGCACTTACTGTGTGCTTTCTTTGTGTATTGTAACAGTGCATTCCAACGTATCTGGAATGTTTTGGGTCATTTGGGTGGCTTGTTTTGTACTCCAGTTCTTTTTTCTAGTACCCTTGCTTGGAAAGAGCAGTTTTGAGTAGAGGGTCAGTGGTTTGTTTGTATGGCTTTACACGACACAACAACATATAATTCATCAATAACTCACACTTAAGCCATGCTCAAGTTTTGAGTGTGATTTGTTATGTAGTGTGAAACCTGCTCAGTGAATGTATTCATCCAAGGTAATTTTGTGTTGTCTGGATGCCAGATTGTAGATAGTATATTTTTGTGTGGTAATTGAACCAGTGGGAATATGACTGTAGATGTCATGTAAATATCTTCTGTAGAATTCTCTTGTTCATGTTGCATGTAGTTTTAAGGGAGCTAGTCCACATTTGGGGATTTTTTAGAGCCTATTGTGGGCTAGGGAGGAGTTTGTTTTATTTATTTATTTATTTAGAACATTATATGCCGCCCCATTTGTAAAAAGCCTCGGAGCGGCTTACAAAACAATTATACAATTACCTTAAAAATCCGGAGACATCTTGGCACAGATATAAAATCAATAAATACAATCAACAATTAAAATAACATTTAAATAACATGGTTTTGGTCTGGCGCCGAAAAACAAATGACGGGGCGCCACTGCAGAGAAGGCCCTCCTCCAGGTACTCACCCTCCTAATATCTTTCACGGAGGGTTCCCGAAGGGCCTCTGCCACTGATCTCAAGGGGCGGGAGGGCATATATGGACGCAAGTGCTCCTTTAGATAGCCAGGTCCCAAGCCGTTAAGGACTTTGTAGGTGATAACCAACACCTTGACTTGGGCCTGGACTTCAGTGGGGAGCCAGTGAAGCTGACGAAGGACTGGGGTTATATGAGAACAATGCCCAGTCCCTGTCAGCAACCTGGCAGCTCTGTTTTGCACCAATTGAAGTATCCGGACCGTCTTCAAGGGCAGCCCCACGTAGAGCGTGTTACAGAAGACTAATTGGGAAGTGACCAGTGCGTGTGTCACTGTCGCCATTGAGTTGATGTTACAATGGAAATCTAAGTCAGAGTTTGTGTTGCACGTCCACCTTATATCACAGCCATGAAAGAGCTCCCACTTTGATTTCTTTTTTAAAAAATCTAAGGGGTTCTCTCAAAAATAGCTAAGTGAAGATTGAACATGTTTAATAACCTCAGAATGTTGAATGTCAGTTTAAAAAGAGAAACAGAAAACCAGGGAGGGAGGAATGGAACATCCTGCTAGTGGAAGGCATGGCTGGTTGATCAGACCCATAAATAGGAGTATTATTTATTTATTATTTATTTTCAAATTTATAGGCTGCTGAATAGCCTGACAGGGATCTCTAAATGGCTAAAAACATTAAAATACTAGCCAATAGTAGGCCTGTTAGGTTATTGCAACATTTTGTTGTAGGACAAACTTGTAGACTTCTTAAAGATATCCAGCAATGATATTTGGAATCTAAAACAAGACAGTGGACTGAATAGCCTATTGGTCTGTCTGAGGAAGACCTTCTTAGTATTGCTATTTATGTTGTTTCTGCCTTGTTGTAAGTGGATAATGCCTTAGAAGTACATTTGCCTTTGGAAATGAGCTGCTGAATATAGTTAAATAATCTATAACAACACTGTCCAATTTTAAGAGTATCTCTCTTTTTCTTTTTTGTAGGTGGCTTTTTTTCAACCATATTTTCCAGTTTATTTGGTACACGGGAGATGAGAATTTTAATTTTGGGATTAGATGGAGCTGGAAAGACCACAATCCTCTACAGATTACAAGTTGGAGAAGTTGTGACTACCATTCCTAGTAAGTAATTTTCTAAAGTAAAAGTGATACATCACATGTAATGTAATGCTCTATCTTTTGTTAGTACACTCGTTAATGAAATGCACACCAGGCAGTGTGTTGAATTCAGGAGATTCAGGTTCTAGTCCCCATTTGACCATGAAACAACAGTAGGTGGCTTCAAACCAGACTCGGCTTTACGTACCTCACAGCATTGTTGTTAGGATTAAAGGGTATGTAAGCCACCTTGGGTTCCTTGCAGGAAAAGGGGCAAGACATAAATATAATAAATAAATGTGGCAAGTGAAGGTGATCAGGGAAGTGCACATAAATGGAAATAAATTGCATTCTTGTGTTTTTTCTTTTCTTTTGTAACATAGAGTGAACAAATAAATATTTAGAATGTTTCATTATTTCTATTATTGAGCCATACAACTGAATTTTGTTACCATTAAGGTTTGTCAACATATATCAATCTATATTTTGAGAATCTAAGTTGTAGAGATCAAAAGTGATCGGTGTTAATGTTAAAAGAATGCTAGTGTCACAGTCTGGACAGAAACATGTCAAATAAATAAGAATATTGGCATTCTTGTGATACTGCTTTCTATCCATATCTTACCATCCCTTTTAATCCTTTACTTAACTTTTTTGCTGTGGTCTGTTTTTCTGAACTTGAATAGCAGATACAATTTTCAAGTTATTGAATGTATTACTGAGCAACAATAACACAATTTGTTAGAAGCAAGAAACAAACCACATCATTTTGTGTATTGAATTTGTGTATACAAATGAAAAAAAAAACCAAGTATTTGTTTGTCCTTTTAATATATGCCAGTAAGTTACTTGGCTTTCTCTTCCAGCAATTGGTTTCAATGTTGAGACAGTAACCTACAAGAACCTGAAATTTCAAGTCTGGGACTTAGGAGGACAGACAAGCATCAGGTATAGCTCATCTGCTGAAGCAAGCTGAAATATTTAATTGATAGTTTAGGGTTTATTTAAATTTTTGCAAAAGAATTTCAGTACCTTACAAGACCAATTTCTTACAAAAGTAGCCATTACTCCTGCTGCTGAATTGATCAACAATACACACTGATACTGGTGTGGGGAAGCTAAGTTGGCCAATCAGCAGAAGCAGCAGCTTGCTGCCTCCACTGTGATTGGATGCTGCTGCAGCCTTCCTTTTCCAGTAACAGAGCACATCATCGATTTGTCCTAGCTAAGCAAGCAGCAGTTGCTACATGTGGACGTGCTGGATGCCAGTGGGGCTGTACTTCTCCGCTGAGTGTTAGCCAGGACTCCAGACATCCCCCCTGAAATGCATGGCTAACTGCACCATTGCCTGCCTTCTGTAGACAAAAGGACTCCACTTACAGGCATCTCTAGGCAATTCCCTGTGCACCATAGGCCATTCCATTATGGACCAGTAGTACTTTCAGGGGGGTGAAAGGATTGCTTTGGGGAGGAGAGGTTGAGAAGCTTCCAGAATGTGCATATATGTGAAATCCAGTCTGAAGGATCACTTCTATGCAGGCAATTTGTTTTGAGTAGAATTCGCCATGTTCATTGAATATACTGCTGTCTTGAAGCCAACTTAAATTCTTGTCTTTGTGCCCTAATTGAGAGTTAGTACCTTTTTTGCCACTGGTATTCCTCAATGATGAAAGACTGGATTTTTGAAGACATACATGTGCTAGCAGTTCAATTTGACATTACTGCTGCTAAGACAAATGAAAGAGGAAAGCAGCACTTTTTGGGCTAAACTAAGAAATAAATGTCTTAGTAGAAAGATTTTAAGTTAATAGTTCAGTTCCTTATTTAACAATTGTGATATTCATAAAAATAGCAACAGTGCAGCTTGAAAAAGGTGCCTTTTTATATTCCAGCAAATGCATGGAGAAGTTATAATCATTTCACTTTAGGTTAATGTACAGTTTTTAAAATCAAATACTGATTATTTTCCAGGCCATATTGGAGATGCTACTATTCCAATACAGATGCAGTCATCTATGTAGTGGACAGCTGTGACAGAGACAGAATAGGAATTTCAAAGTCTGAGCTTGTTGCCATGTTGGAGGTAGGAAATGGAGAAATGTTATTTACAGATAACTGCCTCTCAAATTAGTAAAACAATTATGACATGGATGAAACTTACTGTCAACCCGAGATTCGTAATTGCTGCTTTTGATTCTTTTATTGAATACATTTGTTCATATCTCTGCCCCTCTGTGCATCGTTTCAATCCAGTTTTAGAAAGGACTTGAGCTGGAAACTTTGTACTGCCACATATTACATAAGGCATACACTCAGAGCTTGAATAAGGTGGACAACGATCACAGAGAAAGGGGTAATGAAGAGCATTATGTAGAATTCTTTGGCTATATTCAAGTAAAAGAGCTGTGCAAAGAAAGGGCACACTACAGGAGTTGGATACTTCTGTGCATGTTGTTGCTGAACATTCAGTGAGTAGGTTGGATCCAGTGATGCTATTTTATTGACAGAATAGCTTCCGCCAGTGAAGCTGGAAGGGGGGCAGTTCCCCCTCCCTTACACACCCTCAGAATCTGCTGTGCAGGACTGAGACACCACCTGAACCAGATTTTCAGGCAGCACATAGGGAGAAATTCCTATTGCACAAGTGGACATCCACTAGCAAGCAATTTAACACTCTCTTTTCACCCTTTTCCCCCGCTCAAACAGGGAGATATACTCTAATCAATATGGAGGACTCAACTGTAGATTCAGCTGCAGATAGCATGTATTATACATACGTATGGTTGTAAAGTTGATATGCTTAGCTGCAACATCAATGCTCAGAATATTCTACTTTATGGCAGAGTATTATCTATTGATTATTGACCTGTTATGCTATATTTCAATACAAAAATAGCAGGTAATGAGAATATCCAATTAAGTTTGAAGAATTTCTAGAAGCAAACTTTAAAATGTGTTTTGTAACCCACCTTTGGACTAAATAGAAAGATGAACAAGTGGGTCCTTAGAGTAAATCAAGCCAGAATTTTCCCTGGAAGCAAAACATGATAAAACTTAATGCTGTCACACTTTGGGCAGATCATGAGAAGGCAAGATGAATGCAGAGGACAGTCATGCTAGGAAAGTTGAAGGCAGAAGAAAAGGAAGACCAAATATAAGATGAATTGATCCCATAAAGGAAGCCACAGCCTTGAATTTACAATTGCTGAGCAGAGCTGTCAAAGACATTGATTCTTGTAGGATTGCTGTAAAGTTGGAGATGATAGCACATAACAGCAGCAACCACATAGCTCTATAGTACTGCACGTATGCTTTAGGTACCTTGTATGACTTCAGTCTCTGAAAACTACTCTGTTTTACAGGAAGAAGAACTAAAGAAAGCCATTTTAGTTGTGTTTGCAAACAAACAGGATATGGAACAGGCCATGACTCCTACAGAAATGGCAAATGCACTTGGACTTCCAGCTCTGAAGGATCGAAAATGGCAGATATTCAAAACATCTGCAACCAAAGGCACTGGACTTGATGAAGCAATGGAGTGGTAAGTACCATTTTTCTTAAACTCCATTAAGGCTCTGTTTTGTAATTTATAATTGGCTGCTGTAAACAAGGATTCATACTGCTTTTAAAAAATATTTTTTGAAATATCACATAAACTCTCTTTCTAGGTTGGTGGAGACCTTGAAGAGCAGGCAGTAAAATGGACTTGAAGTTTTTCTTCAGCAGTCATGTGAATGAATGCAATGCTGTAAATAGAACTGACAAAATGTTACCTTTTGAAAAGATGGGATTTCTGTGCATTGTAAATCACACTGAATCACCTGAATGTTTGTCTGGACTATGTTTACTCCATTTCTTGTGTAAGTTACATATGTAACATCAATTTTTATGAGAGTTATGTAACCGAAGTTAGACCATGAAAATAAATAATTGGAATATACCTTTGTTACTTAGAAATCTAAGTGTTCAAAACTATTTAACACTAATAAATATTTAACTATCGTATGTCTAGATTTTCTATTTCATGCTAGCTACCTGTGTGTTTATTTTTGAAGTTAAGAATAGTTTAAGATAGTCAGAAACCTGATTGTTCTGGGTGGCACATTTAAAAGATAAGAACTCTTGTAGGATGGCCTAAATGCCAAAATGTTGTGTGTACTTAAGTGTTCTCAAAACAGCCACTTGTTTCCCAGAAGACCCTGTGGCCAAACTTGGCAGCTGAGTGACAGTTTATGCCCAGTTTCATTCTTTGAATAAGGAAGGGCTTGGAGTACTTAATAAACATGCAGGAAAACTCCCAGAGCAAATTGTCAGGTTGAGAATTACAAGAGTGGAAATTTATGATTGGTGTGTGTGTGTGAGAAAAATTGAGCTAAACAGGAGATCCTACCCATTTCATTAAGCAAAAAAACAAAAAACAAATGTTACTTAATTCTGTGTCTCAATTTTGCTCAGACTTTCTAGGACGGAAGTCCACAGAGGTCCAGAAGATGTAATCTGGACAAATACTTTCACAACTGTATGAAAATGTAGCAATTTCAACTAATCACTTATGCCTGTGTTGGTATGAGAGGCATATTTAGGGGTCAGCTGAATGTGGGAAAATGTTTGACTTTCAGAAAAGCTGCATAATTCCCTTAAAATCAATAAAAGGGTAGGGGAACACAGTTCTCTATTATATTGTGCTGATAGGAAGAATAACATTACTGCTTCCTGGTCCAATCAAGGAAGCATGTTCCCCCTTGTTGATCTAACCTAAATTTTCAAGATACAAACTAGAGCATTTTGGATGTACAGGGAAGGAAGTCAGAGAGGCTTCAGGATAACTCATACCTTGGCCTCTCCAGTCTTTCCCATCAGCTCAAATGCTCTCCTACTCCCCTCTGAGTTGCTTTTCCTGCTGTGGAGAGTAATTAGTACCATTCTTTCTATCCTGGCTGAAAGGGGAAAGGAAGCAGAGATGGAATTCCAATTCCTTGCTCCAAGATCAAGGCACTGTCTCCAACCTCAGACCTGGGAATCTGAATTATTCAATGGCCCCTCAGGACTGCTCCCTAAACCAGTGTTTCATACAGTAAATAGCTTTAACAGCTTATAGCTGAAGAACTGGTTGCACATTGGGCAATTTAATGAGAAAACACGGCATTGTCACAATCTGTACATCCAATATACAATGAACTCTGGACCCTTGAAAGGAGTCTGAGTTACAAGAACCTTCTCACTTTTCAATCAGTCAAACAGAATCTGTATACATTAAAATTACAAATTTTTAGTAATCCATACCGATGCCTTTTTGCAAGAGGTCTATACTTACTGCAACCTCTCTGAAGCTTAAAAAGCCAGGATCTCTTGTGTGCAGATATTGTCCTACATAGCAGATATTCAGCTGAAGTATCTCCAAAATTGAATCTTGTAAAATGTCCCACAGAACTGTAGTTCTTACTCTCTCTGAGCACTCGAGACATTTTCTGCCTCATGCTCTCTGCAGGTAGCAGCCATGAATGGAACACACCTATTTGTCACAAGTCTCGTCTTCTTGTTTCATTCCACCATTGCCAAGTCTTTCAGTGCATGGCTTCTTGGTTTCTTGGCTTTGTAACCAGGCCTTAGGAATTCTATTTTTCTCTTCTTTGCTTCAATTTTATTCTTGTGCCTTTTTAACTTCTTCTTGGCAGCAATGTCAGGATTAGCAACAGCCTAACAGAAAACAAGAAGTCAAATGTTGGTGCAATTCACATACATTGCCTTTTCTTTCTGAAGTTTCCTAATTCAAATGAAGATCCTCATGCTAAGTGAGAAACTACCTTTTTAAGCAGTTTTAGGTAGCAATGACCTTTACACTAACCTGCAGAGCTCTCTTTTTCTTCCTGATAGCTCTTTTCTGACTGGCTTGTTTTTGCACAGAAGCAAATGCAACTGAGAAAGTCTCCAGCCCGACAAGTTTCTTCAGCAGCTCAATAATTTCCTGGGAAAGATTCTTTAGAGTTGGATCTAGCAAAGATGACATTACTTTGATTACTTAGAACCTTACAGATGACTGGATTAACATGGTGAACTGCAGTTAATCTAAAAAGGAAATGAAAGCTTCCATAGGCCTTGAAACTCAGCAGAGGAGGAACAAAGAAAGTGTGAGACCAAATCTCACTGCAGCTTGTTCTTTACGGTTTAGCAGTACATTCAAATGGGCCCAATGTATTAAAACAAATAATTGCATATGGTGCCTGGGTGAGAAAGGACTGGAAAAGGAGGCTTCAATAATAATTTGTGAGGAACTTCAATATTTAAACAAAGATAAGTCTCAAGTGTAACTTGAATGCAATTAGGATTTCTTAACATGACCTACTAAACTGACCCAGAATCGGCTGCTTTGACAATTGGATAGATTAAAAGCACCTTTCCTAGACAGATGTAATGTCTTATTTTAAGTTTCTTTTGATTTCCCAGACCTCATCACTTAAAATACTACAAGTGCTCGGCCAAATGTTTTGCATGATGCGGAGATGAATGCAATATTGATTCCTATGGACATATTCCATATTGATGCTTATTCACACCTAGCCTCCCCCCTTCACTTTTTTAACAGATGGAAAAGTACTGTGAGTTAGACCACACCATATGCACAGGCTGCTTCATAAAAGTCCCTTTTGAGCACTCTTTTAAATAGATAGTGGAGAAGAGGGGCTTGCATTCACTCCTCCACCACAGAAAGTGGATCAGCCAAACAGGAAAGTACAGGCTAGAAATGCCGTATTTAAATAGCCCACTAAAACAAAAGACATGTGGTAAGTGTAGCATCTCTCAGCATCTCTCCCAATTACTTATGCTAGACCAGTTGCAGATAATGAGTCGTGGCTTGTGATGTCATCTCCTAGCGCCACTACTCCTTTCCGAACATCCACATGTCCCCTATCTCCGCTGTTATCCGATGCTCGACTGCTGGGGTGATGCTGGGGTGACTTGGCCTGCATGCTGACACAGAGGGCTCTGCTTGCCCGGTGCGGCATGCGTGCCATAGGTTCACCAACACTGCCCTAACCCTACCCTGGTGCACACCACTAACCCTAATACAGGGCTGCAGTTCCATAGAAAAGAGATTTTGAAAAAGCCCTTCTTGAGTAGCTTTTTCTGCACTGCTCATAATTTCTGCCCATTCTAAGCACATTCCAACCATCAAAATCATGCCAGGACACTTCATTTTTATAACCCAAATCCAGTGATGGTGAACCTTTTAGAGACCGAGTGCCCCAGCTGCAACCCAAAACCCACTTATTTATTGCGAAGTGCCAACACTGCAGTGAAACCTGAAAACAGAGAATTTAGTTTAGAAAAAAAACAACTAACAGCCAGTTCAAGCAAATACATATACATAAATACTTTGCAACTCACTGACCAGCCATGGGAAAGCTCGGATGAGTTGTGGCTAATGAGTCACGGCTCGTGACGTCATCGCCTGGTGCCACTACTCCTTTCCAAGCATGTGCTTGGCCCCTTCATGTGCTGTTATCCGAAACTCGGCAGCTGGGGCAATGCTGGGGCAACTTGGCTTGCATGCCAACAGAGAGCGCGCTGCATGCCCGCTGTGGCACATGTGCCATAGGTTCGCCACCACTGGTATAAGACAACTAGACTTTAAGTAGCAGAAAGCCCTACTGTGTTAATTAGAAACAATTATTGCTAATTATGTCAGTACAAAATCTCTTACCTTGTTCTGCATAAGTGCTGCTGAGTTCTCTGTACAGAGGGGCTATAATGGTTGGAAGGTATGGTTTTATTCTGTCCTTCCCAAGATCTACTGCAATGGCACCAAGGAATTTAAAGACGCAGGTTCTCTGAAAAGAGACACATGCTTGAAAAAAAATAGCAACAAAATCCCACTGATCGGAGTCTAATTAGTAATGATGGAGAGCCCTTTGAAATAGGCTCAGAAAAATGAGTGCACCCTTTAAATTAGTCTGAAGATGGCTTGGCTTATTCAAAGCCTGGTTAAAATACCAACTCAGCCCCTTTCATGCCCTTGTTCCGTCATCAGGAGTGCACTGATCCCTGCCTTACCTGGGAGCCTCTAGCCCCTTCCACTGACCTGCTTCCAAACCCGTCACCTTCACAGCTACTCTTGCAGCCAGGAATGCAGGAGGCTCTCTCCCCTTCTGCCCCCAATGCCAACTTTTACAGTCCTATTTTTATTTATGCTAAATAAATACATAGCACATGCCTCACATGTCCTTGCATCATTTCCACTGTCTGTGGTGTGCGCTGAGATCCTAAAAGCATCAACGTAAGGTATTATTTGTAACAGTCATATTGTTCTCTACTGAAAGATAGACAAACCTTTAAAGGGTCTTTGGGTGAATATGAAGCTTCTCGTGTTGCCATTATAGAGAGTTTTTTCATCACCCACATCAAAGTGGCTGGACCATTTTTCTCACTTGCTCCTTTCGCCTCCACATTGGCAGTCTCAATCTCATCTTCACCTCCTGAGTCATTCTGATCTTCAAGTTCCTGCCCCTGTTCCTCACTAATTTCTTTTCCATCTTCCAGTGCAGGAGCCAGAAGGTACAGTACTTTGGCTATAAATAGTAAATTCTTTACCACCTTAAATACAAAGGAAGAACAACACTTTTATTTGGTAGATCCAGCTTTCCTCCACCATGTAACTCAGTCTTGTGCCCCCTTCAGCCTGGCTACTGGCAGGACACAAGCCATATTTTGGGAGCCACCTCAGCATCTCACCTGCTCTCCAAGGGCTGGATCCAAAAATTTGGACTTTAGCTGATGGCAGAAAGCTAAAGCAAGCTTTTTCATCTGCAAAGATAAAGAGGAATTCTGAAACACTGCCACATGAAATAAATGATTAAGGCTGCACTCAGATCATCACATAAGCAACTGGGCTGGTGAAAGTAGGCTTCCTGCCCCCCTTCCCACAGCCACTCCTCCAACCCCCTGAAAATGCTGCACGGTCAGGAGACTCTTCAAAAAAAGATAGCCAATGTGTGAAGGGTGCAGTGGAGATCCCAAAAGGTCACCAAAGATCCCTTTCTTCATAGAAAGTAAATCCTGTATTCTGTATTTAAAAAAAAAACCTCAGAACATGGTTGGCTTAAAAAGAAAAGAATTGTAATGACTTGTGCTGACCTTGCTGTGTGAATAAATTGTCCGGCAAAAGGAGGGTGAAAGACCCAATGAGGGAATCAACACCATCATGTAAGCTCTATAGATACTGAAATGAATGAAATTGCCTTGGAACTAGTCTTGACTTTTGTTTCTGCTACCCGCTGGGACATTGAAACATGCAGTAATACAAGCTCAGCAGGGTAAAGCTAACCTTTTTGTCTAGTTCCACTGTTAAGAAGGTGGTTGCTGATGGCTCTATAGTCATTTCTTGGCTCTTCTCCAGCTTCCTTTTACTCCATTTTTTAACAAGTTCTTCTGGCTTGTGAGAAGCAAACAACAAGCCGAAAATCTGAGCAGAAGTCAACCACACCCAACTGTGAGGATACCATAAATGGGACTGGACGTGACCTTCAGAAGCAGGAAAAAAAATTGAGATTATTTAAGCTGCTTTAATCCATAACCAGGAGAACACAAACTCAAAGGCAATTTTATCCAATAGAAGACATTTATATGAGCAGCCCTGGGACACCAAGCTTATCAAGTTTCAATAGTTTCTGCAGCAATGTAATAGTGAGAAAGCTACTAACCCCAAATGTCTCTTAGAATCTCATTGTGTTGGTTTAACTCAACAATGTTGCATTCCTTGATTAGTTTACTGAGCAAAGTAAGGAAGCTGAACAGCAATCTGTCTGCAGCCTTTTCTTCAGCCTCTTCCATAACCTAAAAATAAGTAAAAATGAACAGCAGCTCAATGACACACTGCAAATTGAACAGCATATAAATAGTGAAGAGGTTTCAATAAAAGCCACTGGAGGTGTATATAAGATCCTGCCTCATTTCACTATGGAAAATGCTATCAAGAATCCAGAGTTTCCAGTTAAGCTAGGAGGCAGCCAGTGAACGTCACTTATGCCACAGTCCTAAACACACTAGTAAGGTTCTAACACGCACAGCTCAAACACACTCACAACACTGGAATCCTTGAGTAAGAAAAATTATTCTCCACCCCTCATATCCTCCATTCAAAAAGAAATTTACATGGTAAGCTTCTTTAGGAAGGCAACATGAAGTACCAAAAGTCATTGGTTACATTATCTAGTCCTACGGACTAACCACAAAAACAGTACATGGTCCTATTAAGTTTGCCATTTCCTTCCCCAAAGGTCACACAACAAATGGGCCCCTTCTCAAAACTGCTGGATGCAGATCAGGAGCAGCCGGCGAAAGTGGTCCTCTGCCCAGTTGCAATTTTTTGGACAACGGTGTCTATACTTAACCAGCTTAGTCCTAGGAACCTCACTGCATTTTAAAGACATGCATGTATTTAAAAGTTATATTCCAGGAGTACAACACATTTCATCTGCTACCAGAGATGGATGGTGTAAGTTTGCCAACAGCCCTGTGTCTAATTTTACAGTGCGGGAAAGAGATCCATGCCAGGTTGAAGACTTACGTATGTTCACCATCACTCTACAAACTGAAAGCTAATCCTCAGAAGCAATGTACGAACACTTCCACAGCCAGTTAGCCAGGCTTAACAGGCATTTACGCCCACTGAGGAACAATTCATCTCTAACCAATGCATCTGAACCCAGTCTGAGGACTGAAACAACTCGACCCACCCACCTTCCCCTTTCTCCTGATCCTCACTGCTGCAGAACTCGTTAAAAATTGAAAAGTCCTGTTCCTAAAACAATAAATAGTTAAGCTCTTCCTCCTCCTTTGAAGACTAACATGCAGTTCCCAGGAAGCAAGTTTTAATTAAATTCTTTTGGGGGTTTGTTTTGCAAACAGTGATAATCTGTAAACAAGCTCTTTCTTTGGTCAAATAAGGAATCGTGGTCTCGATCCATGACTTTGAATGCTCTCTTTAAGCTTTCCTCTTCAGCTCTGCACAAATACCAGCCCTGATTAAACGACTTACTTCTTCAAAATTTGAAGGACGCAACTCTCTCTCGATCACTGGAAGAACAGCTCCAAGTCTTTTTTCAAACTCGACCTTCTCAGCTTCAACAAAGGCACCACAGGCATGAGCAGCTAACCTCTTGTGCACACTCTGTCAATAAAGACAACATCCCAGGAGCGAGGGGCTTACAAAAGCAAATCAGCACCACGTATGATCTGCAAATGTGTAGAAGTCTGGCCATTCCTCTGCAACAGCCTTCTTAGTCTGGTGCCTTTCAGACACATTGGATTATGCTGGCTATGGAACTATGGGGGCTGTAGCCTAACCCTTCCAGGGGGCATCAGGTCAGCTTCTGCATGAGATCGGAACAGCAACAGGGTCAGACACAATTCTGAGCTGTCCATCCTGCAAAAACTGCTGTCCTAAGTCTGGATACATTACCTTGTTGTTCTTGTACCAACTAAGCAAGTTTAGCTGCATAAAATCTCTTCTCCAAAAAGATTTACCTCTTGACATTCCCCCATCTTGTCTGTTCATCTAACAAAGCCCACTGTCCAAGACAATTCAAAGTACTGCCATGACTGGTACCTTTTCACTCTTGAACCAAGAGGTAAGCAGCAAAAACATCAGGTCTCGATTCGCAGCATCAATCTTACTGAGGAGGCTTCTGATGGCCAGGGCTGCCATCTTCTTGCATTTTGTGGAGTCATCATTTACCATCATCATACAGAGTGGAACAAAGAACATCCCACAAAACTCATGCAATAAACCCTGAAGAAGAGGGGGTGGAGGGAAATGGGGAATCAGCAAAGTTGTCCCTTGTCAACCACACATACAAACCACCTGGAGCACTTCAGTTATTGGGCAGGATAAAAGTGTAATTAAACCCATTATATTATATCTAGTGTTGTTTATACATACATGCATACCCAGGCTTTCTACCAAGAAAAATAGCTCTCAAGGTGAATTTTATATTTTTTATAATTTTTATTTACATTATTTGTATGCTGCCCCATTTCGAGGCAGATTCCAGAGCAATGAACAATAAAAAAAAGCTAAAACACATAAAAGCAGATATGTTTGAGCTATCTCTTCAGCATTCTGCTTCAGAGTACATGGATGAAAACAAGGTACATGTCAAAAAACCAGAATATTCTATGTATAATTCTTTTTTTTTTTTTTTTTTGCTTTCTGCAACCTTCACATCACTCCAGCTTGCTCCAAGGAGGCAGCACAGGCAGGCACTCTGAAAGCTGTGTCTCTGTCCAATCTGGCATGCTCCAGAAATGTGAAGTGCAACTCCTATAATGGGCATTGTAGTCTAATTACTGGAAGGTGGTCTGTTGGGTGAGGCCACTGCCTGCAAAGCTTGCTTACAACCTGACACTATAATGGAAACTGTTTATGTACAATGTTACAGAACCCCCACTTTAAATAACACATTCTAGGGTTCAAGTTAAAAAACAATAAGAACACAGGTTGCAATGCAGTTATAGGTTACCTGAGGGAACATCTCAAAGAGGGACGCAATCATTTCCAAAGCAGACTCTCTCCCTGTCTCATATTCGTAACTACAGCGAAAATAATAAACAGTACAGCATGTTCAGTAACGGGCAGAAATCTCGGCATAAGCAGTGCAAGCCTGTCTCTGCTTATTCAGAACTAGAATCCCAAAATATTAAGTACACTGCACAACACGCGTGCACACATTTTCATAATATATCCTGGTATTCTCAACACCAGGCCTTGAAATGTGCACTAGAGTCTTAATAGCTGCACAGAAAGAAGCAACGAATGTGCAGTTTTTCTCATAATGGTGTATATGGCAGGCCTCACTCTTCCTTCACACAATATTTACTGGCACAGCAGTGCTTCCAGGGTCAGCTGCCTGAAAGTCTTCCCTTCAGCCAATAACAGCTGGAAAAAAGGAAGCAAGTTCTGGTTGTGGCTGCTTAGCATGCTCCAAGAGATGAGCAGTGTACAGACATGGAGAAATATACATAGAGCAAAGCTACAAGATGATGATCTTGCACTCCACAGAATGCCCTGTTGCTTTGGTGGAGCTACTCCGAGTGCACTGATTCCTGCATTTGTGGAAGCCTTTAGGAAGGGCCACAGCTCAATCAGAGAGCACATGCTGGGATGCAAGAAGACCCTGGTGCGATCTGGGGAAATGCTGGCCAAACGGGTCAGAGCGGTTGACAGGAAAGACCTCTGCCTGAGAACTGCAGAGCTGCACTGCCACACAGAACAGACCCCACAAAGCGAAATCAGCCTTCCCCAGTGTGTGTCCTCCAGAAATGTTGGACTGCAGCTCCAACAGTTCCTGGACAAGAGGGCAATGGACCATGCTAGCGAGAAATGATGGGCACTGCAACTCCACCCCTATCCGGCCAAGGAAGACTGCTCTAGATTAGAAATGATACCAAGCTAATGATACCAAGATGGCTTCCCATGTTCTTACCATGACCGTTTGTTCATATGCAAGCAAAAAAAGTTGCAGCGCAAATATGAAAAAAAAAAACCCAATGGGTGGGGGAAAATATTCAGTGCTCATGTGTTCTCATTTACCTCAAACCACCACTGAAGTTTTATTTTGAGCTCTTGGCCCACATGAATGCACTTCTGCAATGAGCATGCGGTTGGAAGAAGGACCCGATGCCAGATCTGAGGGGAACAACCAGCTCTTCTCACCCAATAGTCTCTAGCCACTTACCTGAGCTGGGCAAAGATGTACTCAAGGTTCATTTTCAACTTTTTACCAAGGGGATAATCAAGTATATATTTCAGGTAAATCTGGGGGAGAGAGCAAACAAGGAACAATAATTAATGGACACTTAAATGACTAGCAATGCAATCCCATGGCTGCTAGGCACAATCTGGTCAACCAGTAGAGAGGCTGCAGGTGGGACTCTGAGTGCCTTCACTCTGCCCTAGCAACCGGCACCAAAAGAACTCTGCCAACTGCAGCTCCAAAGACTGAAGACCAACTTTGCAGCTGGTGTTAGATGAGAGCTTTGTGTGGAGGGCAGGAGTGATGGATCCTGTCTAACTTGCGAACTGCTATGAAAGGCGGACAGCTTAAATGGATCCTCAAAGTACTTCGCAGAGCAGGAGAAGCTCAGCAACGACCCTTGCCTCCATGCTCCCTCCTGCTCTCCATAGAATGCCCATAATTCTCCAGGTCAGAGGGTTGCTAGCAGCCACACTGGATGGTGTGACCTGTATTGTATAAAATGTCAGGTCTCATTCCAAAACACAGATCTCTTCCCCACAGCTGTTGATGCAGGAAAGAGAACCATTACCATCAGATCTAACTGAAACTAACTAGACCCAAAATCAAGCAGAGCTTCTTCACTGGTATCTGTATTAAGCTGAGTCATGACCAAATAGGAGATATTTTAAGACATTTAAGTTGGGATATATCTGTGCTGCTGCTGGGGTTAACTATTAGCAATAAAACAGGAGCTGACAAAAACAGTTATAATGACAAAGGCAGAAGGGAGGAAAAATATGCTTTGTTCATTTCTACAAACCTGTCTGCACTGAATTCGAACCTGCTCACTTTGGCCTGTGATGGCAAAGTTTGCAACCTTCTGCATGACACCATCAATTTCTGGGACGATCAGCTTTCTGGATAAAATAGCCTTGAGAGAGAGAAAGAGAATGAAAAGAAATCTGTGTCATGGTTGGTGATTTGGTTCTGCTCTCTGTGAAATACAATCAGAATGGAGACTTTCAATTACCTGAGAATTTGCCTTCTATTTGTTCATCAGACCATGAAGTGCTCCCTGCTCAAGCACTTAGGAGGCAGGATAAACCGAAGAAAAGTAAGCCCAGGGCTAAGGAGGCACCACCTTCTCCTACCCAGAGTGAAAAAAAACGCTATCTATGGTGCAAGATCCATGATTGCATAAGGTCCACTGTTCAGCAGTGGAAAGACTGCCTTGGGAGGTCATGGATTCTCATTCACGGGGTATTTCAGCAAAGGCTGGATGGCCAACTGTCATGAAGGCTGTAGCTGCACCCTGCACTGAGCAGGGAGTTGGACTAGATGATCTGCGAGTTCCCCTCCAATTTTGTCATTCTAACAGCAAAGAAGGAGGAAGTAACCAAAGGTGGGGAGAGTCGGCTGTTGTAGAAAACTTGGAAAAGGAATGCTTGTTCCTCTAGGAGGCAAGAGCAGTGCTTGTTCACACGTTCTGCACACGAGGCTAGCACATTTCTAGGGTTTTGCAATCCTACTGCAGGGCTCAGGAGCATCCCATGCAAGGATGAGATGGAATAGCAGGGGGAGCACCTGCTAGTCACAAGCTGAAACACAGCTCCAATAACTGCTGCATCTCACAAGTGAACAGTCTGAGTCAGTGCCTGTCTCTGGAGACTCATCTGCACAGAGAATAAGGCAAACTTGATCAGCTTCTAGGGCTGGGCGGCTGAACCAAAAGAAGGGTGTGAGCAACCATTAAGTGGCTTGGAAACCCCCCAAAGTGGGCGCCTTTTCCCTGTTGCCCTTTTCTGCATCCTTCAGGTCTGCCCTAACAAGCAGAGGCAGCAAAAAATGGCTTCCAAACAGTATGAGGGCAGGAGAAGAACCGGCCTTGGGAAGGAACTGGGAAGGAGCTTCCAGCCCAGCCCCTCAGACTCCAATGTGAACACATCCTGCCCCCTGTGGGGTGGAATGGCGAGCACCCCAGGGTCTGGACCAGCTTTACATGCACTTGAATCTTCCATGGGGGTGTCATTTCAGTTTCAAGAAAGAATCCTTAAGGCTATTTGTAATACCTTTAAGAGGCCAAAGGCTGTGGCTTGTCGCAGCGAATCGTAGATGTCTTCTTCAGCATATCCAAGCAAGACTTGCAACTGCTTGTCTGTTACATGACTCTTTGCATTCCTCACAAGCAGAGTTACACACTGCAAATTAAAACTTAGAATGATGACCATGAATAAGGCAGAATGTTAGACCAGATCCTGAGTTCCCAGTATGCATATTGGTCTCTCTCTAGCGGTGTGCCTGATCATCACTTCTTCACCCCTTAGGGCTGCCGCTACTCCTTCCAAGCATTCGCATGGCCCCTATGTGCGCTGTAATCCCATGCTCGGCTGCTGGGGTGATGCTGGGGTGACTTGGCTTGTATGCCGAAAGAGAGGGTTGTGTGTGCCCGGTGCGGCATGCATGTCATAGGTTCGCCAGCACTGGCCTAACCCTACCCTGGTGCACTCCCCTAACCCTAACACAGAGCTAAAGTTCCATTGAAAATAGGGCGATTTTGAAAAAGCCTTCCTTGAGTAGCTGTTTCTGCACAGCTCATCATTTCTGCCCATTCTAAACACATTCCAACCATGAAAATGGTGCCAGGACACCTCATTTTTCTAACCCTAACCCTACCCCTGGTACACACCCCTAACCCTAATGTAGGGCTAAAGTTTCATTGAAAATAGGGCAATTTTGAAAAAGCCTTCCTTGAGTAGCCTTTTCTGGACTGCTCATCATTTCTGACCATTCTAAACACATTCCAACCATGAAAATCATGCCAGGACACCTGGTTTTATTAACCCTAACCCTACCCTGGTGCACACCTCTAACCCTAACATAGGGCTAAAGTTCCATTGAAAAGAGGGTGATTTTGAAAAAGCCTTGAGTAGCTTTCTCTGCATGCACAGCTCAACATTTCTGCCCATTCTAAACACATTCCAACCATCAAAACCATGCCGGGACACCTTGTTTTTGTAACCCTAACCCTACCCAGGTGCACACCTCTAACCCTAATACAGGGCAAAAGTTCCATTGAAACGAGGGTGATTTTGAAAAAGACTTCCTTGAGTAGCTTTTTCTGCACATCTCAACATTTCTGCCCATTCTAATCACATTCCAACCATCAAAATCATTCCAGGGCACCTCGTTTTTCTAATCCTAGCCCAGTGATGGTAAATCTTTTAGAGACTGAGCATCCAAACTGCAACCCAAAACCCACTTACTTATTGCAAAGTTTCAACACTACAGTAAAACCTGAAAACAGCCAGTCCAAGCAATATATATCCTTGGCAGCACACTGACCAGCCATGTGAAAGCTCAGAGTCATGGCTATATGTCGTGGCTTGTGATGTCATTGCCTGACACCACTACTCCTTTCCAAGTATGCCCATGGCCCCTACGTCTGCTGTTATCCAATGCTCAGCTGCTGGGGCAATGCTGGGGCGACTTGGCTCGTGTGCTGACTGAGAGGTTTGCCACCACTGTTTGAGGTCCCACAGGTTTGCCACCACTGTTCTAGGAAATCAGCTCCATTTAACACAAAGGGGTCTATTGTGAGTTTTTGTCAGAAACTCTTGCATTCTATTTTCAAGAGACCAACAGAACCCACCTCTGTAAGAGTTTGTTTTGGGGTTTTTGTTTTGTTTTGTTTTTGGTGAGGGCAGGAAATGAAACCCTTTGTTTGCTGCATCTCTGTATTGGTTTTACAATATATGGCTCTAGTTAACAAGTTTAAGATAGCATTATATAATTTACTGTGAACCGCACTTGGTCTTTACAATTGTGTGAGCTACACATTTTGTAAACAACTGTTTTTTTTGAAATTGTAAGTGTTGCTGAAGGGCAGGTTTCTGCATGACTATCTCTTCTGCTGCCAAGGACAGATATAAGAATTTGGGCAGAGTGACTACAAAATCAGAACATCAGTAGCGGTGGACATCACAGAGCAAGGTCTTCCTATTCCACCCCCTATGTTATCCTCCTGAGGCAACTGAGCCATTTCAAATATCTGTGGACTGATAGTGCTGGGGAATGAAAGTAGGTTAACACTGGAAACAGAAATAAGAATCCAAAAAACTGTCCAACAAGTACATGTCTTCTGAAGCATTTGCTAATTCATGCAAACTCAAAGGAGATAGGGAAAGGAGGAGGAGATACAATTCTCTATCACACTGATCATTCGCATTACACCAAGAGACATATGGACCTGGATAAATTACCCCACAGGATCAAAACTGAGCCGTTTTTTGGGGTAGGACTTACTTTGAAACAATTAGTGACCAAATGGAAATTCTGGCCTTTAGCAGCTCCTGGCTTAGCAAAGTCTTTCAGCAGAAGGAAAAGCTGCTTGGTTAGCTGTTCCATATTATTATCTACTGCAGGCAGTGGAAACTTTAAAACCCAAAGAAGGGACTGAAGAGCACCAGTGATCACCTGGGAAAGAAACGACAACAACCTGAGTGGATCATGGGAATATTTGGTTTACAGCCAGAAATCCAGTAACTGGAAATACTGGATTTTCTTCTCTCTCTTGTGGGAGCCCATGTTTCCACAAGGCTGCCACACTACCTGAATTGTGCTTTAGCTCTGAAGCTCTGACTGCCAATACTACAATTTTAATTGATGAAAGCAAAACACATGTGAAGAACAGTGTAATTTTGTGCTGAACTGTTATAACAAGCCATGCCAAGGCTCAAGAATGCCTTACCCTTGCTTCCTGAATGCTAATTAGCACATGCACTTTTTCCCAATCCAGTGTACCTGCGGCAGTCCATCAGATGCAAATAACATATGTGCATTCAATGGCAGGACTTTTCCGAAATAAAAACTGGAAGACAGTCCTAATCATTTCCTAATCGATTTCAGCATATGTCTGTATTTCATGAAAATCTAGCTGCTTGTATGCTCAATGTGCTATGCTCTTTTTTTACACTCACTCAAGTGTATGTAAGTGTAAGAGGTCAGTTGTGAAAGTCTTCGCACAGGATGCTCCCTTAATCCCAACTGCAAAGAAGAGAACTGTGATTACCCAGTGATGAGTAATAATGTCTTTAGAGGACATTTTAAAATCCTTTCCCCACAGCTACAGTGAGATAGAAGCTTACACTTATTACAAACATAAGGAACACTCAGGGCTCTTAATTACCTCTTCTGGCTACCTATTCAGAATATGGGAAGTGAACATGTTGCACATAACCTTTATTTATCCCACAGGCAGCATAAAGAACCATGATGCAAAGTGACATTTGTGATCATCTGCGTTCTTCCAGAACAGGTATTGCACATTGTTCAGAACCTCACCTTAACATCTGTGGATTGAAGGCAGTTGATAAGCAGATGTACAAAAGGATCCAACATTTCTAAAACACGCTCCTCTGAAGAATTCACTTTGGACCTCTTCAAGCTCATGTGCAGTAGCTATAGCAGAAAAGAAGGCCTAGGCATTAATTGCACTAAAAAGGACCCTTGTTCTGAAAATCTCAGATGGTTTACATTAAGACAAAGGCAACCTCAGCATGTAACCATGAAAGACTGCAGACCTGATTTAAAATTGTAAGTAATTTCATGATCTTGGAAATGCAGCACTGATTGTACAGGTGAGACCACAGGCAAGGAAAAAAATCGGAGGCATGTGGTAACTATATAAAAAATACCCTTCCCTCATTCCATATCTCAGCTCCTCCATGCTGCTCACTCATTCCTCTTTGTCTACCGAGAAGTTTCCTTCAGTCCCAGTGGGAAAAATGAGTTATACAACAGTGACTCTCCACAGGTCTGACATAAAGTCTGACGTTTTAGTGCAACATGAACAAATCTTGTGCTCACATGCTCCCTCCACTGTCTGCCACCCCACAAACATCCCTCTACATGCTCCACTGCTCAGTTGAGAACACGCCACCGAATCGGAAATGCAAAAGTGTGCACCAGCTGCAGTTTGCCCACTCTAGACATAAGAGCAGATTACGGTCCAATGCTGGCCCAGAGGGAAGGAGAGCAACCAAAGCAAGTGAAGGGGCAAAGCAGTGCACAGACACCCAGCACCATCCTGATCTTCCCAACTATGGTTTGGAGAGACAGGTGCAAGACGTTTGAAATGACACACTTATACCAAGCTGTTTATTGCTGTCCATTGCAGTACCTTCCTCAGAAGGTGGGAGAGAAAAGAACCATCAGATAAATTAGAGGATAGCAGCACAATTTTTGTGATATTCCTGAGCAGGAGCAGAAAGAGAGATTTGATTTCTTTTCTTTTCTTTGACATATAGAGAACGTCTTACCCGCAGTCCTGACTCAACCAAGATGTGTATGTTTGTCTTGCTGCTCACAGGGGCTTTTGGCCCTCCTCGCACTGGGGTAGGTGGAAGTAAGAGGCAGCTTGCTGGCTGCAAACGAGGATCTGGAGGCACTGGAGCTTTAGCTCTGAAAAAGGTTATTGAAGAAGAAAGTCAGAACTAGAACAAAGACTCCAGCAAAACATTGCTTGAGGATAAGCACAGACACTACACTGAGCAAAGAAAGCAGGGTGGGTAGGAACCAGAATCAAATCTTTATAAATGCCTAAGAATGAGGCCAAGCCTCAAAGTAGTCCCAGGGACTTTAATTAAATGACTCTGGATTTAATGGTTTGGTTAAACAGGTATGAAGGCCACTGACCCTTGGTATAATGGGTTCTCTAGTCAGTATGCAAGCCAGGATTATAAATCATGGCTTGTTCTTGCCTTGTTTGAAGTAACCACAGTTTAATAGAAACAGAATTTCCAGAAGTCCAGGCATAATGGGTATCTCTGATTATTTTAAAAATAGAAGCAAAAGCTTCCTTCATTAGGGTGTATCAGAGTAAGGGTGGGGGAAGTACAAGCTGCTTGGAAAACTTCCAGGGATACTGTGTGTTTTGCAGCCCACATTTGGATTGCAGGAAAAATTACTCATAGATTACCTGAGGGAAGAAGGAATCAAATGCTGGTAAAGCTCTATTAGGGTTCCACTGTAAACAACTGAAAATATATGCAAGAAATGGCGGATGGGGGGTCTGGTTTTTAAAGCGAAATGCAGAATATGTCTTCTTTGCATTTATGGTGATCACCAAATGGACCCCTCTTATTTCAGTCCAGAAATATATATTTTTTTAAAAAGCTGATTGACTTTCAAACACTGGTTCCAGGAAGCATAAACAAAGAGAAATTGCTTTAACTGTACTGTAATTTTCTATAGAACTTACTTTGCTTTCTCTGTTAGCAATGGCAGATTTTCACTAATCAAGCCATGGCTGAGCAGAAGAATAGATTCTGCAGTCATTGCTATATTCATTATCAATCCAGACACAATGCGGCGTAAAGTTTCATGCACCTTCCGAGACAACTTCAGGCTTGTGGTATTCTCTAAAATCTACAATTCAAAATTGCAAAATTCACCTTAAAACAGACACCCTGGAATCCAGTTCCTTTTTTACATATATTTATTTATTTGATTTCTATACCACCAATGAACTGAGATGGTTAATCATATGTGGCTGCTAATGAAAAGGCTCCCCAGCAGCACCCCTCTTTTGCGGCAGGGAGGGGTGGACACATTACTGTGTTGCTCTCCATGCTGGGCTGAAACACCACAGTGACCTCCATACTGTAGGAAGATTCCATCAAAGTGCTCCACCACATCACAGAGCCATCAGCCTGAGACAGTGGCCAAGGAACACAGCAATGCAATGCACCTGGAGGGCATCAGAGTGGGGAAGGCTGGTGTGTGGTCACCAGAAGAATGAAATCTAGTTACAGGCTTATGTTTGTGTATAGTGTGTTTGCACATACACACACACACCCCTCTGTTTATATGTACACATCCTGCACACAAAACTTACTCCAGGATCCCATGAAAATCAATTCTACCTTCTCACCTCTTTTAAAGGAAGAATCAGCTTAGTCACTTGGTCCTTCCCTACATATTTAGCAAGGATTTCGTAAGAATCAAAACTCTTGCTTCGGCGGGCCTCCATGACTTTGGACACGATGCCTTTCACTTCCTTCTCCTCAGCAATTTCTCCAAATAGCTCATGGTTGAAAATCTTTTCAGAATACCCAGAATCAACAAGGAGATAAGAAAGAAAGAAGAAAGAGAACAGTGAGAAAGAACAATGCAACAGTCAGTTGAAAACACAGTTCTTTGTACAGCACAAGGACAAGTGGTGACTTTTTTGGAATGAAGATGTATCCGTCCCCTCCTCCGCCCCACACTGCCCTCCACAGCCCAGAATGAACCAAAAGAAATGCCTTCCACTGGGGAACATTGTAACACGGGAAGTGGATCCTGAGCCTGTGAAAGTCAAGCTGAAGAGTGCTGGCTTTGTTCTTGATCTTCCCCTCATGAGCCAGTGGGCTCCATCACACAGATGGGGGCCTTGCCGGTGAAATTTACACAGTCAACAACTGCCCCCTTCCTAGGCTAGCATTAAGGGGGCTGTTATGTTCAAGAGGGCAGGGGCACCTCTTAAACAAACTCTTTGTACGTAGGGCACTCTTCACACAGGGCAGCTTCCCTCACAAAGGACGTACCTGAGTCATCAGTTCAATACAGGGATCCAAATCCCCAACTTGAAGCCGGTTACCAGCAAGGCTCTTCAGCAAAAGATGGACAGTGAAAGTCAACACGTGCACCTGCAAGGGCAGAAGAAACCAAGTTACTTCATGAAAGGGTGACACAGATGAAGGGCTGGCACAGGCTCTCTCTCCACCTGAGACAGGAGAGTCCACTCACACTGGCACAGACCGCTTCTCCACTCCCTCCACTCTATTACTACTGAGACTGACCCCGTTGCCACATACTGTGGCCACCCCAAACTCCTGGCTGGCTCTTTGGAGTACTGTGTTGGGCACTACGGTGTTTGTAAGGTTACCTGCTAAATCCACCTTCCATAGCAGGGATGCAGAATGTACAGCCAGCCAGAATCCCCACTTGGCCTGCAGAGCCTGCTGGAGAAATCCCCCCCTTCTCCCATGTGGACTTTGAGAGGATGGGGGGTTCCCCCGCATATCAGGCAATGGCAACAGCAATGCTGGCCAATGTGCTTTGCACAGGGCGTGCCATGCCTATGGAGACACTGAGCAGCGCATGAAGCCAGGCTCGCTGCCAGTGCTGACCTTTCCCTGTGCTAGGAGAAGCACAAAAGAATGATGAAAAGCTGGGTGTGGGGAAGGGTGGGGGCAGCGATGTCAAGGCACCGGCTCACACCCAGAGACCTCAAGCCCATGAAGGGCCCGGGGGCTATCTGGCCCCTACCCCAGCAATATTCAGCACCCCTGTTCTATATTATCCAGCTTTTTAAAAACTCTGCTCATGCAGCCAGCTTCTAAGCTTTTCTGTTGCACAGCACAGGGTGCAGCAGTTGGAAGGCACCCTGCACCTGTGTGCAAGTTGGGGTACTGATCCAACACTGGCATTAGGAAGGCACATAAAACAAGGAACACCTGATCCCTTTCTCAAATGACAGAGAAAAATGCCATTAGAAAAGCTGAGGCAGGCTGACGTGATGGGACAAATGACATGTGGCCCTCTGCCTGGTCAAGTCTTGACTGGTGAGAGACGGAAGGCTTCATCTGCCCCAAGACACTTCCCTCCCCACCCAAAACCTGTGCCCCCCTTCCAAAGCTCCACGTGCACACTTTGAGTATCGTGGTTATGACCCGTTTGCACTATTCTCCAAAAGCGGGAAAGCACGCCAATGTCTGGGCCACTGGGTAGGCTGACTACAGTTCTTCTTTATTTGGAATGGATGGATATCTCACTTCATAGCCAAATGGCTCTCCAAGCCGTTTGCCACAATCACATTCAAGTCTGGTATCCAGAGGAGAGGAGAACATGGTGTCCATATGGTTCCAGAATTAATCAGGTGTCAAAGTTCTAGGTGTCACCCTTTGGCCATCACCTAATAGGCAGCAGAGATCACTGGGAGCCTCTGAGGGAAGTGAAAAGACCCAGGGGCTGAAAGCCAATTGGGTTTCTATCTAATCAGACATTAGGAGGAGGAAGAAAGCCGGGGCTTTACCTGGTAACCATGGACAAGGGTTGTCTGCATCTCTTTTAAGACATATTCTAGGTACTGTGCCCCCAAAGCCTCCATTATTTTCATGAGGGTGTTTCGCGCAATGTCCCGGATTTCCTGTGCTCTGTTCCTCAGGAGAGAGCAGATTTTCAGGAGAATGCTGAAACCAAGGAGAGACAAAAATTACCAAAAGGAATGAAAAGAAGGAAAACTAAACACAAGCTTAAATGGGAAAGGGGTGCTTTTCAAGACCACTCCAACAATAGGCTTTTACTATATTTGTATTTCTAATTTCCAGACAAGTTATACCAACCTTCCCCAAAGTGGTATCCTCCACATTGGGCTACAATTCCCATAATCCCTGACCACTAGCCAATGCCTGTTAGTGCTGATGGGGGCTGCAGTCCAAATAATCTGGAGGGCCTTACATTGAGGAAAACCAATTTAAATGATGCAGATTTAATCTTCACCCAGAAAATGGTACCTTGGCAAATTCTCCTCCATGACATTTTGTGGGAGAGTTTGCATCAGCCTGACCATTGCAAAAGCGAGCGGCACCCGGACCACCTCTTCAGCATTCACAATCTTGGATTTCACCAGTTTGTGCTCTTCATCTCGTTTTACCTGTAAGGTATGGAAGGACATTGTGGGAATGTGGAAAGATGCTTTATACCAAGTCAAACACTGGTCCATGTGACTAGTCTTGATGGTGCCTGCAGTTCCCCCAAGTTTTCAGACAGGATTTCTGCCCTGGCTCATGCAGAAATGGTAGGGATTAGACTGCGGGCCTTCTGCACGCTGCACAAGCATTTACATCCCTCCCCAAAGTTTCTCCATAGTAATTCTGACTGCCAGGCAGGGTTAAATATCATTCTAAGCCCAGACAGAAATGCTACACTAGAACCATTGTGATGGAGTGACCTTTGCAGAGACAAACTAGAAAAACTATACTTAAGACTATTATGAAAAACTGAAGCATTACCTTTGCAATGAGACATCTGTGCAATTTTGGCAAGATATTGCTCGTTACTGTTCCCTGAATATGCTTAATCAGACATTCCAATTCGTCCTTATTCCTGGGCAGAAAGGAAATTGGTTTTGTAGCATTCTGGGGGTTCTCAGCTTCTTGATTAGCAATCTGATCAGGTAGAGCTACAGTTGGTGCCTCTTGTGTGTTGCCATCTTCAGGAAAATTCCTGCCATTTTCTTGGCTTTCTTCACCATCACTAAGTTCCAACTCCATAGCTTCACTCTCCACATCAAGCTCAGTATCCATGGCTTCTGCATCAGCTATGTGAAATGAGAAGAAAAGTGTTTGGTATATGCCAAGTCAAGGGTCTATCTTGGAATTAAGTCAGGTAAGACCCACAACAAAATCTGTGTAATGTAGTACAAGCATAGATGCCATAAAAGTTTCCTTGATATTTCCTACAGTTATTACAATGCATTAGAAACAACTCACAGAGAAGTAGCCATGTTCATTTGTTTGATCAAATACGAGTAGTCCTGTGGTATCTACCAATTTATTATGGGAAGAGTAAGTGTTCATGGACTACAGCCCACTCCATTCAATGAGAAATTAGAAGCTTACCTTCCTTCTGAATAATCTCAAGCTGCTTTTCAAGAGTTTCATAGTCAAAATGAAAAGCCTCCAGCACCGTAACTAGAAGGCTGTCAAATATAAGAAAAGAACAAAATGAGATGCTTAAATTCTGGAATTTCTAACTCTTTTAAATTCAGACATTTCTAAACTTTTCCTTACTCCAAAAGGCTGGATTAAGGAAAGTGAAAAACCACTTCATATTTCTCACCAGAATTGACTGGTCTTATCTACCTACAGTAAACAAATATCAAATTAAAGTTAAACTAACGTATATAAGACTTGTGCCTATACCATGTATAAATAAGGATGGGATTAGCCACTTTTATAGTGAAAACTAACCTAGATCAATAAGCAACCCACTTCATCTTGAAATACAAGAAACAGATATGGCCCCAAATCTTGTTAATTGTATCCTTGTTTACCAGGTTCTGGAATGTTTGCTTATGTGCACAATCTTATGTTTCAAGTATTGCAGAAGTATAGCAGTGAAACAGATTTTCTTAAAAAACTAACTACATGTGACAACCAAGTCATCAGGATTTAATCTAATCATTTCATTCCAGCAATGCTGAAGAAAGGAGAACAGAGGAAGTGTCCAGAGCCAAAATACATGATCAAAAGAATGGCTCAGCTACCTCTGAATACTTAAGAAGCTCAGTGAGAAAGAGCTCTGGGTGAGTCGGCTGAATCCAAAGTTGGGCTCCCACTCCCTCCAGTTGTAAGCAGTGAAAGAGCCAAAGGGCTTGGTGCTGAAGCTGCAGCACTTAAAAAAAAATTTCTAGAGCATTCTCCTTGATCTTCTGCATTGCTGCCTGCAAACCAGGTAACTCTGCTAATACAGCATACATTATCTCTTTAAAAATATGCTATTGCTTCTTTCCAGAAAGGAGACCTATTTTTCCTGGAATGAAATGCAATTTGTATTTCTGTTGTGTGTGACTCTCTCTCTCCAATTTAGTTTTAAGTTGTCAGACTGGGCCAATTTTTGTATTTGTACTGATTAATAGACTATGGTGTCTTTATTTTTCATACAGTTGTGCTTAATTGTATCCTATTTTTTTGAAACTGGTATATTTATGTTTTGTCCACAAACTTGTCAGAAAGCAGCATATAAATAAATGGATGATGGTAAGTTTGAGTCTGAGTTTCTTAAACACTAACTTTCTGAGCTGTACAGTAAACCTCTGAACTGAAGGGTGCTTTAGAAGCAAAATTGTGATGTAACAAGGGATTCTACTGCTCAAATAATATAAGCAAGGAATCCTTCTGGGCATGCCATGCTGAAAGGAGCTCCTAGAATCCTGATCAATGTGAAGTACAATCACACAACCTATAAAGCAATATTTTTGTTCAGACACAGCCCCACCTCTCATCCACACAATCAGCAAACCTGTAAACGTCACAACTTTAAAGTCTCAGAGAAACGCCTGCTTGCCAATTGCCTTTTTAATAGTGTGAGTGTGATGCTGATTGACAATGCAGAGCCATGCATATTCACTCAGATGAGCACTGCATCAGATGGGACTTACTCCCCGGTAAGTTGCACCCAGGACCAAAAGCTAAACCATGACATTGACATTTGCTGTACCTGACACCCAGTTTTTGATCGATCTGTCCAGTCTGCAAGACGTGTATGAAATGCTTCAAATGATAGAGGTACGCTGACCAAGAAAGATGCTTGCAAACTGCTCCTACCATTTCAACCGAAGCAGTTATCATGTTTTCATGCTAAGGAACAGCAACAAAAGAAAAAAAATGAGCCTCTGGGTGTGTGTCAAGCAATATAGAAAATGTATATATGGAAGTTCATAGACACAGTCTTCTTAGTCACCTGAGATTTCAGAATTCACAGTGAAAAAAATGTAGATTAAAATATTAAGCAGATGATCTGTGAATCCTGAAAAAACCTATCCTAACACAGCTTCATCTTCTGAATATCCTCAGCACATGATCTGCTTCCCAGTACTAAGGCACTGGTTCTTTTTTATCTGGCCTCCCTTAAAGAATTCTGAAGTTACAGGTTGCATTGGGAAAGTCCAGTGGGCTAATGATTAGTTTATTGGACTATAACCAATTTATTTATTGGTTTTATATTGTACATTTTATATTTGTATTTTAATGTATATATTTTAAAATGTTATTTTAATTTATTGTTGTAAGCCGCCCCGAGGCTTCGGCGAATGGGGCGGCATAAAAATGTTTTAATAAATAAATAAATAAATAAATTTACTGGACTATAACCAGGGAGCCTAAGGTTCAAGCACCTCTTCAGCCATCAACCTCATGGGTGACCCTGGGGCATCACACTCTCTCTGCTTAACTTAACTCCCAGGCTACAAAGATAAACTGGGGTGGGCAGGAACAGGATGCCTCCTTCTGCTCCTAGGAGGAAGAGTATACCATAAAACTGATAAATATAAAATAATGAGCTCTCCAAAGTTTAGTGTCCCAGAAATTGTTATGAATTGGTTCCGGCCTCTTTAAATGCTGAAGAACTAAAGAAAATAGTTAAATAACTTTTATGAAGTATAATACTCTGAGCAGTTCCTATAATGAAGAAATTCAGAAACAACTCCTCCTCCTCCTCCAGTCTAGGAATCACAGAAAGGCATTGTAATGAGCCAATCTAAAATAAATTATTCTTTCAAACTCTTCTCTACTCAGGTAAAAGAAAATCATCTTGTATAATATTCATATACATTGATGTAAGAATATATCACAAGGGTACTGAATAAAAGTAGGTCCCACCTTTATATGTGCAAAGGCTCACCTTAAGCATTTTCTCATCAAATATAGTAGTAGTTGCATAAGGCATAATGTAGTTCTGAAGAGATCTGGAAGACAATTCAACTTTGCCTTCAGCAAGCTGCTTAGCCAGTTTCTTCAAGGCCCGTGCCCTTCTGTGAATCTGAGAGATACAATAGTTAGCCAAGATTATTTTCACTGAGACGATTCATAGTTAATTTGATAAACCAAGTCCATTTGAGTGCTAAAATCCATTAAAACAGGGAAAGGAAACCTGCAGCCTTCCAGAAGTTCTGGTACCTAGCTAACAGACAGTGGTGAGAGTCAATGGTAGTTAGAACCTTCCAGATGTTTTGGTTCACCAGTTGCCACTGCAGAGCCAAAAGCTTCACTAGCTCATAACAGGCTGAAATAACTGCCATTCCTAACAAGGCTCTTCTCCAAAATAAGTTACTCCACTACTCACTTGCAACTCTGCTTGCCAACTGAAATTGAGTAAGAGGAGGTAAAACATTCTGAGCTGCTCCTTTCTGAACACTAAACCTTAAGCATATGCTAGGGTGTTTTAAAAAACATTACTGTCAATTTATTAACACAAACAAGGTGGCTATTCTCATAGCCATCAACAATCTTCAATATTTTGCGATGGAAAGTAAGGCAACACTTAAATAAGTTTACATGGAAAGAAAAAGATCATTAAGTGATGTAAATGTAAATATTACCAACTTTCCACCAGCAGTTAAATAACATAAACTTGGAGTCATTAGGTGAACAGGAAGGTGAACAGGATTCCTTTTACCTGAATATGCTTCATATTTTCAAAGAAGTCCATCTCTGGATCATGGTAGTCAGTTAGCTGGACCAAGTCCTGAAACTCTGAGTGTTTGGAAAATGTTCGAATCAAGCAGGAGAGTAAGGAAGTATAATCCTGCTGGATGCACTGCAAGCAAGAAACACCAAAGAAAAAGTAAGAACACATGGCTTAAACCGACACCTAAGTGTACCATCTCTGGAGGTCTGTCTTTCTTTTTAACAGAAAGCAAAACTCAAACCACACTCGTCCATGTGAGTCTTTTCTCCATCCAACTCCTGTCCCTTTCTAACTGTTATTCTTAGCAGGCCATGTCTGTAGCCACCCAATGCTTAATCTACATATAGCACTTTTCCCCCCATCAGCTTTTAGAGCAAATGGATTTTATACCAGCAGATGCTTTCATCTGCAGGGATGAACTGTGACTCCTTCCAGCAAGCACTGAAGGAGAGCTGTAGGGAATGAAGGCATGGAAAGAACACACACAAATACTAGCATGTAGGGGATTACCATTTCCAGCACCGGGACCAAGCACAAAGAGAGTTGTGAAGGCTACATTATACGTCAGGTTGTACCATCTATAGAATCCACATCTCAAGCAAGAAGGGGAGCTTTCAACAAAGCAGTTATCAAACCTTCTCAGCATCATCCAAAAATGTGTTGTACTTTAACAAATCCTGGGTGGTCACAATGGGGTATAGACTCTGTACACAAAATAATGTGCACAATTAGCCACAATGATGGGTTCAGAAAGCATGATATCCCACACTCAAGGATTGAGTATGGGTTAAGTGTGGGTTATTGTTGAAACATGGGTTGCTGCTGTAATGTGAGTTACAATGTTGTCTTAACCCAGCCAACATAATAAAGCATAATGAACAACATACAGTTCACAACCCATCAACAAACCATGAGTTCTCTTCCTGCGTTGCTCATAGGTAACAATCCGTAACTTGTTAATGTAGCTAGGCTCAGATAAAACAACAACCTACATTTCAAAAACTTACATTCAACCCTCAAGTATGGGCTGCCTCAACTCAATGGGTCTTATACAAAATGTAATGTATCTGCAATATTAAGGATTTTGCCACTCAGAATATCTTGCAATTAGGGCAAAAAATATGGAAGGAAGGGAGTTCTAAAATAGGAATAGGTACATATATTTTATGTATGCTTCCATTTTTCACTATCTGTGCATGTGTCTACTGCTAAGTGTCTAAGTCTTGGATGATTTATTGCAGAAATGCAGGGTAAAAATAAACAGACAGAAACCACTCTAAAAGAGCTGGGCAAAACATAAGAGATCCAGACCATGATCAGTGAGAAACCTGCACAAAGCTCCACCTGAAATGGAATCTGCCCTTGCCCAAGCAACAGACAGCCAGAGAGAGAAGAGCCTTTTACCTCTGTCTTGCTCTTCAGTCCTTTTCTTAAAGCCTCCAGAAGTGTGTGCTGTATTATTTCCTTGTATTCATCTTCTGTGTGATCAATTTCAGCAAACAGACTAATAATAGCATTTAGGCAGAGGACTGCACTGTCGCTTAGAGACATCTGCCCTAACTGAAGAAAGAAAACATTTATGGCAGCTCAAATTACAAGAAATAATATTGAAATAGGCTATTATAATACTCAAAGACATGCAGATATAAATGTAAACGAGACCCTTAACAATAACTCAGAGCAACTGTCATGGGAATAATATCCCAGAAAACATTTATCACCAGCAAGTAATAACTAAAAGGGTTCACCTGCCTTGTAACAATGAACACTATGAGGATCAATCTTTTACAAGCTTCCTTTTTCATATCAAGCAAAACAAGAGTTTTGCTATTTTATATGCAGCAAAGACAACTCATATGCTTACTCTTTTCTGGAATACAGCCAACATTTTCTCAGGTTTTAACTTCTAACCACCCTCCACCCACAGAAGGAAAAGGGAAGAAACTGGAGTAAGCGGAAACATTGAGTAAATAGCTTCCATAAACTGCCTCCACCCAATTATTCCCCTATTTCTATTCCCCACTTCAGATTGCAGGGCTTTTCTGGGGGTCCTGTTTCCCTTGCAAAACACTTTTGGGGGCATGTGCAGACTGCAGTGATAAGAGAGTGAGGGAAAGCTCTATGGCCTAAGGGGACATTTGCTCATAAACTCTGACATAAGCCATTTAGAGTTTTGCAGCACCTGCCCATCAGCTATTATCTTAGCAATATAGTACCATTAATCCTAAGCCACTCTTCTTCCTTTTGTTAAACTGCTGATTAGAAACAGGCTTGTAGCTCTCAAGAGATAAATCAGAGATTCCTATTGGAATAGTTAGCAGCATACAAGTACAAAAATAAATAAATAAATTCTGCTTCAATTACTTCTTTGTATAATAACCAAACAATAATGATAATGTTTACCTAAGATAGCTTATGACTCTTTTGTGCAATGTGCATAGCTACCTTGGATGTTCTTTTGAGGACTAAAAGGCACAGTATTAACATTTTTAATGAATAAATTAAGGCATGGGAATGGAAACTTGAAGTCAGACCATCACTATGAGCAAGGGAGCTGGGAGGAAAAATATGCAAATACATGGCTTTCTCAGTTCCCAAAAGAACAATAAAAGGAATTAATTTTCAAGAGCATCATCATAAGTCAAGGGCAAATATTTTCCATGTGGGTATAACTCACCTGTATGGTGTAGAAACAGTTATGCATAACTGGAATGAGGTAGCTGACATCCGCTGTTTTCATCTCCTTGATATGAGAAGTGATGGTCTGGAATGCTGACAACCGGACGTCATAATCGATATCATCAAGATGCCGTGAATCAAAAGCATTCAGCTATGACGGACAAAAGGTTTAACAAGGATATAAATAAAAAGGATACTAAACATGAGGCCCATTCACACATAACAGTGATAGATTAAGTCATGATTTTTCACACAGCTGTCAGTGTTGTTTTGAATATGCAACCTGTGATCAATCCAAAGATGCTCTAACAAGAGAATCTGGATTAAACAACTAAAAGTTAACCTAACAAGTAACTGTAGATTAACTTTGCATTGTTTAGACCATGATTAACCCATATTGCCTGGGTTAGCACTTCACAGAGCAACCAGAGCATATTCAGAACGGCATCTGTACACAACTCTGGCAAATCATGGGTTAATTCACCCTAATTCACCTATTCGTGTGAACTGGGTCAATGTTAGATAAATTCAGGAAAAATGTTACATACCTTAACTGTATCTGTAATGTATTTTAAATTACTTTCCAATTCCGATAGTGTCTATTAAAAATGAAAAATTAAAAGACATTTAACGAACAACTTCAACTTAGAATAACTTTGCACATACTTTTGCTACTAGAGATCTAGCAGAGCTAAAGGTAAAGCAGTGTATATTGTTGTGTATGAAGAATACACATGTGGGCAAGGACTGAACATCAAATGTGCATTCATTAGATATGATAGGCCATACACATATCTCACCATTCTTCCTCTATGGAAGTCATAGCTGCATAGCAGAAAATGTTGTGCAAAATTATCTTAGAGTCAATAACATAGTAAAGTATCACAAAGTATGCAAACAATTGCTCCTTCCATATATACAATCACATATAGACTATTAGAATATTTTAAAATCCTTTTTAACTTGTTCATCTTTTCCCCAAGACAAGGAGCCTAACATTTATTGAGTGTTTCTTCATATTTCATGCAAGATGGGAAAAACCCAAACCCCTACAGAATTCAAAACGTGGATGCCCCAACCTTTTGTTCCAGTGTATCTACTTGATCAAAATCTCACCAGTCATTCTACAACCCTGACATAACATCTGGCAAGATCTCTTAGGTATTATTCATCAACTGCTAGGAAAACTGCACTTTGCATGGTTTTCCTGTAGGCCTAGAAGGCCCTGAAGGAGATCTGCTGAAAGCCCCTCTCCTCCAACCTCCATCAGGTTGGAAAATACAAAAGAAAAAGGAACAGTTTCACACAAGAGTCGCAGGGCCTCTGGATGCTGTCAAGTTCTCAATTACATCATCAAGATGTCTCCCAAGTAAATCATTATGGGCCCAATACACGTAGGAACCAACAGAGTGGTAAGTCACCCATTACTAATCAACTAGCACAATAATATACAATACCTCAAAAACAGTGCAGAGTGTCTGACGAGACAATTTGTTCTGAATAACAGAAAACAGTTTTGCCAGGGGATTGAGGAAGCTTGCTGGATTCAAGCAGTGCTTCAGTAGATTTTTCACTGTTTCCAGGATATCAATTTCTGTATCCTGAAAGAAACAGATGCATTCTGAAGATCTTGCAATGCCAAAATAAATGAACAATCATTCAGTAACTGTGGAAAGTGACTTTATGCATTCCTTTATGAATCCTAGAGACAATAAGCATGATTTAGTTGAAAGAAACACACCAGTCAATGAAAGGGCATCCATCAATACTTGACATTTTAGCAAAAAATAAACAAAGTAGATCCCACTAGTTTAATATCTACCCATGCTTGCTCTAAAAGACATAATACGTAGCAACAAAAACACACTGACTTTATTATAGTATTTATAACAAATGTGTTACAAAAGACAAATATTTATTCTCAAGGCATTAATCCTTGCAACAACTCTGCGAAGGACATAAACATTTCCATATTCTTTGTGATGTAACAACACAACTGGACAAATATTCAATGTTAAACAACTTGTTCATAAGACTTAATATTTATTAAGATCTATATTCTAAGAACTCTTTAAGTGTTTCATGGACATTATCTCTATAACCCTTACAATAAATACTTTTAAACAGTTCAGAATTATTAGTAAACTTATTATAGATATCTGTGTTCATGGGTGAGCTGAAATTTGAATCAAAATCTTCTAAGCTCTAGAACTCTATTCTTAACCACCAAGTCTTAAAACAATAAATACATAAAAGGTGCTGTCCTCATGTGCCCCTATGCTTGCTGATGTGAAAGAGCTTTGGCACTTTTAAAAATAACCCAGAATGAACAGATGTACTATTTTCTGGGACAGGGCAAATCAAAAGAGCTCTTGGAAGAAAGCTCTGTTGACCTGCCATGAACTGGAAGCAAGCACTTCTATTCATTTCTGGGACTACTTTTAGATGCACCAAAGCCTTATTGTGCAAGTGGTGATCCTGAGAGAGCAACAAAACCAGTGGAGAAGCAGCAGCCCCATAGGAACCTGCCCCATAAGGCACCAAAGGGCAGATTTAATAAACACTGCTCTGCATGGTTAGCAGCAGATCACAATGGTCTACAACAATTTCCTGAACATTCCTCAGGAAATGTTATTACTTTCCATAGGCATAAACCAAAACCTACCTGTATAATGGTACTCTGGTGGAGGAATGGGAGGAGAAGACCAATCAAGATTGAACTCTGACTCTTGTCCTTTATAAACTTGCTGATCCTACATGCAACAGAAGCTAGAGGTTAGTCTTGAGCTGGTATAAACATTATCATCATTAATGATCTAACAGTTTAAATTGTAAGTTATTGTTGTAAGAGCATCTTTCTAGAAAAGATATGGTGTCCTATTTTGCTGTTCTGCTTGACTGCATGAATAAAAGCCAAAGAAGAAATGCAACAGATCAATAGTTTAACTGCTATCATTCTTGGATCTTTGTTCTCCTCACATCACTAAGGCCACTTCATAAACCTTTTGACATTTCTTAGACTGGCTAAGAAAGCCATACAAACTCAGGTAATTGTCCTGGGGAAATGTATTCCTGATCTAAAATCAGCCATCAAGAACATCATCTAAGCACCTCCAACACAGTAACTGATGCCAATAGTTTATCGTTCATGAGTCTAAGCCAATTAAAGGCACTTGTACCAGGACATAATCCCCGAGCTGGAAAGGTCCCTGGGCCCATGATTGCTTACACTGAGAAAATAGAGAGGAAGTACAAACTTTTTTGATCAAGAATCAGAGCAATCACATAAACTGGGTACATGATTCAGGTTTATGCACCGTTTTATAGACATTCATGCCTTAGAAATTTACTACTACTAAGCATACTATCGAATGTATGAACTAGAGTTCAGGATTCTGAGCATCTCAAGTTGGAAAGGAGCAGATAGTTGGTGATGTGTAAGATATTTGTCTATGATTCTGAACACCTGATGTCAATCAGGGCAGACCAGGCAAAATGGATTAATAGCGAGACATGATATAGGACATATTCTTGGTGGGATGCTGGAAGGAGGCAGCCTCTAAGCTATGCAGACTAAAATTCTACATTCAGAAGCCCTTTGTCATTTTATGGGAGTGGCCTATCCAAGCCGATGGTTCAAATGCAACACATGGCATTTAAGGGACCTTAAGGAACCCCTTACTTTGACAGAATGTTGAGTTCTTTGCTGACTTGAACTCTGTACTTTTTCTTCTTCATCTTGTCAACATTGAATGTTGTTTTGCTCAGGTATTGAAGAATTGCAGGAACATGAGGCAGAACTAGCCTTACACCTATGCTGGGGTCATCTGAAACAGAGAAAGGATGTTATCATGTTCTTTAAATCTGGAGTGGGGAATCTCTTGCCTGCAATTCTAATTTGCCCCTCACAAGATCCCAATCCAAGTCTGCCATCCAATGGCCCTAGATGGTCAAGTCCTCCTTCCCTTCCCTAGCCTGAACACCTTTCCCTAACCATGACCCACTTGGTGAATTCCTGGCCCATGTGCATGTTTCCCTGTTCTAAAAGGCAACCAGAGTTTTAAGCTGTAACACAGTGGGCTTTTTAAATTATTATTTTTGGCCTCACCCACTGAAAAATGCAGCCTCTGAGAACATCTCCAAAACTGAATTTAGCCCTTGGGCTGAAAAAGGTTCCCAACCTGTGTTATAATCTGTAGCTAATATAAAAAGCCAGCTCAGTACTTGAAGCAGGAAAATAAGTAACAATATCCAATCCTTGGCAAATAGCACAGCAAAAAAGCATGGAGTTATTTAATTTATAACCCATTTAATTTATATCCCATTTTTCTGCATATCATCTTCAATGCACCTAATGGTGATGATTAAAATATTTTAAAGGTTTATTTTTTTAAAAAAAGGGGAAGGGGAGGGAAGGAACATAACTAAGATCCCTTGTAGCTTTGCTTGCCCTCGACAGTTCTACGTTTAGTATCTATCAAATGAATGCAAAGTAACAAAATAAGCTGTTTCCAGGCTCTCTAAATCAATGTCCATGGTTGGTGCCTGCTGCATTTTGACAGCAGGAATTTACCAGGACAATTTCCAGGCAAGTCTTCTCAAAGTATAATTTAGTAACTGGTTATAAAATTTAGTAACTGCACTAAGCTGAAAACAGCCTCATTCACAAATCAGTTTCAACTCCAACCACAAGCAAACTGCACCAGCAAAAAGAAAAACTGTCCACCTGCCACAAAGCCGGACAGCTGACTGTTCCTACCTCCTGTCACTTCATCGACTTCTGCAAAAATACAGTCGGTCACTGTCAAGCTGCTAAGCTGGTCTGTGGGCTCAAAGTCAGGGGTGTTGAGGAGGCTGTCAACCACATCCATCACAACATCAGCTGTTGCCTCACATAGGTTTTTGGTGGAGAGCAGAGCAAATACATTGGATAATATATCATATTCTGGATGTCCTGGCTTCTGTTTGGCCAGCAAAGGGAAATACCTAACGATAACGAATGGAGGAGATAGAAGAGGATTAAGAAATGAATTAGGTAAGGTTCAGTAGTTGTCAACTTGTGATTAAGAAAAAGGCAGAGTTTCTGTTCCACAGATATTTTTTAAGAAGCAAATGATCAGGATTTACATTGTTGCTATTCACAGGAGCCAACAACCTGTTTTGCTCTTTTGGTCATGGGAACTGGGTATTGAATACAAAAATACCATCCAAGCACACACCCTTTTCTCTGCTTCTTGCTGACACTCCATTCTCCTGTCCCTCTTCCTCTCCACTTACCAGGCTACTTGGGAAGGGCCAGGTTGCTCTTGCCAGAGGACTGAACTGATTGCATGCAGAGGTCATTGGAAATTAGCCTCAGAGCTGCAGGTGCCCACCCCTACGCTAAAGTATGGGTTCGCATGACATGCAAACGTTTCCCTGATTAATCCACATAGCTCTAGTTCATGCCAAGGAAACATATCTAAGCTCCTTTAAAAAAACAAACTTAGAGCATATGTAGAACAGGACACACATTGTATTAAGGTTAATGAAAAGCAACAGACATTGCTATACAGCCATTGCTTACAGCATTAAGTTCATTGAATAGTACTGCCTGCCCTCATTTCCTGAAGCAGCTTGGGTGATGAATGGAAGAAAGAACCATGCAATCCCTTCCCCAGAACAATTTATCAGGCACCAAGAATATTTAGACTATTTAGCATGCACATGTCAAGTTAAAATGCTGCTTTCCCCATGAGGCATTTAGTGGTATTTGAGCCTCTTAACACTGTTGTGCTGATGCCAGATCAGGCTTAATGAGTTCCATTCTATTAAAGCTCATTTGTGACATTCTCTGATTTTTCATTTTTAAGGCTTTATTTTGTAGGAAGCCTTGGAGATTGCTTAGTTGGGTTCCTAATCAACCTGTTCCCTAATCAATAGCTCCCCGCAAACCAATTACTACCCATGCAATTATGTTGAATTCCAACTCAAAGGGCAATATTAAATATGGAATGACACTTCTAAGAAGTAAAGAACTATGTCAATGATCCATAAAAAATGATTGTGTCATGGACCACTGTTCAGTAAAGAGGGAAAATTCATAAGAGAAATCCTCCATTTTCCTTACTTATACATGACTAAACTGAAGAATGTGTCCTGCAAGAGGAGGTTTCCAAATCTCCTGGAAAACGTGCCATTTGCCTACAGTCCCATGAGCCCCCATAATAAATCCTATGTGATTTATATTCCACTTTTATAGACAAAAATAAGGGAGTTCTAGAACCAGGAAGCAGCTACTGAGAAGGCTCTCTGTTGCATCACCACCAAGGATACTTTCAATGGCAGAGAAAAGGGCTTCCCCAGAAGATCATAAAATCTGGGCAATTTAAATATCTTCAAGCCAATGAGCCAGCAGGTTTTAGGTGCCTTCCAACCCGCAACTTCACAAAATTAACCCATGAATGTTTCTTACAGTTTAGATCCCCAGCACTATCTTTTACATAATGAAAAGACAAACAACTGAAGGTCCTTCACTACTGAGATGAACTCTAACAGCCCTTTTAATACCTAGAAGCTCTTTCCCAAGGATATCCAGGTTTGGAGTCAAAGCTGGATAGGATCCTTGCACTCTAATAAAGCATGTCCTGATCTTGGAGATAAAGCTAGAGCTGAGGTGAAGCATGGCTTTCTCCATGTGAAAAATACGACCAGTAAGATCAGAGGCAGCCTACATATGTGGTCTCCAGGAGATCCCCCCCTTTTGCAAGCTTGAAAAGATATTCCCTTAAGGTCAAACTGGAATAGTCATCACACCTCCCTTAAGGGAAGCTGTATGAAGCATACTATTATATTTGCCTGAATATGAACTGAATATTTTACCTGGGAGTTTTGCTCCAGATGTGAATTATTTTCAGTAAAATAGTAGGAGAATATTGGCTCTCAGAGGCTAGCCTGGTAATCTGACACAACAAAACAGAAGAAAATAAAGCTGGGGTAAAAGATCTTGCTGCACAGTCTTAATTAGCACAATCATAATTTGCTTCTGAAAGAGAAAATCAGTGTTCGCTGTGATGTCCATGGAGCTGGAACACTGATAGCTAAGCCAGGGACCTCCGCCTTCGATCAGAAGAGAGAGCATTTTCCAGCACTTTTTAGATCTTCTGCCACACCACTGGATTCCCAGAGATTTGCTGAGAAAGAGAGCATGCAGGGAACATTCCATGTTTCCCAGCAGAACTGAACTCCCACTAAATGGTGCAATGCTCTAAGAATGCAGCTGTGCAGCTCTTTCCAGTTGCAGCAGCTGCATCAGAAAGGGCTGCATCACCTGGAAGTCCTGGGAAACTTCCAAGTCATCGTTATCTAGGTCACAGTCTCCTAGATTCAGCAATCTAAAAAGAAGCATTCAATTTATTTTTCATATTTTTGAGAGGTTTAATCACAGAAGGCTGCATTCAAGACTGGCAGTTGGCCCGCACTCATCAGATGGCACTAGTTGGATTGACTGCTAGCACTTGCTACAGCAGCCTTAGATATGAACTTGACCTACCATTTCTGGAAAGGGAGAGGTCAGTAGCTCTCTCTTCAAGCTCCATCCACCTGCCCCATTCCAGAAATGCTAGTCGGAGCTAGTTTCTGGAACGAATGTAGCAAGCTAACAACCATTTCTGCTCGCCTGGGATACTTCCCAAAGTTCCTGCAGTACCACTGGGTGAAAGCTTCCATGACACCCTGATTTGTGTGGCAGGAAGATGCCCTTGTCATGAATGGCATATATGCTGCTGTGCTACTGTGGCAAGTCGCATACCTTCGCCCAGCAACGAAGTGACAACCCAATTTGATTTAGTTTAGGTATATGCCCTACTCAACTAGAAATGAAACTTCGTTGTTTTTACATTTCTCAATTTTAAACAAGGAGTTAGACTTGCTGAAGTTATACCTGAAAGCCATTAGATTTGACAAAATTCATGTTGTTCATCAAGGATTAAAATTATTTAAACTGAATTAAATTCAGTGAGTACATGGGCATAGTTTGAATAGTTAAGTTGGTATGTAAAACTCAGATGCTTTCTTCAAGCATTCTCTCTTTTTAATCCAACAGCCACTTTTTTCCCCTACAACAGCCATTTCTACAGTCTGAAGACTACAATGGCAAGACAACTACTGAAAGAAGCAACTTGGCAACTTTACACTGCCCTTACCTGGGGCCACACTACTGCGTGAAAAACTGCTTCAGTCTCTTCCACAGTGAAGTTGTATGTTTCAAAGTCAGAGAAAAAATTTGCTGCAAGTTTTAGTCCAAGTCGCCTCAAGTTTTTTAGTGGGTTAATCAATTTGACTTGAATCTGGAAAAGAAATTATTACAATCTTGTGGATGGGTGTTTGTGTGTGTGTGTGTGTGTGTGTGTGTGTGTGGTTCCCCCCCCCCAATCATTTGCAGTGTGGTTATCATCACTGCATTTTTAAAAAGCAGGCACTAGGTGTGGCATTTAACTGTCTAGAATGTGAACTCACAACTGTGTGTAGGGTCCCCTCAGTTTTATGCCACACCCTCATGCCTGCTTGCACCATATACCACATGTCTGGGATGGCACTTCTAGGAAGGAACTTTTAAACATCACATCCACTCCGTATTTTGCTACCAAGAGGAAAGGGCTTTTTAACAACCTTGAAATACATTCATCAACTCAATTGCTTAGCAGAGGTGGTTCTGAAAATTAACAGTAATTACTGCAGAGTGGAAAAGAGTTTGATATTTTTTGTGTAGCAATGAAAGAAAATTGAGAGAATGAACCTACAAGATTCTACCCCAAAAGAGAACTTCAGGAAATAGTAAGCCTATAACTCCATTTATAGCTATACAAAGTAGAAGTTTAACAAAGGTTGGAATATTAGTTTGCAATAAATGACTAATGAACTGAGAAAAGAACCAAATATAATATAAATGAGTTTCCCACAGTCCTTAATTGCCTTTTATCTCCTCACTAGATAATGAAATGTTAAATCAAGTTTAACAAATGACAATGCTGGAAGGTATTTGTGAAGCTAACAGTTACTGAATTACAGCTTTTCATCTTAGAGTTAGTGGATAACTTCATGCAGAGAAGTGAATACCATGGACACCATTAACTCATCTGTCAAATAATTAATTTCCTTCCAGTCCAAAAGTCTGCATGCCCATATAGGGAAATAGATTTTGCATTGCTACCTTTCTGGAATTGCTCTCTTTGCACTTAATAGCTACTGCTATAGCAGATAGATGAACAGTAGTGAGCCATTTACTGTGTCTGATTTTAGCTGGGCAGACCCAAGTTCAAATTCTTGGTCCATCATGAAGCTTATTGCATGATCTTGGGCCAGTCACTATATCTCAGCCTAACATACATCACAGGATTGTTGAGAAGATAAAGTCAAAGAGGATAAAGCTATTTATGCCAACCTAAACTGGATAAAAAAATTGATCTGGACAATTAAACTTGCATGTCAGCTTAGCTTAGTTTCCTGTTATATGGTTTTAGAACAACACAACAATCTTGTCATGAGAATCTTAACCAGGACAAGATTTTAACAGGAAAACACGGGAGAACTGGTTAAGTAAATGCCCAAATTATAAATTATTATTAAAACAGGGGTTGTAAAAGCACTTTATCTTTACAAAGTGTTGCCAAAATAATGTCAAGTTTCTTGACGTTATCAGGAAGCTTATTTGTCAGTGTATCCACTGATTTTATGAAGTTTCAGAAACTTTGCAAAAAGTAAAAGTAAAACTCTTCCCCCAGGTGCCGCTACTTAAAAAGAAACCTATAATGAAATTCTGAATCATCTGTGAGCTTTGTGTTTTAAGTTCAGGAACAAGACTGCAGGTTTCTTTTTTAAAAATAAACATTCAGAAATAACATATTTACATTAAATTATGTTCATACATGCATAAAGATATTTGACACTCAAATGCATTCAAGTAGCACATAATTTTAAGTCCACATTCATTCTTATTTAGAAAGCAAATCAGCATTTTATTTCATTGACAGTACTCTAGGGTATAATCCAGTGAGGATACAGAACTCACTAGATTCTGGGCATCCATGCAAGGTGGAGGTGGTGAAGGTCCTCCTACCCTGCAAAATACTTCAATGGCTGATTTCGGCTGTCCAAGCATGAGGAAGAAAGGATCCCTCAGCAGGATCCCTCAAACCATGGTGGGGCCTGTCTCCTCCCCTCTCCACCCCACCCACCCTCAAGAGCCTGCCTCCCAAGGTTGCTCTCATGACCTGGGAGTCACAGCCAGCATGGTCTGTTCCGTGCCAGCTGCAAGGGAGTGGACAGGGTGTTCCAAGTTGCAAGTCCCAGTTCTGCCCTCAGAGCAAGTTTCTGAGCCCAGAACTGGAACTGTGCAATATCCTATGGCTGTCTAGAGAGCACCTAGCAGCCACAGAACTGTTCTGAAAGTATTTATTTCTATGTCAGTACAGTGATCTTTAGTGATGTCTGTTTAGATTATTCTACAACAGTTCTTTAAAATTTGTTATTTGCTTTTGAGGACATTAGGTAGGAAATGCATACAATGCAGCACATTTCTGACCTTTTCTCTTTTCTGAAGAATGCAGGATACAGTTGCTGTCATGCAAAGTAAAATCTGAAAAATCTCAGGCAGGTACTGACTGATCAGATGTCCCAGGTTTTTCAATACTACTTCCAGGCTGTTGAAGAGACTATGCTGGCGGCCTAGAGGCAGGACTCGGGATAAGTCCAGTTCTTCCATTGCTTGGAGCACTGCAGAGTGGCAATGTCCTTCAAAGAAGAGGGAGTGGGGAGAAGACAACAATGGCTGGGTTCACACAGAACACTAACCCATGATAAAGATGGTTGAACTCTTGAGTTATCATGATGTACAAACCCAGTCTCACCAATAAACCATGGTTTCTTAACCACAAGCAGTCCAATGCTCTTGGATAAGCTCTGACCAGTTCATGTCATGGCTAAGTATGGATTAAACAACCTATAATTAGTCCTGGCTGCACTGGAGTGAGGGAGCACATGGCTCCCACATGCTTATCACTTCTGCTTTGCTTCATTATTGTCATGACGTGTTAATCTGGCACTCTGGGTTGTTCTGTGTTAAACAACCTGGAGTTCATATGTCATGATAACAACTGATAAACAATGGATTCTTGGGTTGTTCAGCAAACTGGATGGGGATGTGTGGGCACCGTAATAAAAATCAGGCTTTAACCATCATCTCCAGCTAAGCAGGATTTCAGGAAGCAGGGTTAGCAAAACCCAAGAAAGCAGTAAATATTGGGCTACATGTCCCATGGGTGAAAGCAGTACAAGACACCTTTATATGAGCAGAAAGATAGATAGGTATAGATCAAAACATACTGAAGAACAGCTAAAATTGAGACTACAAAAGCAGTTGCCTAAGTTGAGAAATTACCCCCTATATTTCTCCATAAATTGCAATCAAAATAAACAACCCGCTCCTTAAGATATGAAGCTAAATCTCAAAGCTGCTTTCATCATGATTGGTGCACATGTTACTCTGGTATGTGCACTTTAAAAAGTTGGGCCTGAAACAAGATGTTGCATTGTATTGTCAGTTCCAAGAAGTCTGCAAGACCCCCCTTCATGGTACTATAAGGCATAAGGAACATAAACAACAAATTCCAACCAAAACTCCCTCCCACTGTTAGTCTGGTTAACCAGTTCTCCCTTCCAAGTGATACTAACATTCTGTGGTTACTGGGTTGTGCTTTGTTTGTGTTTTTGAGTGATGGTCTGCCCCCTTATTTGTAAAAAATTACTTCTGCAACATTCAGGACATCCCCCCTACCCACCTCAGCCAAGCACACAAATATCTTTGCAAGTTCACTAAGATAGTGTCATATAAAGCATACCATTACTGAAGTGTTTCACAGGTTCAAAAAGGAGATCCAGGAACATTCTCAGTTCTTCTGGCAGTGAACCAGCTAAGAATCTCAAAACAATAGCCATGCGGGTCCCTGCTGCAGACTTTCCCTGCGTTTTGTTTCCAGTTTTGTTTCTCATCCGTCCATAGAGAATCCTTCCAACACCAGAAAGAAATCATATTATCTTTTCAAACGCTATCAGCCTGCATAGCGCAGACATGGTCTGCTGGACTTGAGAAATTCTTTTAAGAACTGTACAGGCCCACCCCCACCCAATTTCATTTTTATCCCACCATGGAGCTCAGGACAGGAAACACAGTTCCTCCACAGATTTAATCCTCACAACAATCTTGCAAAGTATGTTAGGCTATAAGGTTGGAGCGGGTTCAAGGCCAGCCAGTGAATTTCATGGGTGAGTCGGATGCAGACTCAGGCTGAGAGTCTGCATCTGAGCAATACACCACCACCACAACCCTGGTGCTCCAACAAGAGCAACCACCAGGATAATTACTGGGGAGGTTTGCCAGTAATTTAATCAGAAACATAGTCAGGTTTCATAACAGCACGGAAGCAGCACAATGAAAGAAGCACTCATTCATCCTTAGCTTGCAGAAGATGCATCTTTGCATAAAAACATGAGCACACCACACTTATTTATACAAAAAGGCAGTCTATTCACAATGAAATTGGGCCACAGATTCAGAAATCCTACTGCATTTTGGAAGTAGGCAGATGCATTTCCACATTTAATACTTAATTTCTAAATGAATATGCAGAAGTGATTTACCTCATTAAAACAGGAACTAGTCCTGATCGGTGCAATGCCTTAACGATTGTGCTTTCTTCAGAAATGCTGAAATGAACGATTTCTTCTTTAAAGCTCTTGTCTTCCAGTAGTCGTTGTAAATTCTCTCTGTAAGCATATAAAGCAACTGAAGAAAAAAATCTTTCACACAATGTATTAGAAGACAAAGTTACCAATCCTAAAACAAGTCATGATTATGTCTGGCAAAGAGAACAAATGCACATTAAACTACACATACTCTCCAAGGAAAATTTCTCCCATGTGATGGTCAATGCAGAACATAAACAACCAAACGTTGACCCATTTCTTACCTGTATGGCAGTAGATATGGCTGTTTATAAGTCATGATGCAGTCAAGAGCTACTTTTTGCACATTCTGGTCTTGATGGGTCAGCAGCTGAATATAACATTTTATACAAAATAAAAGTCACAAGAGAACACAACTGTAAGGCTGTCATAACCACTCAGTGAATCTGTTCTGACATATTATAACAATTAGCATCCCCTTCTTACTAAAGATAAGCCATGGAAGACAGCAACTTTGCTGCAGCCCATTCTAAGGATTACATACAAAGGGTGCAATCCTGTGTTATGTATAAGTCAGTATAAGCCTAGTTGGGAAGGGAATGCTGGGAATTATATGACTTTTTCTGCCTAAGTATACATAAGACTGTATCTTAAACCATGGTCCTCAGTACAGGAATCTCCAAGAGTTATCTTCTTTCCCAGTCAGGGTAAAGTCCCCTGAACAACCTTATTTATGTTACTGTCAGTGTCATGGAACATCCTTTATTGCCTCATGGACCTTTACCTACCTCTCTCAGGTTTCTCATTGAGACAACAATTCTTAGCAGACCCAGGGGTCTGAGACAACCAACTACAGCACAAAAGGTTGCTACAGCTGTCTCAAATAAACTTGGAAAGGTATAAACAATTCTAAACCAGCAACACAATGGAAATATGAGATCTTGTGCCTCAGAGAAATGGTGAGAGAACTAATTGTTCATGAAAGCGTCACATTCTATTTGTCCTACAAAATTAATTTGGCTCTAAAAGAATATTGATCTGTTTAAAAACAACCTCATTTATTCACAAGTCAGTCACTTCAGAACCAAGCACTGGTGAAGGTTAATTAGTTATTATTGTCATAACATTAGTTCATTGTTTCAAAAGCAACAAATATCCTTTACAAACACAGACAAAATACATAAATAAATACCAGTGGCTCTACAGTCATTTCCAAAGTCCTTGTAAGACAATAAACAAACATACATTCTAAACAAATGAAAAATATTGAGATGGCTTACCTGTGTGTATAGTTCATTTAGCTTTGGTTCTAGATACAATGCACGTGGATTTGAAAACCGAGAGAATACTTCCAAGTGGGCAATAAGCTGTCTGAAAAATGAAATAAACACAAAAGTTATCTATAAAAATAGCTGTTCTAAAAACTTTTTTTAAAGATTTTGGGAATGGAAACATTTTAAAAACGGGCATATTTACTTGAGTGCTTTAAGTACAACAGCAGTTGAGGGCTAATGCAAACTCTTTCCCTGAAGGAAGGAATGAACTGGGAAGAAAGGGGCAAGAAAATGTAACTGGTCATCTGATGAATAAAGGTAAGCTGTTTTTAACCATTCACTAAGAATGCATCCCTATGCATGTTTAGACTGAAAAGAAAACCGTACAAATCCCAAAATTCCCCAGCCAGCATGAGGGATACATGGCAAATACCACCATGTATTTCCACCAACAGTTTGGAAATAACGATAAACCATAAGCCATGATTTACTATGACAAAAGTACATTTATTTATTTTATTTATATCCTGCTTTTCTAACAAAACTGGCACTGAGGCAGCAGTGAGAATGAGGTTCACGTGTTCCCCCTTATACTGAGATACAACCAGGAGGAAGCATTCAAAAGCTTTCATTTCCATTTTGAATTATCCACAGCTTGCAGTGTCATCCAATTCCAGCCAAACTGCCATAAATCTTAGCTACGATCAGTACAAACAAGATAACCACAGAAGCTATCCTTTGAAGTTGGCTTGTTTCCACTAATCAGAATTAATATTAACCAGAATTTATCTAAGTTTGGATGACAGAGCAAGCTGCCCTTAATCTAAAACAGAAGCTTCTAATCTCCACCCCACAGCCAGGAAGCAACACATAAACCAAGGCTTAAAAGATACTTGACAACCCAAGAGTCATCAGAAAACCCTGCACTAAAGAATTAATACTTTAATCTATGGCTCCTGCTTGCAGCACTTATGCAATTGAACTACAAGCCAGAGTTATATTTGAGTGATCTACTTCAATATTTATAAAAGATTCCCTCACTGCACTTCTCTGAGATTGAGCAAAACTTACTTTGCTGCAGCTCTTCTTGTTTTCTTCTTTGGTGTCTCTTCAGTCATTGCCTCTTCTCCCTCACTGTCCTCTTTCTCATCATCCTTCATGGCAGGCAGATTTATTTCCTCAGGGGGATTTTCTCGGACACCACAACCACTGCTTTTTTTTCTAAGGTTTTGTGCTGGAGCTACCAGTGAATCTGCAGGATAATATTCATTGCTGTTGAAAAACAACAGGTGGGATGAGATGGATCATAGCTACTGTAGCCAGTTTCTTGTTGGCTTTCCTACCTGTTCCTCTCTCATTTCATTCAAATGCCTCAGCAAAATATACTCCTCCTGTGGTTACCTTACCCTTCCCTTGCCTTTTGTCTTTGCAGTGTTCCATAGTATTCCATGCAGCAATCTCAAGCTCCTACTCTAATTTCTAATCCGTATATTGAACTCTAGTCCTCTTTATTATCTTTATCCCATGCAAGTCTTAGAAACTTATATTTGGCCTTGTTATCCCATTCCTTTGAGTCTGCTGTCATGCTGCCTCCTTAAGCAGGGTGAGCCTCCCCATGAGGCAGGATGAATTGCAGGATGAATGCTGCCTCAGAGCAGAATGGGAGCTGCAGCAATTTGTGCACTTCCATCATTGGTAGTGCTGGATTAGTACTTCCAGCACCCCAAAGAGCAATCCAGGATCTCCATCAGTGTTACCTGCCAGGTAGAACTACCGTGAATGCTCCAGCAAGCCCACCAGCCTTGCCCACCCACTCTGGCAAATGGTAGTCACTGCCAGCAAGGCTCTCCAGAGTCACTCTGCAGCTCACTCTCAAAGTTCTCTCAGAATGAGTCTTTGGGCAAGCAGGTGGGCTCTCTGAAGAGCCGCATCTGCTGAAAAGAGGGCTGGTGCAGCTGTCCAGAAAGCCAGTCAGGCCCAAATACCTTACTCTGAATCAGTTCTTCAGAGACAGGTACTGTGGGAGAGGAGTCTCTGAAGATCACCTGGAGTGTGGGAAGAGACAGCCTATGTAATCAAACCCACTTTCCATTCCTTCAAAACATTTCATCTCACAGCAACCACATTCAGGACATGACTAGGGCCAAGGTTATTTCTCCCCTAGTCTTCAGAATTCTTAATTCTAAACCATTACACTTGCATGTTCTTATATACACACAAATGCAAAATAAATGCCCACACTATCTTATAAAGTAGACAGGTATGCTTAGTAGTACTCACAAATTGCATTCATCTCTTTCACCCTTGGTGAAAATTCTCACTTACTTAATAAACCTTAAGAGAAGTGGAGAAAGTTCTCTTGATCTGGGCTCCACTCTGTCTGGAAATTTTGACATTGCCTTCCAAAGCAGAAGTCTAAAATTTGCATGATCCATCCTCTCGCTGCAGCATGTCTGACATTTCAGCTGTTCAAAATACAAAGTTCTGACTTCTCCTTCACATACTTTCTCTGTTTCAATATCCAAAATGGCCACCTGCTCTTCTTCCAGCTCATTATGTAACTCTCTTTCTATAGAAAGCAAACAAAAGCAAGGCTTTTATTTTAGGAGTTATAAGAATTCTGCAGTAGCTCCTGATTACTAATGCAACTGTATATAATTCCATTTATTCTTATGACTATACCACATCTTTAACTTCTACCTGAAAAGCCAGAACTTAAAGTTCCACTTTGGCAAAACATTGCTATAGGAGACTACACAGAGTTGGCAGGGGGGAAAGTCTAGGAAAAAATTCTAGCAAGGCAACAATGTGACTGATAACACAAGGGGCAGCTGTAGGTGAGAAAGGCAGGAGAGGTGCCATAATAATGGGCAGGTTTGTATAAGCAGGAAGCACAAAGAGGCCATGTGGTTTCCCTCCCTGCCCTGTGCATGCTGGCTACATGTCACTTCACTTTCACAATTACCTGTGCCCTATGCAAGTTACCATGCCATCGGAATCCAAACCTCAGGAGGTGGTGGTGGTTTCTAAACCACCCTGCAACACTGTTTCCAGGATGCTTCCATGCTGCCCACCCTCATCAGCTTCATCTGGCACAGCTCAAGTAATTATGAAAATGTGGTGGAATGTGCAAGGCAGGGAAAAGAAGCCACCCTGGATTTCTTTTTCTCAGTTGTTCATTTAAACCAAGCCAGAGAGAGTGTGTGCCAATGGGGCTTAAGGGGAGCCTCAGCTATGCACATACCTAAGATTTCTTCATTAAAGATTTTTAAATCTGCTGCTACAAAAAGCTACACTCTGTAATCTTAACTTGAACTGTGCAAATTTGGGAGATAAATTTAGCACATTAATCTTCCAGGTGTACCCATTGCCTGTGTTCTTATATGGAGCTGTCTGAGGGGAAAAAAGTGGGCTGAGTAGAAGAAGTTGGTCCATGTATTTGGAAAGGGAATAGCAATGAGTAAGGGGGAATAGGTTGGTTTCAGAGAGAATGAGGGTAATTCAGACAAAGCATTACATAGCAGGCTTGTGAGGGGTGGGGAAAACACGGCACTGTCCTATCCCAGCGGCTCACTGGATATCTGTTGGAGGGCACAACATCTGAATGGGATCAGAAAGGCACTGATGGTAAATGCAGACACCATGCCACGACATTGCTTCCATCTGTTTCACAGAAGACCTAGTCAGCAAGGTGTTATTTTTCTGGCAGCAACAATTGCAAGACACTCCAACCCCTCCAATTCTGGCACTGGGAACTGAGAGAGGAGAAAGTACAGTGGAGGGGAAAAACATCTCTGAACAGTGTAGGCAGAAAACCCTTGACATAGTTAATGAGCAGCTTTAATCTTGGCCAGGTCATAAGCAAATCTTTATTCTGTGTGTCTTACCAGCATAAGACATGGCTTTTTCCAAATGCTCATAGTAGACTTTCCAGAACTGCTTGTTCTCCATTTCATTTGCGTGAGAGCTGGTTAAAAAAACAGGGAGGGGGATGTGTTTTGTAAGACTAAGTAACTTGCCAAGTCTTTGTTCTATTTAATTCACAGACACTATTAAGCATTTACAAGTTTCTTAAATCTATAGCACTTTCTAGCTATCCAAAAGAACTCTGCAACACACACACACACACACACACACACACACCAAGCAAATAAATATAGGCTGCTTGCATTCATTGCATCTCAGACCCTTGGGTCTGCTAAGAATTGTTGTCTCACTGAGAAACCTAAGAGAGGTAGGTAAAGGTCCACAAGGCAATAAAAGGTGTTCCATGGCAATGTCAGTAACATAAGTGAGGTGGTTCAGGGACTGAACAGAAGCTTGGATTATACTGACCGGGAAAGAAGATAACTTTTCCACTAATGACAGCCACCAGGGCCACAGGCAAACAGAACAGCAACTTTCAGCATGATCCTCCTCAAGAATCACAACCGGGAATGCAAAAGTTGCACAGAACAGAGAGTTCTATTTCATTATGAAAGGCAAGGGGGAAAACACTGCACCATGACTGTTCCTCATTCCTTTCCCATTATTTCCTTGTGAAGTAGCTCCACTTGAACCACTATTTCATCATGGTGAGAAATAGTGGAGATTTTAGCTATTCACCAGGGCCTGGTTAAATATTCCCTGGACTGTAACAGAGTGTACAAGAATACTCAGTGTAGAAGCATTCTTGGGAAGGCCTGTATACTCATCCAGAGACAGGAAGTTCATTAGGTGATAAAGTATCCACATGAGTCTACCCATACTAAGTTTTCTTCAAACTATGAGATAACCTACTTCAGCGGACTGTCACTAGCTTCCTCACCTGAGGAATGTCATGCACCTTTAATATCTGCATGACAGGCCAAAACACAATAGGAGCAGTCATTCCCCAACTTGGAGACAAAAAGATGGAAAACTGCACTTATTGGGTTAGATCCAGTGTTACACTGGCAATAGATTATCTGGCAGTACTGTTGTCCTGCAAAACTTTGAATGAGATCTAGCAGGAGACTATGCATGGCATGGATTTAGCACAATCCTTGCTGTACAAGAGATCACACAACACTTAGTTCTAATATGAAACCTTGAAACCTTGTGCAAAATTGAGGGCTAACAGATTTTGCAACACAGTGTGATAACAAAAGCATTGCACTGGATGTAAGTTTTCTTTTTTCATGCAAGGATACATTGCACTAAAGTTAGGGAGAAAACCTTCCATTCAAAGAAGGGGACTTGGATTCAACCCACTGGGTATCTGTCAAACTGCAGAGATGTACAGAGGAACAATGCACTTCCTGGGTCTTCTCCATGCTTGTTCATTCTTTATTAGATTTAATTCTGCTTTTTTCTTCTCTTTAAAGACCTTTACGCAGCTTGCATCATTCTCTTCCTCCTGCTCCCCATCTTACCCCGATATCAACCCTGTACATGACTGGCCCAAAATTACCCTATTGGCTCCATGGAGGAGCAGGGACTAGAACCCAGACCGCCTGAGTCCCAGTCCTGTGCCTCAACCACTACATCATACTGGCTCTATGAACTAGGCCAAGAAATTCTTTTTTTGCTACCATATATCAAGTAGAAATTTCCCTGCCCCAAACAAGAAGATCTGCTCACTGAAAAATCTTCCTCTCTGTCAAACAAGTTACAATCAGAGAAATGAGGAAGACTGGAAGGGCACCTTTTAATTAATAAGGGTAAAGCCAACATAAACAAACCTATGAAATCCAGATTAGCTTTACCAAAACACTTCCACAGACTCAATTTGCAACCGCAGATTCTCAAGCACTCAAGGAGAAATAAGCAGGAATAGACCCAGCGAGTAATGGAAGGAGCAGGCAATGCTGAATTCATCATGTGGGAAGCCTACAGTCAAATCTGGCTTAACTCACTGACTCACCGCATAGACTGAGACACCCCATTATTTGCTAGCTCAGATTTGAATTTATAAAATGAAAACATTACAGACCTATCGTAAACAATATAAAGAAATGCCATGTCCTACAAGACTTTGGGAACAAACCTAACACAGAGAACAAAGAAATAAAATTAAGAATACAGATTTTGCCTGCATGCCAAAGGGTGCAAAGTATACATCTGCAGTAAAGTAGTACATTCAGTAATCTTCAGCATCTATTTCACCAGGACATTATGGTAATTTCCCCATGTACCACACTCAACTATATGTCTTTATTAAAATTTATATTTATTTTTAGCTATATTCACTTTCTAGGAAAAAAAAATACTCACGATATGAGCTCAGTCACAGGAACCCATAATGGGCTGAAGTTGATATACAGCATTCCCAGTAAATACCGAAGAGGCACCTAGAAGAACATTTCATGATGTTTTTTGGATCTTTAATCCAACATTATATTTATGAAAGAACATCAGTGGTACTTATTCCCACAAACGGAAGCATTTTTTCAACATTTCCAAGTTATTAAACTTACAGATCCACTTAAGTTCTAGTCTTTCCTAAAACAGCCCAGGGTTCCCTGTGGGCTTTTTAGAAACCACAGAAGGTTCCCACTATGCCTATTATATCCTTGTTCTTAGCCATGGTTTTCTAAGTCAAAGAGTCTTACTTCCTTGTATGCGTTCTCAACATGTTATTGGGGTGGGTAACACCACCTGCTGCCTGAGGTGGAGGAGATGGTACCACTGCCTCTCTTCTCTTTCCAAGCCCTTCCCTGGATTCCCAGAGTATATCTACCCAAGGCCATGCTTGGGAAGAGTCCTCAAAGCAAGGCATCAGATGGGTGGCAGCCCAGAAAGCTCTTCGTTGTTGCCAAAGAAGGGGAACAGCTGCCACAGCTTTCTGGAGCACCGGATAAGCTGCATAGTTCTTCTGAGGTAGAACTGATCACCTTTAGGGGACCTGCCACCTGAGGTGAGGGATTTACCTTGCCTCATGGAAGGGCTGGCCATACATAGGCATTATACCAGAGGACATTAGTAAACAAGAAATGTATTTGATTTTACATGTAATCACTGCGGCGAGGATTGCATTCACTCGACACTGGAAAAGTGAAGAGCTACCCTCCGATGAACTGATTCTAAAAAAGATCCTGGACTGTGCAGAAATGGATAGATTGACTTTATCATTGAAGGAGAAGGAAGATACTGACTTCTATCAAACTTGGGACTCTTTTTATTATTGGCTAGAGAAACGGGACTTTGCCTAGATTTTAAATATGTTTTGAAGATAAATGGAAAGAGAAGGGTGTGGGGCTGACCCAGCGGGCTCAATGTTTTATGATGGATGTTGTTTGTAGTTTTCTTTTTGTTTTTTTTAGGATTATAATTTCAAATAAAACTTATTAAAAAGAAAAAAAAGGAAGGGCTGGCCATACACACAACATGACTTCTACAGTGAAATCCTGTACAAATCCATGCTGATTTCACTGAGGCTTTATTATCAGGTTAGTTGTATACAGGATTGCAAGCTAAGGCATGTTATCTAAAATGACATAAAACCACATGCAAATGATCTATTCAGCAAACTACTGGCATTTTAAAAGCATTTCCTATTCATTGTATGTATAAGTGTATAAATGGAGGGAAGGAGACAATAGAGCTAGCGCTGTATTCCAACATGCCCCACTGATTTGTACAATAGGTGGGCCCTCCCTCTGCAAAAATCTGGTAACTGTAATTACCAACATTTTGCTAATAGACAAAAGCAATACGTAAGACTTACTAGAAAGACAAGTTATTTTAAAAGTGCAAAGGAGGAAGAGAGAGAACAACATACTTTTCTTCAAATGAAAAACAAGACAACCCTCCCCAGGAAGATTTCAAAACAATCTTCCTCATGCCTTCCAAAAAGCAACTTTCACTTCATGACGTAATTCACCAGTGACAGGTCTTTGTACTCAGGGACTCCCTGTTTCCTAGCAGAGAAAAGAAGTACAGGGATGCCTTTGTTCTATGCATGCCATTGAGGTCCTGGATCGTAGCCATACTGGCCCATTGTTTCTTGAAATCAGTTTCCATAACATCTATATGTTGCTAAGTCTATTATGACAAAATGCAAGTGCAACCTTGACTCCTATGTGACCTTCCTATACATAAGGTAAACACTGCATGGTGTATCTTTCACGAAGTGACATTTTACCTCCCGTAAAGGGCCCTCGGGGATCAGGCACTGCACGGTGTCATGCCTCAGCTTCCTTAAGTGGCGCAGTTTCTCACGATAATCATTGACACTTGCCGGCACAAGTTCAGCTTGAAGCAATATGGCAAATACAGACTGCAACTCCCCAGTGCCCACATCCTTAGCAAACAGGAGAAATAGCTGCTGTTACAAGATTTCTTTGAATAGTATACATACATTCAGTATTTCTCCTAGAAATAGAATTCCTCTTAAAGCTTTTCAGAGATCAGATGACTATCCAATGGACTGGTTTGCACATATTGCTAAACATGGTTTGTGTCGCTCTATTATGGGCTATTGTGTTGTGTGAATGCATTAATGCTTACAAGCTACGGTTTGTTAACTAAGAACATCAAAGAGAGCCTATGGGTTTGTTGCTGAGTTGTGTACTCTAAGTTGTTTATACAGTGAGCTGTTGGTATGTGCAAATCCAGAGCTCTGGGCTGCTCATGGATAGTTTCATCAGGCAACAGATGAGAGGTAAGAGCTGTAGAAAAACCTAACCTGTAGGACAAGGGTACAAAACCATCTGAGATACAGGCAGGGAGTCAGTGAGGAAGAAAACAAAGAAACCAAGAATTGATCATCTGTTTGTTGTGATCATCTGCCAGACAAAGCCCAGATGGGGCAACAAACTATGGAGCTGTTGCATGTAACAACATTCATTCATTCATTCATTCATTTAGCGAGCTTCTATGCCGCCCCATTCAGCGAAGCCTCGGGGCGGCTCACAACAATAAATACATATCAACCATATAACAATATAAACAATATAATTGGAGACGTCCTGGCCAAAGATATAAAATCAATAAATAATATTAACAAATAAAATGACGTTTAAATAAAAAGGTCTTGGCCTGGCACCGAAAAACAAATAATGCCGGCGCCAGGCAGACCTCTCTGGGGAGCGCAGGATATTACCCTCCTAATATCCTTCACAGAGGGTTCCCGAAGAAGGGCCTCACCCACTGATCTCAAGGGGCAGAAGGGCACGTATGGATGTAAGCGCTCCTTTAGGTAACCAGGACCCAAGCCGTTAAGGGCTTTATAGGTAATAACCAACACCTTGAATTGGGCCCGGACTTCAATGGGGAGCCAGTGAAGCTGACTGAGGACTGGAGTCATGTGAACATAATGCCCAGTCCCTGTCAGCAGCCTGGCAGCTCTATTTTGAACCAATGGAAGTATCCGGACCATCTTCAAGGGCAGCCCCATGTAGAGCACGTTGCAGAAGTCTAGTTGGTAAGTTACCAACGCGTGTGTCACTGTCGCCAGGCAGCTGTTCTCCAGGTAGGGACGCAGCTAATGGATCAGCCGAAGCTGAAAGAAAGCGCTCCTCGCCACCACTGTCACCTGAGCTTCAAGTGAAAGCTCTGGGTCGAGGAGCACTCCTAAGCTGCGGACCTTGTCCCTAAGAGGGAGTGCAACCCCATTCAGGACAAGGTCAAGGTCCCCTTCCCCGAAGCCCGATCTGCCTACCAACAAGACTTCTGTCTTGTCTGGATTGAGTTTCAGTTTATTGGCCCTCATCCAGCCCATTACCTCAGCCAGGCACCAGTTCAGTACAGCCACTGCCTCACCTGGATTGGTAGAAAACAAGAGGTAGAGCTGGGTATCATCAGCGTACTGATGATTCCGCAGCCCACACCTCCTGATGACCTCTCCCAGCGGTTTCATGTAGATGTTAAATAGCAAAGGGGACAAAATGGATCCCTGTGGTACTCCATGGCATAACTGCCATGGTGCAGAGCCGTAGTCCCAAAGCATCACCTTCTGGAATTGGCCATTGAGATAGGAGCAGAACCACTGCAAGGCAGTGCCTCCAACCCCCAATCCCGCTAGCCTATCCAGAAGGAAACCATGGTCGATGGTATCGAAAGCTGCTGAGAGGTCCAGGAGAACCAACAGGGATGCAGTCTGGCAAGTTAAGCCAGCACCCATCCCCACACCCCACCCCCAATCCGGCATTGCTCTCACGGATGCCGGTGGGGGGGGTGCAGAGCGGATGCGGGGAACTCGCCGGCCGGCAAGATGGCAGCGCCCTCCTCAGCAGCGGGGCGGCGGCGGCCTCCGACCCCGGAATAGTCCAGTGGTGGCTGCAGGAGCGGCATCAGCTGCCTCCCGGAGCCCGGCGGAACGCCACGATGTTCTCGGTGGCGGCACGACGGCTGCGGCAGGTGTTCCGAGGGGGGAGGGGCCCCCAGATATGTAACAGTTTAAAAACTCTTGGATTGTCACGCACCAACAGCACACAGTTTTGAGTGCCTACCTCTTCCATTTTATGGCACAGTCAACTTATTCATAGGTGGTGCAGCATTATGTGTGAACCTGAAATGATGAGTTGTTTATAGGCTAAGCTATCCAGTAGTTGACCCATGGCTTGTTGTTGGATTAATAACTGTATTGCTTAGCTCCTAAACAACCCAGCAGTCCAGGTTTGCATGTTATGCAGCACAGGCTAGAAAGAAACTGATCATGGGCTGTACTATATAGCAGAAGAGGTAAGTAAGCTACAGGAAGAGTGCCTGGTCTCTCCCACTTGTCCCTGAGAACCCAACATTTTAAAGTGATGTTTTTGTTGTATGTGAACTGTATCTATAGATTAAATAAACCATGGGTTAATGCTCTGTACAAACCAGGTAATTATGTCAAAAAACACAATGAAATTTGGAGAGCAACTAAGAAATACAACAAAGCAAGCTGTAATGATACCCAATACTTGATTCCTATCTGGAAAAAATACCACCCTTAACTCAGATTTTAGCCTTTCATTATTTTTTACAAAAAGGAAAACAGAACTGTATAAAACTGACTTTCTCCAAAACTTTTGCAAAAATCAAAATCTAACAAGTTCTAACCAAAATTATCTAGAAAAGAACTCCTGATACCAGCATTCACAATTCTTTATCTTCCACTGCAATCTTAGTTGCCCAGCAGCACCTGAAGAGTACTACTTTTGCATGAATGTCCCACAAAGATTTGCTGCATTGAATTACAGCTTGAATCATTACCTCAGTTCCCACAGGAAGCAGGTCATTGAAATGATTTAAAATCCTTATTGTCAGCAGCCGTACCTATTGAAGGAGAAGTCATGTTTCATTACCTCTATTCATATTATAAAGTGAATGCTATGCCAATTATGGTTCAAGGAAAAGCATTCATCTCTCTCATAATACCTATCATACTTGGATTAAGAAGTACACCAGTAACGGTCTTATCACAGAATAGCAGCAAAATGAAGAAACACTTTTTTAGACAAGTGGGGAATCTGCATGCTTCTAGTTGTTGCAACTTCTAGAAGACTAGCAATAAGTGAGAGATGAAGAGTGTTGCAGTCCAACACCATCTGGAGGACCACACATTTCCCTGTCTTGTGTTAGATGAATAGTTCAATTAAAGTTTTCTACATGAGCTGTCCTAAGTAAAACTTACTTCATCAGAAGAGGTACTGGATAGAAAAAAGGCAGTAGTCAATTAAAGGTAGAAAGAAAGCAAATATTCAGTTTTCATTAAGGAAGTATTTACAATAGTTTTAGTCAAGTGTTCCTGGCAATGGGCTTCTCAAACATGCAAGCTCAGGGAACACTCCAGCTTTACCCCACCATCATCGCCTTGGAGGAGGCTGATTATCTAGACCAATGCCAGTCTGGGTTTCAACCTGCTTAAGGAGCAAAACCAGCTCCTCAGCTGCTCTGATAAGTGACAGCTGCTCTGATAAGAGACAGGAAAACTATAACTTTCTAAATTCTGCTCTGTCTCTCATCTGCCTTTGATACCAATGAATAGGGTCTTCTCCTGGATTTACTCAATAAACAAGGCACTGGAAGCACTGTATTACAGTGACTCTGATCTTACCTCCAGGGTCAATTTCAGAAAGCAACGTTGGATGACTATTACTTGGCCCCTTGGCACCAAGTTATGGGGTTCAGCAAGGCACACAGTGTCTCCTATACTGTTCAACATCTACATGAAGCCACTGGAAGTAATCATTAGAGGATTTGGAGCAAAGGGTCATTTGCATACTGATGACACACACCTCTGACTTGATAAAACATGTGAACTGGAAGAGGCTGTCCAAATTCTGGATCAGTGATGGGCTAGATGAGGGCCAGTAAACTGAAGTTGACTCCTGACAAGACAGAAGTCCTGTGGGTGAGTGGTTCCCAAGTCTGGAAGGCAGCCTCACTGTCTATTCTGCATGTGGATAGGCTTGCATTCCCTTCAGTAGCAGTCTGACTCCACCACTAGATCCATTACTGTGACTGGAGGCCCAACTGGCCAAGGCTCAGCCGGCCTTTCACCAACTTCTGCTGTTTTGCCAGGTATGGCTTCTCCTGGAAAGGGATAGCTTGGACTAATCAGTAAAGATAGAACTAACCCCTAGACTGAATTACTGCAATGTACTCTATGCAGAGTTGCCTTTAAGGCTGGTCTGGAGGTAGGAGCTAGCACAGAATGCAGCAGTTTACCTGTTGTTAGGAGTTGCTTTTTAGAAAACAACTACTCTAGTGAGCGAATTGCACGGGGTGCCTATTCACTGCTGGACCAGGTTTAAGGTTTGTTACTACTGGATGAAGCTCTAAACAACATGGGACCAGGATGCCTGAAACAGCACCTTCTCCCTTGTGTACCAGCCCAGGCCCTGAGATCATCAGATGGCATCTTCCTGGTGGTGCCACATGGATCTATGGCCCAACTGGAGTCCACCTGGAAAAGAGCACCCTTTTGTGGAATTCCCTGACTCTGGAGGACAGGTAGATATGCACACGATGTTGCTTTTGGAAAAAAATTATTTATTTCAAGAAGATATTCTTGATTGATCAGCTACAGTTTTCATTTGTATTTCTTTGAAAAAAAACCCAATAATTTTAATATGGTGTTTATTCTCATCTACTCTTCACTGCTCTGGAATTTGCTTAGATATAGACAGGTATATAAGTGTTCTAAATATATAAAAGAAGAATAAAAATAAATACACAACATTAGTGGGTGTCAGAACCCTGGATGTGATGAACTGCACCATTAGGATTGCTAATTATACTGTTGCTGTGATCTTATCGTAGATAGTTTTATTAAGGAATTCTACTGCAATGGTTACTGTCTGTAAACCAAGAGGCATGGAGTACTCAGTGTAAAATTCTTAGGAAATATGCTTACCTTGGATACACCAGTTGAAATATTGGTTTGCAACTTAGAAAATAATTCCATCAGGTTCTCTTTGGACAGGTGCTCACAGTAACCACATAATGCTAATCTTGTACAATAGAGATCAGTCAATAGCAATGCAGATGGCTCTGATGGAAATGCCCTGAGAGAAAAGATAATTTAACTATGGGTCAAGGTGCAATTAAATATAACAGCAAATGGTTAGAGAATAAAATAATACAGTGTACGGTGATTTCAAAGTCCAATGCATGTCATACACGTTATCTAGCTGTAACTCTTACAACAACCCTGTAAATTCAGTCAATGTTGTTATCTCCCATACTGAGTGAAAGTGACTTACCTTAAGCCACCAACTGAATATATGGCAAAGGTAATATTTGTGGCACACACTTATCCACTATGCTACATCAGCTCTCAGGTCACCAGCGACATACAGAGCTCTTCTCTCAATTTTTAGCTCAGCCACAGACAGCATGATCTGACACCAATAAAGCTGAGCACTTGCTTGGTGGCATGCATCTTGGTGCTCTGCATGACTGGCATGGCAAGAGAATGCTCAAGGCATGCAATGGCACATCTCCCTTCAAAATTAACCCAAATGGATTTGCTTCACCTCAACATGAGTGTGCTGTTCCAACTGGATCACAGAACCTCTGGGTAGTTACTAAGTGTCCCAGGCGATAGCCTCAGCTGTCCTCACCCAATGCTCCTCCGTGAAATCAACCCCACCTTCACATGGAGCACCAATGCTGTCCCCACACCAGCTGAGACCTTCAGGGAATGCAGGTGCATTCTCATTGCTGACTCACCCATCTGAGATGGCCCAAAAGGATTTATGCCAGGACAATTTATGCCAGGACCTGCCTTGACACAATTTCCCAGGTAAATTTGGAAAAAGGAACTATCCTTTGGTTATAAGCAAGAATCACAGGGTGGGGCCTTTGTCTAATTTCACATAATCCTCGGCTTGGTTTCAAAAGCACTCTGCAAGCCATAAGCTCAGACCTGTGGCAAGAACAAGCTGTTCTTCCCACAGCCCACTATGCAGGGAGAAAGAGGGCTGTTGCAGCCATCACTGGCATGCAGTCCCCAACAAGCTACCTGGGAGGATGCAGGTACAGAAGAAGGGTATGGAAGAAAGGTTCCCCACCCCTGCAGTATTTTATACCATAAACACTAATAAAATACATGAAAGGTTCTGTTCACATTTGAAATTATCCATGTAAAGAAGTTTCTTTTAACTGAAGCAAACCCTTGGTTCTGACAACAGAATTGTAAATGCAGCAGCCAGTCATTACTACTGGATAGTGTAAGCTCTGCTTCTCCCAAATAATGAATTCCTTGTTTGGCCGAACGTAGTATGAAATTAGTACATTTTCTCAATAATATTCTAATATTCTATCAAAAACAAAATCCATCTCTCTGGTACATACATCAACAGATTCTTAACACGCTCCACTGGTAACAGATCCAGAATTTCCAAAGATTCTGCTAAATTAAGCAGTGTGCTCACAGCTTGGCAGGCCACAAACAAATTTCCTAAAGAAATGAGACAGAATTGAATTGTACATTAATCCATGTTCTGTTAATTCCCCTTCAAGAGGGACTTTGAAACCACAGATTTAAAAGGCTATAAAATATAAAGCATTGCATTTTTCAAGATATTATAGTGACAAAAATATTAGACCAGAGGACATAATCATGGAAACAGCTAGAAATGTATATGGTGGGTTGCTAAATGTTCAACTTTACAAATAACTTATTTTTAGGGCAAAGGTCTTCCATAATGTTGCCTAAGCACGGACCTGTTGGAACAGTTTTAGCAATATTGTGGGGCATGCTAATCTTGCCTTAGCTTGTGCTAATTTTTGACATGAGTGAACACTGCACACCTTTGTGCATGTCAAAAATGTACCCATTTGACTCTTCTATTATGGGTATTTAAGACAGACAATTTAATACAAATAGAAAGATACTGCATAATCTCAACAGTACAGAGCAATCAATATCAAGGGAAGTCTAAAGCACTCCAGAAGAGAACATGGCCCTTCCTGCACACTAGAGCAGCCATTGGAGGCCTTGCTAACACATCCTATTTGCCCCTGTGCTCATACAGCCGGGGCACAGAGTAGAGCCTTCTCAAGTGAAGCACTCAAATTAAGAAACCGCTTCTTGCTGATGGTCTGACAGACCCTTCCTTTATGTGCTCCTACCAGTCTTTAAAGCACATGTTTCATCAGGGCTGTAGGCCACTGTGAAACTGTTATCAAGAAGCCCAGTTGTACTGTAGTCACTCTCTTCTGTTCGAAGAATGCTTCTCACACCCTGACTACAGAATCTTCATTTTGTTCCAAAAGGCCGGCTAAAAAAGGGCTTAGGATCAGCCAGAGGAAGACAATGCTGTCTTCTAAGTTAATTGAATCACTAAGACAAACCCTTCCTGGCCTATCAAGGATGGGAGCTTTGAAATCTGCAATTATATCCCTGATTGCTGAATTACTTTTCTACTCAAGCTGCTAATACTATATTCTAAATTGTCCAAACCAGACCCTGTGTCATTTATATTCCATGTGCGCCTATAGCCCATTAAGAGAAACTTCTCCCCACCACCACCACAACTGGAGTATTTCTATAAAATCCCTATATTTTCTTGCTGTAAGAAACAGAATATTTAAAGGTTTTGTGTGAATAGTTTAAAATTATTTTTTGCATTTTACTAGCAAATCATGTACTATTTTCTACCATTATCTTATCTCCTAACTCAGACATTAGTACCATGATATCTGTTTCAACCCACTGTTATAGAATAGGAACTGACCTTTGCATAGCTGTCCTTTGTCTAGAGTAGTGAAGAGATAGTCAGCAAGACTTCTGACTGCTGGTATGATTTCTTCTTTCATAAGTGGTCTGGCAAATGCAGAAATACAAACTTAACTTCTTGCTGTCATTAAATATTTAAAATAAAATCTAGAAATTAAGTCTAAAACTTTAATGAAATAGCATCATGAGCGCATGTGTGTTTCTCCAGAAGTCTCTTGCTTCCAAGTATGTGGATTTAGGATTGCAGCAACTACAATTCGATTCCTACTTACTTAAAAGCAAGCTTCACTGAACACAATGAGATATATTTGCAGAGGACAAGACTATAGATTCAACCCGCCCTCAATGTTATGCCCTGAGTTCTAAGCCACTTCAAGTAGATGGAATCAACAGGGAACACGAAGGATATCCAAGGGCTAGTAGGCAGGCTGGAGGAGAGTCACTAAGGTGTTGAATCAAGCTTCTCAACAATGTTGCAGAGGATGCTAGAATGTAGCTATTCAATTTTTCTTAGTCAGGTAGTCCAGAAAAATACTTTGGGCTCTGCTACTGCCTCCACCACTATTCCTATTCAATCTGCACCATTCAATTTCAAGTCACAGGAAAGGCGTGAACAGGTGGAAAGAAGACACAAAAGAGCCGTTTTGTGCTCTTTTGGCTCTTAACATGAACACTGCTCAGTTTCTGCATTTTAAATGGCCTCTGAATTAACTATGGTAAAAAAATAATAAATAACCAGCTCTGGCATTGATCCCACTTAGAAGTGGCAGTTTATTTTTATTAAGACATCAACAGTAAGCTACAGTGGCGTTAAAAGTTTACCTAATATGAGGAAGTACTACAAGAGCTGCCCAAGGTCGTGAAATATCAGTCATGGTTCCACTTTCTGATAACTGAATACAAGACAAAATGTAATCCAACACAGTACTTTGTTCTTTTTCTTCAGTCTTCTTACTTCTCAGCTGTCTTCTACTAGATGTGAAACAAAATTAAATGTTCTCTGTAACCTATAACAATTCTTTTATAAGAACTGGCCGAACCAGATGATGATTTTGACTATTGTTCACTAAATATCTGCCACTCCTTTCCCTCAAAGAATGCCCTTCCCACCTTGACTTTTCCAATGCAACATGTTCTCAAGAGGTTTAGGATGCAGTCTTACTGATCATGCCTCACTCTCTGGAAGCCTATGAACTTGGAGGCTTCCAGGAATTCTATGCTATCCTGAGCTGAAGACAGAAGGGGAAGGATGACCATCAAAGGTGATCTTCGGCTCCTGGTCTTCTGCCTTTGGCAAGTCTCACTGGACAAGGCTCTTCACCTTGTTTAGCAAGGGAGCTTTGGAGGCAGAGGAAAGAAGGCTGGAAGACATGTAGGCCATTTTGTATCATGACCTTTCTGATCTCCTCTCCCTGCACACTGCAGTGCCCCTTTCCTCCTCATCTAACATTGTTTTTCCTACCTTAGAGGAAGGTAGGACTGTTGGTTTGGTTCTTTCCAGGCTGGCCGCAAGGGTTGGGGGCAGATCTCTAATTGTCCCTTCTAAGGTCAGAACAATGTTTTGGGGCAATCCAATGTTTCCTGGGACCAACTGACATGTGACAATCTGATGTGCTGCTGCAGAGATTATTCCTACCACAGAATTCTTCGGTTTGAAAGAAGAATGGCTTGTGCACAAAGCTGAGACTCAAGGACAGAGCAAGGATACAGCTCAACTCACATGTTTTCAGTCAACTTGCTTCCTTTCCTTCTGGTAGATTGCCCAATCAATACAAACAATTAAAATAGCCTTGCTGAACCTTAAAACAAATCGCTAGCCACACCAACTAAGCTTCCCTGAAAGCCTCAACAACACTACAAGAATGACATGCTTCCAAATATAGCTCAGAAAAGAACCCTAACACACATACCCTTTTGCCATCTCTGTAAAAACCAGAGGATACTTCTCAAATGCCATTGAGCCAATGGAAGGAGGTTCTGCTTTCTCTAGGATGAGTTTAGCCAAAAGTGCCAAAGCTTCCTCCTGCGCTACAGCATCGTCCCCACAGATGCAGTGCTGAACGTACTCAAGGAGACTGGGAAGAAATTGCTGAAAAAGAAAAGATCAAGTTTTTATAAGTGATTCCAGCTCAGACAAGGGGTTCAATATTTTGATCTTTCATATTTGCCTCCCTACTACCCGCCATTCACACACACATTGAATAAAAAAGCTATAGTATGGATTGGAATGTACAGCCATTGTCCTAAGTCACATATTTAGGGGCCCTCTGGATAAAAAAGGAGTCTTGAAAATACATTATAAGTAAAATATCCTTTCTCCAAGTGACATTCTTAGGCCTTTGTGTCAGATTTCAATATTCCAGATACATTTCAGTCACCATAACTTCCCTACTATCTGCTACTTCCCATACAAGAAATCCTCCTTTATTCTTGCTTTATCCTTGTTCCCCCATCACGCTGCCTCCATGAAAACATTTCACCAAATCCCTCCCCCAATAAACAGCATCCTCCCTCCAAAAGCAGTTGAGGCAAGGTATTTGCTGCAAAGCTAAGAAAACGTTATAAAATGTAGAATGTATAAGATGTAATCATGATCTTGATGCTGAACATTCAAAACCACACACTCTGACTCATTACAAATAAGTAACTAAGTTTTATGAGGTATCCATGAGAAATACATCAATTCAAATTTCTACTGCAGGCATAATTACAGGATAATATAGTTTATTAGGATAATATACATGAAACCCAAGTTTGCACTTTATGTCCAAGTAAGTCTTCCAAGAATGGAACAGCTATCATCATCAAGTGAAATTCATAATATTAACTCAGACATAAAAAATGGAGTAAATTCACAGCAAAGTTAGATAACATGAATGATCAAGAAAAGATCACAAGGGTTAAGGGCTGAGGAGCTGGCATACCACGCAACCCCATGCCAATAAGCCATGGTGAGTTGGTTGTTTTGCAAAGTACCCTCAATGAACTCAGCAGGAAATCAGGCTTATCATGTGTACTTTGAACCCCTTTCCTCGCGCGCTCTCTCCCCCCCCCCCACACACACACACAGACCCATCTTCACAAACTGATTTCAGCTTACTTTGGCCGTCAGACAGTCTCTATGCACAAACAGGGCTCATGCCCTGAAGTACAACAGTGTCAATACGAACATCATTCAGGGCAGTGCTCACTACCTTCATACAGGAAGTTGTGCTCTGCACATTGCCCCTGCAAAGGCTCAAGGTTGACTGTTGTTTCAGGGCCAATTGTCCCCATAAAGTAAATACGACTTATTTCCTGAAACACAACAGGGAGGATTTGGAGGCCCTGATGAGGCATCACCACTTCCTGCTAACCTCTGAAACATGAGGCAGGTTACCTAATCTGCTTATTGGCACTGCTTCAAATATGGGGCTGCACCAATGTGGCAGCACCAATGGCTGGAGAAGCATATTCCCAAACTGCTGGCAAGGATGGCCGTTCCATGGCACTTGTGCACTTTGGAGGCTGCTGTCCATGAGGTTCACCCAGCAGCAACTTATCAAGAGTGACAAGGGATTTTTGCCACTTTTTCCAAGTGGCTCACTGAATGTTGGGCTCACCTACTATAGGTCACATCATCCAAGTTCTCACAACATGATAGCCCACCATGGATGACAACCCTAGAATACCCATGGGTTCTCAGTATGGATTGTTTGGCAACAATCTCACTGTGTTCACAGGATGGGAAAACCCATCTATGCTAACAAACAATGGCAGGTTATCATGCCATCTGAACAAAGTCAAGGTCTATGTCTTCGTCAATGTCAGTAGTTTTCAGAGTTAATAACTGCAGTAGTATTTCTCCATACTCATTTCTATCCCTCAACATGGAAAGTAATGAAAACTTTGCTTACCCTTTCAAACTGATTCAACAGGAACATAGATTTAGAAAAATCCAAAATAGAACGTCTTTCAAATCTGCCTTTGAAGACCTATTGCAAGTGGAAAGTAGACTTAGACCTAGTCCAGACCTAATCCAAAAAATGTCACTTGTTTCCAATTAATACCAGTCGTATCTTTCCAGTACTGACTGCAGTGTCATACACCAACATTATCACTGGGGAACTGGAGATAACCAAGTTTCTAAGTAGGACCACAATGAGACCACTTATGTACATCGTACCATTGGTACTCAAAGATTGTTACATCTTGTTCAATAACATACACTCTAACTAGATGTTCTCAAACAGAAGTCTAACCCAGTTACACTATCAGAGTGCCTTGCAGGCATCTGCATGAAAAGCCTGTCTCCTAGTACTATGTCTTCCCCACCTCACATATTGATATTTATTATTTATTTATTTAAAACATTTCTATGCCACCCCCATTGCAACAAAGCCTCAGGGCGGCTCACAACATCCATAAACATAAAAATACAATCAATAACTTAAAAACTTGTACCATCTCGGCTATTCAAATCTATAAATAATAATAAATTAACAGTTAAAAGGTCTTTGCCTGGCGCCGAAAAGCAAATATTGATGTGTAAGTGGTTAAAAGGTAAAGGTTTCCCCTTGACATTAAAGTCTTGTCATGCCTGACTCTAGTGCTCATCTCCATTTCCTAGCCAAGGGAGCCAGCATTTGTCTACAGACAGTCTCCTTGGTCATGTGGCCGGCATGACTAAACACCAAAGTGCACGGAATGCTGTTACCTGCCCACCAAAGTGGTACCTTTTTATCTACTTGCATTTACACGCTTTCTAACTGCAAGGCTGACAGGAGCTGGGACAGATCAACGGGAACTCACCCTGTTGTGCAGACTTGAACCGGCAACCTTTCAATCAACCAGCCTAGCAGCACAGCAATTTAAACCACTGCGCCACCTGCATCCCCTGGTGTAAGTGGTTATAAACATGTTAAGAAGGAAACTTGCAACACCTGGCTGGGATGCTAGGCTGCAATAATGCTCTTAAGCCACAACACAGATTCAATCTCTGGCCATAATTCTCTGTCTATAGCAAAAGGTTTTATTTTACTATATTGAACTGAGCACTTCATCTGCCTAGATGGGAAAAGATTAGTGATGTCAATTAGGCTCATTTGTACCTTTCTAAAGAGGTTTGTTCTTTTCTCCAAAATATTTATTTATTTATTTAAAACATTTCTATGCTGCCCCCATCGCAACAAAGCCTCGGGGCAGCTCACAAGATAAATATTGTACAGGATCAATGAACTACCTTGCATGCATTTATTAGAAAATGAGAAATGTGTGAATTAGTTGAGACTGTACTACTTGAAAGTGGGACACAGTTACCAGTAAAAAAAAAAAAGCATGTCAGCACTCATGTTTTTAAAAATATGTTCATAACAAATTAACTGGTCTAGTCGAACACTTTGTTACCTTTTCAACTGTTTCTTTGGCCAAAGAATCAGGCAATATGACATTTTCATCAAGAAGCAAAACACAAATAACTTTGAGCAGGGTATCACAACAGGCCACAGAGAGAAGAGGTGTTTCTATCATTTTTGTTAATGTCTGTGGAATAAAAGTATGGAGAACACTTAAAAACATTCTAGGAAGTTCATGCAGAAAATGTCTGGAATTTGGGCACAAAAATGTGCCCAATACTATACTCTTATTTCCCATTACGCATGAACATTGCAGAAGAAAAAATGAACTTCCATAAACTAACAATGAGACTCAAATACTTTAATATTCTGGAATCATGTCCCAGAATTTTTTAGATGCTTGAAGGTCCTGGGATAAATGTAAATCTACTGACTTTTCCATAGGGAGACTTTGAAATTTTGATTTTTTTAAAAAATTCTCGGTTATGGGAATAAATCAGGGAAGTCTGGCAAAGTTACATAAATTTCCTAGAACTGTAATGATCTGTTTTGATGCCCAAATGGTTCAAGATATATGTGGAAGATTTGGGAGCTGGAAGATTGCTGTAGTCCTTCATTTTCTTTCATGTTGACAGTAGAAGCAATGAAAGCTAAAACATTTTGTTGTTGTTCACATGAAAATTCTAACTCACTGGAAAAGCACCTGCATCTGAGACCAAATTCTATATTTGATCACATTCAGAGCTACAACTGCCCCTAGAATTCCTAGATCCCTCATTCCTTTCCTTCAAATATTCTCCCTTTTGGAACAGTATCTCTGATATGGCACAACAATATAATGAAAAGGGTCACTGTTATCATAAGAAATGGGATCCCAGTTCTGCAGAAGTTGCTGGAAATGAGAAACAAATTTCACTCTTAGCTCAGCCGCTTCCATCATTAGACTCAACTTCTTGTTATAACCTCAGATAAAGCCAGACGAGGCTATGGCCCATCTTGCTTGATATCCTTTCACATAACAGATGTGCATGACCCACCTTAACAGAAAAAATGCTTGACCCACCTTGCAAACTTCTTCAGCCTGTACAATTTTGGAGCCACGTGCATACTCTGCAATGGTCAAATACACTTGCAACACCCTTTCAATTTGCTCAGAAGCTTCACAGCAGTTATCCTTGGTTACCTTTCCTTGTAGCTTGAGTATTGATTCCTGTTTTAAACAAAAGTTTTGCACCCAAAAGTTGAACAACCCCAGAGGTTTTTTTTTTTAAAGCAGTCAAAAGGATCTCTGAAGACCACATGGTTCCATAAGTTGTAACCTTATACTTTTTTGCCCCCTTACTCAGAGCACACAAACTGCTGTTCTTCAGGAACGGTTAAAAAAAAAACAAGATAATTTCTTGTGTCTTGGACAAAAATAAAATGTTTATAGGTCCTTATGTTCCTTATATACCCCCATTAAAAAGGAGTGAGAGAGTTTTGTCCGTGACTATATAACAGAGCAACTTTGGTAAAACCAACTCAAATCTTGCTCCAGGAATACATACTAGACAAGCATGTTGAACCTCAGGGCCAGGATCATGGCCACTTGTCCTGGTTCTGCCTCAGCCTTCGTGCAGCTTTTCCTCCATTCTATAAGGTTGAAATGCTTGGCTCCCCTATGGCTTGGCTACCATCAGTAAGAGCTTAAAGCTAACATATGATTGTAGGGTTTAGGTTTTGTGGCCTTTCCCTTTGACCTCCAGTCCAATGCATCACTAGAAGGCAACCCCAAAGACACAAGTCATTGCACTGTTGCCAAAACTGGAGAAAGAAAAATAGTCCTAGATGGCTCCTGTCTTGAAACACAGGACTTGCCATGAGGTTTTCAGAAACTATTCCCACCTCCTGCAAAACATTATGATAGTTATCAGGCTAAGAGATGGAAGAATGTTTTTATTCCAGATGACTACAACTCACTTGCAAACATCTGAAAAAGACATCAAAGTGATCCTTGCTTATGGCTCTAACAGCTGACTGTGCCATGTGTTTGAAAGCTTCTCCAACAGAGATCCAAGAAAGGGTCACTTCTGTTTCCGTAACTGGTCCCATCTTTTTCAGAATTAGCATTATAACCTGTGCAAATAATTACATGCATCTTTAAATGTGATATTGAAACATTTTAATCCTTAAATTTTCATTATTAACTCATGTCTTCATTAACAACAACTACCACCCAAGAGCTGGAACCAGCTTTTAGACAGAACGACTGCCTCACAAACAGACTGAAACATTTTAAGTTTGAAACTGTTTTTAGCATCACCATAATTGGATACTCTATACAAGATTATTTCTATGTGATTGTGGTACTTTGAATCCAAAAAGTTATATAGGTAAGCATTCCTCTCATAGAAACCATACCAAGTACTTGCTGATTAAGTCATTTCAAAATAGAAAATAAGATCCAGAAGAGCTACTTCAAATATTTCTACAGTAAAGTACCTAGATCTATCACCCAGAGAAGTCAGAAATCACAGTTAGTGAACCAGGTCCTATATAATTTTTAGCTTTCCATAAGCTTAATACACTTTAAAAATTTACCTTTTCTGCACAGGAATGGAACATGTTCCTAACGCCTTTGCACATTTCAAAAATTAATTGACCAACACCTTCCACTTTTTCTGGATGCTCTCCCAGGTCAAGGAACATTATATTTAAAAGACCATTTTGATCAGAAACCTACGAAATGAATTCAGAGGAAGAAAGTATATTTAATTCATCAGTACCACACTGAAAGACAATTAAAAATTCCTGGCAGTCTTCTTACCTGTCCAATAGTCCCTCTCAACTCTGTATTGGCACTACAATTTACATAAATGAACTAAAGAAAGCAGAATGTCAAATTACAGCTTTCTTTTTAGTTATATAGGCATTCTCTTCTATTTCTCAAGCGCTAAGAGTATCTCCTGATGTCACAACAGGTACAGCAGTTTAAGAGACAAAGCAGGTTCAAAAGTGATCCCTACCTCCCAGAAAGTGTTATGAGACGGCACCAAAGTATACAGTTCATTCACTGTATGCTTTGCATGTCTTCTGTCCCGCAGACTTGCTGTGTGGCTTGATGGTAATTATGCAGTAAAAACAATGGGTTAGTGGGGCTGTACACTGGTGTGATTGCTGTCAGCATGTGGGCAAGCCTTTTTCAAAAAGCTACTTGTTTAGGTAAGTCTAAAAATGCAAACAGTTCAGCCTCCATGAGCAAGCATGTTGTTAGAACAAAGTAGAAACCAGGCTTACCCAAGATCATTGCCTGCCTAAAATGTCCTTAGGATTAAATGGCATCTTGACCACTATACGTTAAGAAGTGTGCTATATTAAGGGGAAAAGACCAAGTCAAGAGGTCCAAAAGGATTTGTTTGTGAATTGATCATCAGAATTCCCAATGTATTTCAAATATCTGTGCTTTTCAGGAGAAATTGTGCAGTGTTGGACTAGTAAGCTAACACAAAAGCTAAAGCTATGCCTCCCCTGATGTTCCACCTTTCTGTTGCTGTGCAGCTGGAAATAGCACTACAGTTACTAGGAACACTAAGGCTTTGGTCTTTGTAGCATCTAAGCAGAAGTAGATACCTAGGAACCTCTACTAACAGGCTAAGATGTGGAACATATGCCAAGCCCTGAGTCTCTCTCCATAAATGTTCAACAGTAAAACTTTAAGATCTCCTTCAAGGCCTGTGAGACCAGAGGGGAAATAGTATTTCTACCAAAAACAAAAATTAATGCAATTTAATTCGCAGGAGAATAATTAATATGATCCTATAAGAACCCTGTGAAGCAGGTCAGCACAGAGCTCAGGTAGCATACTGATTCAATGCATGAGTTAGAGATCCTTGATTCAAATCCTAGTTCAGGCATGAATGTACTAGAACAAGAGTGTCCAACCTTCTTTGACCTCTGGATGCACTGGGGAGGTTGAAACACTGCTGTAGGCATGCCCACAAAATGGTTCCTACAAAAGATGTGGCTAGCAACGTTGTGGCTGCCATGGCAGCATAACTAGTCAAAGGTGAGCTAAGGAGGTGTGTGGGGGTTGGGGGACTGAAGCTTAGGAGGGAGGGAGAAAGAGCAAAGTAAAGGCATAGAGGGAAGTGAGCAAGCAAGACTAGAGGCTGGAGGGATGGAGAAATTGCAAACTAACATGGTAGGGCAGAAAAAGCAAAGCTAGGCAGAAGAAAGAAATAGCAAACCAAAGTAATAGAATGGAGAAAAAGACCAACGACAACTGCCTTAGTATTTTCCTATTATTTTTTGCAAGCTCGCTTGCTTTCTTTCTTTCTTCTGGAAGGGGGAAAGGTGAGAAGAGAAGAGCCATAGGCACCATGTTGGAGCCCTCTGCACTACACTCTTTGGACAAACATGTATCTTTAATATGGATATCACAATTACTGGTTGGTTATAAGGAATGGTGTATCTGAAGCAATTTGAACAGGTTGCAAAACTTAGGACTATTTTACAGGTTAGCAGCTGAGCCACCCAACAAATCTTTCATTAAAAGCTGCATCTGAACCTCCTTCTCTCAGAACATTTTATGCACTGGGAAGAGCCATGGTGGAGCACCTGCCTTGTGTGCAGAACATCTAGGATCAACCCCTCAGCATCTCCATTTAGAGGCTAATGCACGTGATGGGGAGGACCACAGCTGCCAACCAATGCAGAGAATACTGAAATGAACTAATGATCACAAATCAAGATAAGACAACTTCATTGGTTCACTGAGCCGAATGGATAAAAGATATTTTCTAAAAGCAAGAGATACCTTCCAACCCTCCCAGTTGCATTAACAAACAATAGTCAACTGGACCTGAAAAACAGGCAATCTCACTTCCTGATAGCCATTGTTCTGAGTGTCACCTACCTTCCTCATGAGGAAGGTGAAGCTTTCTGCTGCAAAGTTCCTGATGTGCTCTTTGTGGTGGGCCAACAAGGTGCTGTACAATCTGAAATACAATGTTTAGATGTACGAATGAAAGAATAAAAACCAGACAGAATTAACTCATCCCTTCAACGATATTTAACAGAATCCATCATCTAATGGCAGGAAACTAGAAGCTCTCCAGATATTTTGGACTGCACCTCTGATTCTCCTTGATCATCAGCCATGCTAGCTGGGGTTTATTAGATTCATTGTCCAAAACATCTGGAAGGCAAGTCTCTGAAAGGCATATTGATTTTGATTTAGGCAGGACCTCAGCTCAATAACACAAAATATACTTTGCATGCAAGTGGCTCCAGGTTCAGTCTCAGACATTGCTATGTACAAGTCTTGGCTGAAATCCTGGACAGTGACTGTCAGTTAGTACTGGCAATACAGAGCTGGATGGACCAGCGGTTTGATTCTGCGGAAAGCAGCTGCTTGTGCATCTAGGCTCATGGGAAGGCACAGGATTCATTTCTTTCTTTTAAGCACTAACATACAGCCCTAATACCAAGTTCTCAGGGCAGCTTACAACAAGGATCAAAGCAAACTGAAAAGAGGTTTGATAGAAAACATATGAGAACAGGATTAAAACAACTTGTCGATAAAACAAAACTAAAATTAGAGCCAACACAGCCTTCAAAAAGTCCTGCAGGCTGCAAAGTCACTGAAATTATTTATTCATCAATAAAATATTTATTAAATTCATTTATTTGTTGCCATTCTTATTTCAACTTATATATTAAGTGGGACTTTAAGCTCCTGCAACTGCCTCCAAATCGTACTGTCCAGTCATAAGATTTCAAGAACTGTACAGATGCATATATTGGGAAAGAGGCACATCTTCAACTTGACATTCTTGTGAAATCTGCCCTGCACTGGAAGCAAACTGCACTTGTCTGATGGGGATGAACTTTCATTTTGCTGCTGCCAGTTACAGCTAATGACCTCACACTACAGGCTGCTTGAGCAATTTGGCTATAGTTGTGCTGCCTCCCTTATGCCGATGACTGTACCCAACAAAGGCCTGACTAAGATGGCCATGCAACCTCCTACAGTAAATGCATGTAGCACATCATATTGCTTGAAGGATGAAATCAATTATGAATCCCCAGCTTCAGGAGGTGCATTCCATCCCCAAGGGGATGGCAGACACTACCGGAACAGGTTCAGCCAAAACTGGCAACAGCAGCTACTCCTCCCAGTACCATATGAACTTTCCATCAGTCACACTTCCAACATTATCCCCAATCTCAGATTGGAGATAGCAGCTTGGATCCATCCAAGGGTTCAGTCTTGGCTGAACGGCTCCAAGAGCTAGCTATGGAACTTCCACAAGCTGAATCAGGTCCCTGGGCTGGAGGATCCTCTCCTATGATCTAATGCTGCTGCTCTCTGTTCCAAGACAACACCTGGTTGGTACCTGTCCAACCTGCAGATATCCTCCTGAACAATCTGGATTGAGTCCCCCATACCTGCAATTTACATCACAAGGAAAATCCTGCTACTGGATAAAAGCAAGTTCCAACTGAACTGCACACCTGTAATTTGCTGCATTTCAGTGTTGGCGAGGGATGAAGATAAGCCCCCCACTGCCCAAAATCCAAGCTGGATGATGTGGGACTATGAAATGGGCTGGGAATCTCAGATCCTAGATGCACCTTCCCCATCCCAAGGGTAAAGATAAAGCAAACTGCTTGAGGCCTAAAGGATGGGCAGGGAGGAACTGGCCTCAGAGGATATGCACCTTGAGACACAAGACAAGCCTCCAAGCTTGTCCTACTCACAGGACCTTTAAGCTGCAAGGAGTGCTCCCAGCTTAAAAGCAGGGTGGAGAATTATGCAGATTGCAGCTAAGAGAGCATAGCCTGCTTACCTACAGCCATTACAGCCACCCTGGATATTCTTAGCTACAAGCTCCACAGAGCTGTCAACCTCCCCAGCCCCGCCCACATGGTTGCTCTGGAATCAGCCACATCCTATGTTGTAAGGCATGGTTAAATAACTGTTTAAATAAGAGGCCTGAGTATACTGTGATTTTATAAAATCCATACTGAATTAAACTTGGTTGTTACATAAAGAAAGGCTAAATCTGACATCCTACATATACTATAGAAACCAAACAAGCTTGCGTAACAGATTCTACTAAACTGCAAATCAAAGCCAAGATTATTACATAACAGAATTCTGCGGCTATTAGCACATTTGGCGCTTATTCAAAATCAAATAATATACACAGCTACACGTCAGTAATAACCATCATCGGGATCAGATCCTATCCTTGCATTACTGCACTTTAAATTAGTATTTTTTTTCTTTTCAATAAATGTACAAGTGGGTAAGTAATCTACTGCACTTTATATTCACAGAATCAAACCCATAAGTGATTCCACTGTTAAAAGGCCATTCAGTTCAGCCCCCAGAAATAGCATAGAAATGATGCAGTTACAAAGATTTTTGCATTGGCACCCTCCAGATAATTTTAGACAGATGAAAATGCTTACCCATAAATATTGGACATGTCTTTTACCATCAGCCTCCACAAGTATTTGTAAAGATAAGAAAGAGAGGTGAAAGCCCATTCTAGTAGTTCTGTGTCTTGGGTATCCAGCAATCTTGTAATGGTCAAAAAAAAGTCTTGAAAATGAGGATAGAAATCTGTCTGGAGATCACGAGCCAACTGTACCACCAAGCTAAGTTCAAAAACAGAGCAGGAAAATGTCAAATGATAGCACATTATCATTTAAATACCCACATCCAACAGTGGTTACATGTATCTCTGGAAAACATCTCACTGTCCTATGGTGTGCTCACTTTTAATGCACTTATGCGCTGCATTTTATGGCCTAACAAATCCCTGAAGTTCCTTGCAGGTAACACTACCTCAAAAAATCCTGAGAAGCAGGTATAACTAGTATCATCTCCACTTTAGAAAGAGGGTCTGAGAAACAGTGAACTACCCAAAGCCACCCAAAAGACCAAGGGGCCAAGCATGAACACAACCTTTAATTTACCAGTCCAGTAATGTTTGGCCTCAAGTATGTGCATGACTCGAAAGTTTTTTGCAACAAAACAAGGGAAACACAGTTACAAGCTGTGTCTATTTGCTAAGCAAAGAGACTGACTTTGTGACAGAAAAGTTAAAATATTTTATTCTCAGCAGTTATTAATACACACCCCAAATAGCATGAAAATATAAGCACTATTGTATGCTTAAGACTTGTGTGGATAAGTTGTAACAAAAGCATTTTAAAACAACTTGCACACTTAAAAATAAAGTTTGCAAGAGATGTGCATGCAGTACTCTAGGATAGCAAAAAGAAAGAGCTCAGATTTGAAGAACTATGAAGGCATTCTTGGCTTTGTTTTGTCCCCAGATAGAAAGTATGACAACAATATGTACTTACTCCAAAAGGGGTTGAAAAGCAAGACTGTTTTTCACTTGCAGGTGGGTTTTCAAGTTCTGTACAATGTCATTCTGATAATACACTAGCTGGTTGAAGGACTGGCATTTGTTAACTACCTGTCTATAGAATGTCACTGTGGGAAAAAATAATGACTTTAGAAATAAACCTTAATCACTATTTTACAAAACTCCAAAGACAGTAGCTAATCTCCTCTGGCCAAACACAATTAGCAGCACAATTTTGTGTACTTATAGTCAAAAATAAGCCGCACTATGTTCAATAAGGCTTTCTCCCAAGTAGGTGTGAATAGGACTGTAGCCCCAGTTGTCCATATATGAAGTTTCCATTTACATTATGGCATAGCAAGAATTTGCAAAATGCATCCCTTTTTCTTTTCAGCTTTTCCTCAAATTGTAAGATTCCCAAGCTTGAGTCTTTAAAAAGTCAGCAGGTGATTAAAAACACCCCCATGGAATATAATCAAAGTATGTAAGAGGTAAAGGTAGGGACCTTTGAAGAGCTCTCTAGCCAGAAATTCTCAGCATGGCTCATCTGCACAATGAAAGGCTGTCCAAACACAATTCAAAAAATACATTTTTCTAAGAGTGAAAGAACTCTTTGCATGTGGGAATTTAAGACATTAGTCAGCTCACATTATCTCTTTGCCAGTCACACACACATACTTTTTGGTTCATGCACACACATTATAATAAGGCAGGTGTGACCAACTTGTGATCCCTCTAGATGGATTGACCTTCAGCTCCCATAGTTGACCACCATTGGCTGTGCTAGTCAGGGCTGATGTGCCGCAGGCCAAAACATCCGGGTGGCAACAAATTGCCAACCTCTATTGAAAAAGCACAAGCAAAGCTTTTGGTTGGGGGACATGACCAGTTACATTGTCAAATAGTTTTTCCACAGAAAGTGAAAAAAAAAGTTTGGGGAACAAGAAAAAACTGCAGCTGAAAACAGAAGAAAGCTTTGGAATATTGAATGAATAATTTATATTTTCTGACACCCTATCCCTAATACAGTAGAATGATTTTTATGATTTATTGAAACTGAAACTGCAATGCTGGGTATTAGACATCCGTGCAGAACCATTCTTTAGACACTTGCAGACACTGGAGCAAAAAAAAAAAAAAAAGAATTATGTCCCCCTGAAAACATCATACATCTTTTAGTCTAACACTGAACATTATACAAAAAATATCACAGGAAAGGCACAGCCTGTTCATCTGATGCATTCCATGTTGAATTTGTCCATAAATGTACAGCCACGTCAGCTGAAACCATTAGTCTCCATATACATTTCTGACTCAGGACCTAAAAAATCACCTGTGTATCATATCCCAAAAGAAATACAAATACAAAATATTTTGAGAAAAAATTACCAAAGTTTCGAGTAAGATTCAGCTCTCTCCATTTTTCCAGTCCTTCATGAAAATATGTTTCAACCTCCTAGCAAAATCAAGAATGTACATTAGTCAACATACCTACATATGAATTCAATTCTCCAAAGTATAGGCTTCCATAAGACAAGTTCATATTTTGATATATTATGTCAATATATGCTATATTAAGACTAAATTAAATTCTAAACTAAACTAAAGAGATATACAAATTCCCACAAAACTACAACAGCTACCTACAAATAATTATAGCATCTAAAAATCACTAAAATGCAGGAAGTATGCTAATTATCATCACATACTATAATCAGATGGCCAACTGAAGTACTCCTGTAGTGATTAATCTCTTTCTATTGCTTCTTTGGATTGGAACTACAGCACTGCTCATGCAGAAAGACAGCAAGTGGATTCACACTACAATACCTACTCAGGGTTGAGTATGGACTGAATCCTGGGATGTTCTATGTTGATTGCTACAGACATATTAAAGGAACTGGCTGGCATATGTAACAACTGCACCAAAATACTGAACTCCAAACCTCAGGACTGTTTTGTATATATGCGGCAGAAATCTTTCCGGCTGAAGAATGGGACTATCAGGTAGCTTTTCTATCAGGATCTTTTTGTTTCACTCCTGAATTTATTCCCATCCCTGGGGAGGCTTGGCATTTCTCGTGTATATTAGAGCATTTCCAAATGTTAAGGTCTTTATCAGAAACATGGCAATAAAACCTCAAAACAATTACAGTGGTCTTACCTCAGCATAGCTGCCTGTTCTGTCAATGCGATGAATAATGTCAATATTTACATTGTTTAATCGTTCTGAAAAGGTGAGAAACTGCAAAGAAATACTAACAGTTACTTGGATTGTTTTGCAATAAACGTCAAGTGATCGTGTTTAAAATAAAATTGTCAAAGAGAATAGGTCAAACTCTTCGCAGTTCTTCCATTAAAAGAATGTGACATGGTGCTCACAAAGATAGCATAGCTAATACAGTTACGTGAAATCAGGTTCTTCTGGAGTCATGGGATCTATGAAGGCCCTTTAGCTTAATTTTTCATAGCAGACAGGATCTTCCATATTTAAAATTGTTTATCATCCAGTTTACAATGTGATGAAAGCATAAGAATTATTCCATATGGTTCTGGGAAAAGACCTGTTCCCTTCTCCAACTATGACAGTCAAAGAAACTTGCCCCAATCAAGCAATCAGCGCAGAAGCTCCACTGCATTAAATGGATCACTGGACTACCACATATGAACACATGTCTATTACCACTCCACCACAAGAAAGGAATATTTACTTAGACTCTAATACCAATTTAGAATGTCTATCATCCATTTCCATTTCAGGAAGGTGGGAAATAATCAGAGAGAATAAAGTGCCTTGCAACTAATTCCAAATATGTTTTTATGAAATCATCTCCCATGAATTTCAGTTCCAAACTAAGTTCCATTAAAATCAACTTGATTTATTCTATTTACTTGTCTTCAGAACTAAAGTAGTTGCAATGCAAGCTTAATTTTCATGTATGAAGGTCAAAAAATCAGCACATAGTTCACAGTAGTAGGAAATGTCAACATGAGAGTTTATTTAGATCCTGCCATTTTTCCTCCCAAGGAACTAAAAGTGGCTTACATAATTCTCTTCCTCCTCTCAATCTTGCCCTCACAACAACGCTATGTGGTAAGTTGTGCTGAGAATCTGTGACTGACCCAAAATCAGCCACTGAGCGATCTCCTGAGTCCCTGAGTTTTTTCAGGCATATAAGGCCCTTCTGTGATCAGTGTTCTAATAGATGGTGACTAGGTATTGTGCTTTCATTCGTTGTAGTATCAGAAGCATCTTGCACCTACCCAAAGCTTCAGGTACTGTGTACACATCAAAACGTTAAGATCTAACAAACAGAATACATTACTTCTTAAGGGCAACCGACATGCTTTAGAGATTAGCTCTTTATTACCACCTAGATCGTGTCCAATGCTAGAAGATCGATAGCTTTGCTAGAGTTTTATTAGCCGTATTGGCGTGGGGGGGGCGGGGAGACAGAAGAGAAAAATACTATGCACAAAGTCGCTATTTGGTATTAGTGCCAGGCATGAGGTGCGACATTTTTTCGTAGGAATTAGAATTATCCGCAAAGTTATTGCACAAGAAACTAACAGTACTGTTCCCCAACTGCTTTGATTAAGTACTAGTCTGTTCTAATCGCTTTTTCACAGCCAACAATCTATAACTGGCTATCAGATATGTTGCTTCGGAAGCACCTTCTATTCTCGGCAGGGACACAAGCGCTAAACTGAGTTTGCAGAAGGCTCAGGGTTTCAGATCCCTCCCGCCACCGGATCCCCCGTATCTTACCCGGTGCGTGTTCTCAGACTTGTGAGAAGACGATTTGGTCTTCATCTCTTTTGGGATTCGGGAAAACAAGCTACGCTTTGGTGGGTTGAAGCAGTATATTACACAGGCCACCACCTAAACCCAATTTGCCAAATAGGTACTACATACACACACACATGTGATTCTACAAACTGGAGGCTGCCATCTTGACTGAAGGATGCTGGGATATGATCGTCACGTGAGCGGCTCAGAGGGAAGGGGTGGGTAAGTGTGCTTACAGGGAAATGTTTCTGCAAGTACTTGTCTGTGTGCGCGCTGTAATTAAACAGCATGAACTGAAGCTAACTCCGACAGAAATCCTAGTAGTTGTTGCATAGAACTCATCGGTCGTAGCTTTGCTCTGCATTTTCCAAATATTGTTTTCCTTTTAAGTGGTTTTGTGTGTCGCTTCTTAAGCCAGGATTTCTGTAATGTTTATTTTTCAGCTAAAATATCTTTGTTTTAGAAGTATATAGCACGGAGGTCTGATCCTAGTGTTTAGTTCTCTTCCATTCGATGAGATTCACTTCCTGCTGAGTGTATGTAGGCTTGCCGTTTTATTTGTAAAATATACAGAGAGAGGGAGGGAGGAAGGAGAGTTTAAGCCGCAATCTTAGGCATGTTTAGATAGAAACGTCTACAATTTCCAGTAAGCCTCAGCTAGACTGAGGTGTTGAAAATCGTAGGACTTGCTTTTGCGTATGTGCCAATATGCATAGGGTTACACCCTTAGTAATTCCTACCTTCAAGCATCACTACTCGGTTTCCTTTTAAAGAACAAGAAAGAAAAATAAAGAATGACTGTAAACAACTGAGGATTAATCTACTGCACAAGATTGTTGGAAAGACAACATCCGGGGGGGGGGATCTGCATGCACCCAAATTCTTCAAAAGAAGCATGTGATTAAAAAGAACAGAGAATTGCCCATCAAAATGAATGGAAAAAGCTAAGATTGTAACAAAACTTGGATTGGACCGGCAGTCTGTCCTACATTCAACCGAAAACCAAAACAGAGACAAATAACAAACCTTGCTGCCAATGAGAATTGGGTATGCATGGAAAGTTGACTGTCCCGTGGATCAATGGAGTAGGCAGAATGCTGAACGGGAAGGCACAGGGTGACATTATTTTGTAAGGTTCCACTTATAAACTGTTTAAAATGCTGATGCTTCCCTCCCAGTACAGCTTGGGACCAAGATGTCTTGAATGTTCCAAGATAATATTTACCTGTAGACAAAGATCATTTTTGGAAACACCTCAAGGTACCCCCCCCACTTTGCATTCCAAAGATATTGATCGTATCAATGCCAACTAAAGGCTTCTTTGTATTTCTAGGTCTTTAAACTATTTTAAAGGACAATCCTATGCCTATGTCCTGTTGAGTTCATTCATTTTCCTGGTAGTGATTTTTATACTGTTTTTACTTGTTAGTTTATGTTGTTGAACTGTATTCTTCATACTAGTTTTGTGTTCATAGAACTGTCTCGGGGTAGGGTGGGGTTAATTTATTAATCAAAATTAACCATAAGTACAGTTGCCTACATGCAGTTAGCAGTAGTCTTTTTCATGTTCCATATCTACGTCCAACAGAAAAAAAGTGTCCAAAAGTAATATCAGAAACTGTCCTAGTCATTGTGCTACTCATCAATGGTTCTGTCTTTGTGCATATTTTCTGTTTTTCTTTGATTGGTTTTCTCACTAGCAGTTAAGGATTCATCTCCTTTGCATCCTTCATTAATATTGTTATTACCTGCAGTGACTACTGCCCCCCCCGCCACTGTAGTGCACACGCAAAGAAAACAGTGTAGCACTACTGACAGCGAATCAGAGCTACTGCAAGTACAACTGCTATATGATTCTAATCGTACTTATTTTAAATTGAATTTCATTAAAGTTAGTTGAACTTACTTCCAAGTGTGTATATCTGAATACACTAAATACAAGGTGCTGGAATACTAAAAATTAAATATATCTATGGAAAGCTGGCTGTAGGATCAGGTACTGAGAGTGATGGTAGGTAGGGTAATGCTACCCAGTATGTCAGGTGGGTGCCATTCCATGGTTAACTGCGGCTGAGTCAAAACTAATGTAGCAACGTGTACACCCACAAGGTAGTCATTCCGGAAAAGCAACATTAATACACAGCCATTTCCCTACTCTTTTGAGCTTACAGTTCTTGTGATCTGCTATGATCCTTTATGCAATTATTATTCCTTCTCCTTCTCTGATTGTGTGGGTGAATGGGAAGAAGTGGGTACAATCATTTTGTGTTCTTCACTGATTTCAGTGAAAATGTTAACAAGGTATTTTCCAGATGCTACATTATGCTCTTATCCAACCGCCTTGAGTGAACATGAGTAACTTTCTGAGTAACTTCCATTTCTTCCCCCCTCATGTTGCTAATCCCCCACCTCCACTGTGCTGCTGGTATTCTGGTAGTGTAAGAATTCACTAAGTGGTGCACAGCCTAGGGCCCTCATACCAGATTCCTTCAGTAGGTGCCCTCCAGATGTTCTGGACTATAAATCCCAATGCCCTTGAATGAACCATGCTGGCTGGACCTTATAGGAATACCAGGTTAGGGAAGGATGCCTCCAGTGGTTTGACCTACAGTTTCCATCATCTGTTCTCATTGGCTATGCTGCCTAGGACTGATGGGGGTTGTATGCCAAAACATCTAAAAGATCACAAGTTAAAAGACTCCTGCCAATCTTTAGGGCTTGCCTCTCATCAAACATAAATGATTGGAGTCACTGAGTTGGAAAAGGGATGGACAGCAAGTAGATCTCTAATTCTTTTGGATTTCAACTTCTAGCAATTCTCCCCTGCAGCCACTGGGAGTTGAAGTCAGAATCATCTGGAGAACTGCCTTCTGCCCACGGGTGTTTTAGGCCATCAAATCCAACCATCTCTCACAAATGGCTGTTGGGATTCTGCTTGAATATCTCCAGTGATGAGAGTGCTAACCACTTCTTCTATGCTCTTGCTCCATTGTCTGACTGTCCTGTGTCTTAGGAAGTTTTTCCAGACATTCATCTGAAATCTGCCTTCCTGTAGCTTGAGAATCCCATTGTTTCATTTCCAATATAACAATTAAGTGCTTTTTATTTATTTCACTTCTATACTTCTCAATAGCCAAAGCTATCCAGGCAGTTCATAACAATTCATAAAATGGCCAACCACTTTCCAACATAGCAAATGTAAAACAGAATTAATAAAGGACAGATAGCAGAGCTGGTGTAAGGCAGGCTTCAGTGGGGACAATTCCATAATTGGGGGTAACCACTGAGTCAGCTTAGGCCCTTGTTGATATCAATGGATGGCAAGAAGTGAAAACAATCCATGTCATAAAGAAAGCAGGATAATCTTGTGCTGAGATTTGCTCTCCCTAACTAGCTTCCTGGTGAACATTTGTCAGCTATTTTGTTTACATTAACCTGAGGTTAGCAAATTGTTTGAATCAGAAATCTGTTTGTTTAAAATTAATAACCTTAAACAAACAAGGGTACAGCTCCTATAGCCCAAAGGATAAAGTTCGAATGGTGTAGTAAATTGGTCTTTTGCCACTAAAAAGGGCATCAGCTGAGCTGAATGTAACATTTTGTTTCTTTCTGTTAGCTAATTTTGTGAATGACAGGATATTTAGGGTTCTTAAAACAAAAAGGGCCTGTAAAGTATATCTCTAAAGTGAGAATATATCTCTAAAGTGAGAGAAATGGCATCAAAATGGAAAATGTGTTTCAGTGTAAATAAATGTAAAGTGGAGCACACTGGGGGAAATTTCCCCAACTTCATGTATATCTGATGGGATCTGATCAAGCAGAGACTAACCAAGAAAGAAATCTTGAGGTTGTGGTGATCAGCTCAATGTTCCTTTAGTTTGATCCAGCATGGCTCTTATGTTCTTAAGGGCTTGGTCCTATGTGTTGCATCCTTGATGATTCTGAACTCAGAGATTTATGACCAATCTATGCAGGGCAGGAGGAGCAGTGGAGATAACCTTCCCCTTCCCACTGTACTACCTTGCATTTTTCACTAGATGGTCTGATCTTTCTTTTGTCCATCTAGTAAAGGTGTTTTGGTGGGGAAGCTGCTGGAGAGGCCTTATCATAGCTCATTCAGACCTTTTCAGTCTCCTTTCCTGCCTGCTTACCAAAATGCACCTTTTCTCACTTCCCCCAGGTCACACTTTTGATGTGGTTCTTTCTACAACAGCTGAAAGTGGGAGGGAGTCGAGTCAGATTTACACAGTTCCCCTTTGATCAAGGAGCACAGTCTTTGACATAGGAGAGGAATCTGAATTATCCTACCCAGACATACATACAGCGATTCATGACATTGACATATCTTCCATTGCTGATATATCAGCCCTTGAAACATTTTCAAAATTAATATCTAGTATCTAGTCTTGCCTTTCTGCACATCTTCAACCTGTATATCCAAATTAGCTTTGCTAGAATTGTCGAAGATCCAGTGTCACACCTCCAAAGTAGTAATGAATCCCACATAGTTCATCTTGTTCCTCAGAAGAATGACAGTATTATACAAGAAGGCACAACTAACTGGATTAACCAGTATAAAGATCTGTCAGCTAATAATCAGAGTGAAGAACAAATGTTTCTCTTGCTCCGGAATACTCAACCCAAGAAATTCCGGTGACAAGAATGGGGGTTTTGTCTAAACAGTAGACACAACTTCCTGGTGATATGAGCTGTTGCACAACAGACTGACTTGGAAGGTGGAACATTCTCCATTCCTTAAGCAAAGATTGGATGGAGGCAACCAAGAGTGGTGTAGCAGCAGATTTCGTGCCTTAGCAGGGGTAACTAGATGAACTTTGCAACTGCTTCCAGCGCTATAGTTCTATAGTATTCATATAGGATAGGCAAAACTGTTCTGTTACTGCCAAGCTTTTCAGGCACTGGCTTGATGGATCGTTCAGAAATATTCTAACTGCATCCAGTAAAGCAGGAAAGAAGATGCATGCATTCATGGGGCCAGCATGTGGGTGGAAGACCTGTTTTGCAACATGGGATTTTAGAATACCGTGCAGAGAAATCACAGATACCATCCTTATGTAATGAACTAAAATCAATATGATTCATTCCTAAGAGGTCATCAAAGTTGCAGATGAGTGTAGGCACACCTTGCCTTTGTGGGTTGAGGCTCATTTCGCATGACACCACCTTGTGAAATGATTGCAGAGGTGGGGTCTCCAGCCAGCTCTAGCTCAAATGGAGTCCTCACTTGGCAGGAGGGGTACGTTTTGGAAGTTGAATCAGGGCACTACACTATGGGGCAATGACTTTCCTTTAGGTTAATTATCCGAGTTAGCACTCTCAGTCTAGGCGTGACTTTCCCTCCCTGCTGCACAGGAGCCAGGCGGAACTACAGCGCTGGCTACTTTCAGTCCTTGGTTGCCAAATGCCAAAACCTAACCGCGCCTATTTTAGGGCTGCTTCCCTGCCCTCCCCGTGTCCCGGTGTGGGGTTGCTGAATCCGCAAACAGGGAAGAACCTGCCCAGATGACTCTCGAGGCGGGGAGTTTAAGGGAGCTGTCCCTCGTGTCTTAAGTCCAACCACAGGCAGGAAGAGCCAAGGAGGCAGGCTCGCAATTAGGTGAGCGGGAGGAGGAGAAGGGCATTCTCCGAAGGATTCAGCCGCTCCGAGGGAACAGGCGACAGCAGCGACGGCGCTCGCTCGAAGACGAGCGTTCAGAGGCGCCAGCTCGCGGAAGGCAGGGAAGAGGCAGCGAGCTCCGGGAAAGAGAATCGGCGGGGCCACAAGCGGCGCCTGGCGGGGAGAGGCGAACAGCGGCAAGGGCGCCGCGAGATAAGGAAAGGGGCGCGCAAGGCTCGCAAGCCAGGGGGCGCCGAACTCCGGGAGGCGAAGGGCGCTCGGAAGGAGGGGTGGGAGAGCACGTGCCCGGTGCGCGCGGGCTGAGGGGTCCCGCACCTGCTGCACCTGCACCTGCAGGGCCAAGGGCGAGGCGGCGAAGGCGACGCCGCTGCGCAAGCCAAGCCGGGTCGGCTCTCGCTCTCCGCGGAGCGACCTCGCCGCAGCCGCAGTTCCCTGTACCGGTCAGGCAGGGAGAGCGGGACTCTCCGTCCTGGCTTGGGAGGCGCCTGGCTTGCGCCGCTGCTTTCGGAGCCATGAGCGCTTGCACGGTCACCGCAGGCTTCGGCACCTGGGACTACGTGGTCTTCGGGGCCATGCTGGCCATCTCCGCGGTCATCGGCATCTATTACGCCTTCGCGGGGGGCGGCCAGAACACCTCCAAGGACTTCTTGATGGGGGGCCGCAGCATGACGGCGGTGCCCGTGGCGCTGTCCCTGACGGCCAGCTTCATGTCGGCCGTGACGGTGCTGGGCACCCCCTCGGAGGTCTACCGCTTCGGGGCCAGGTTCAGCGTCTTCGCCATCACCTACGCTCTGGTGGTCATCCTCAGCGCGGAGGTCTTCCTGCCCGTCTTCTACCGCTTGGGCATCACCAGCACCTACGAGGTAGGCAGGAGGGACCAGGGTTGCCCTTCTCGGGCTTCAGCCTTGCTTCCAAGATCAGCGCTTGGCTCTGCAGTCGTGGTGCCCGCTTCTGCCCCCTACTAACTTGTGAATCATGGGCACACGCAGGCATCCTTATAGCTAAGGATGTAAGAGACGCTATCACATTGTTATTGCCTTCCTACTAACTTGTGAGTCATGGCCTCACACAGGGACCCTTATCTCTAAGGATGTAAAGAAACACTATCGCATTGTTATTGCTTCTTTTCATCCATAAACTTTACATAGTTTTCTGATAGTTTCATCTGGAACTCAGTATAGCAAAAATCAACGGAGCTACCAAATTAATGATACCATGAGATTTATTTACAAACCCCTTCCATAGCATCATTAGCCAGTTTTACTCCAAGTAGCTGGTTTATGAAGAGTCTATCGCCAAGTTAACGCTACCAGTTCAACTTGGAGGTATCTGGTTTATACGTATTTGTATGTTATTAATAAGAAAGTAGTTAAATCTTGACAATAGGCATTTCTTTCCCCATAAATGACTTATCAGAAATCTTCACATAGCATAACTGTGCTTACAATGTTTGCGCTGGTTCCTTGATATGAAATGTTTATTTCTATTAGGTACAGTTAAAGTAGCAGGTTGAAAAAATACTAATTTGCATTAGTCAAATAATGGAAGGAAAAGCACCCCTTTTTATAATCCAGATAAAAATGAACTTTTCTAATAAGATATTGTTGTCTCAAAATGACTTAAACATTGTATGTAAATATTGTTTCTTGCAGTATTTAGAACTTCGATTTAATAGATATCTGCGTCTGTGTGGGACAGTACTCTTCATTATACTGACGGTGAGGAAAAAATTGTACATTTCTTAATATCTGTGATGTCTAAAGCAACTTTTATCATTTTCTAACTATTTATAGTAGAATGCATTTTTAGGCATGAAAGTGCACTTACAGCACAATCCAATGCATGGCCATTCAGAAGTAATTTCCACCACAGTTAAATTCTATATCCAGTCATTATACCCAGCTCAATGGGCGCACGATTACAGACTTAATCTAGTGTAAAGTTGTACAATAATGTTGACTTTAGAAATCATAGGCATGATATTGTGAGGAATATTTATATTGCTGTATGATGAGGTGGGAACTTAAAAGGTAATTCTCATACCTTTGAAATTACTGGGAGTTTTGTTACTCAAAATAACACATAGATCTTTAAGTAATCAAACTATGTAGGCAGCTTTAAGTGCAGTACAGTGAGAAAAAGCTGGTAGCCTCTTACAGACATTTTATTGCATTCTGTAAGGTGGTATGGTTCCCAATCAGCATTTCTTTCAGAAAACACTAGCTTGGTTCTTAGCATATTTAACTTAAGGAAATCCACAGATATACAGTCTCCTGTCTTCTCCTTCCCCATGCAGTCATTTGTGCCTCCTGGAAAGAACAACAGGATGGTTGGCAGACCATTCTTAATAATGTGGGATGGGACATGGGGAACATCTGCTCAACTTGGATTTGTCACATCACACAACTCTGGGGATTGGACCCATTGTTCCTCTGAGTCAGATAAGGAGGAGGGTTTGGGATTTGTATTTCTGAGGGGACTCAGAAATAAGTCACACAGTAATTGATTAATGCGAATGAAGAGAAGTGAAGATCAGCCATCGCTAATCTCAAGGCCTGGCACCAGTTTAAGGTGGCAGACTAACTCAGAAATGTCAGATGCTCCAAGCAATTGGTTCTTAAGCAAGAGGATTGGCCTCAAAGGCAGGATGTTGGCAATTTCAATCTGGGAAGGGGAAGAGGGAAGAGGTATTCTGTTTGGAACTAGCTTCTTAGGGTATTAACATAATACCCTAGCCTCAGATACTAGTGTCAGTCCATTCAGTGTCAATTAGCATGTAATCTCTAAGGGTAATTATTGTGTATATTTTATATTCCTTTTGTTCAATACTTCCCTGTTTTGCAATTCTTACATTCTGTCAAATTGTTCCTGATGACAACCCTGTGAATGAAAGCCCTCCAAGATGTTCTATCCATGACTGCCCTGCTCAGCTCTTGTAAATTCAAGGCTGTGACTTCCTTTTTGGAGTCAGTCTATCTCATGTTTGGTCTTCTTTTTCTTCTTCTGCCTTCAACTTTCCCTACCATGAATATCTTCTTCAAGGAGTTTTACCTTCTCATGAGGTGCTCAGTCAGGGTATTTGCAAAGCTCTCATCTAGTACATCAGTTTTCTTCCTACAGCTTCCTTCTCTGTTCAGCTTTCATACCCATACATTGGAATAGACCTGTATATATGTGTGCACATTCATTGGGACCAAGTTGCCAAGATTCATAGCCATGTTAAAAAGCCTTTTAAACCCATGTGTTCTTGAACACACATATTGTGGTTTATGTGTTCATGGAAGACATTTGTTAACATTTCATAATAGTCAAGGCAATGTTTGCACCATGGTGGTCTTACAAATGAAAGCTACTCACTCTTTACTGGATTTCTGTATGAATCATCTGGACATATATATTGGCATAGAAGCTTGCTAAATAAATAAATAAATAAATAAATAAATAAAATAGATCTTTTTTAATGGCATGTAACAAATTCCATTTATATTGTTCTTCACTTCAGAAGAACAATTCCTCTAAAATATGTTGCATGAAGATTATTACTGGTGCAGCATGTAAAATTGCATTCATGCTACCCAATCCAAAGGAACTTAAGTAAAAATGACGACCAGAATTTTAAAAACCTACATTAATATCTGCAAATAAATAAGCCTTTTAGTAAGATTGCTTCCCTACTCATACATTTTGTATCTGTCTTCTTTCCAGATATTATACACTGGAATTGTCATTTATGCTCCAGCCTTAGCTTTAAATCAAGGTAAGATGAATGAACATATAGTAACATAGGCCATGTTTCCCTTTAATATCAACACATGTACCATATCATGCAAAAGAAATAGTGAAGCCTTCCAAAATGTCTAGTGACTTCAGAAACTTGTGCAACTGAAATGCTAACAGAACAACAACTGAAAGTGTCTTGAAGAGAGATTTGTGGCTAAATTCAATGTGGAGTTTAGTGGAGTTTAATTTTATAAGCAGCATACACATTATGGGTTCCAAGTATTATGGAATCAGGGTTTGACTTGGTTATTAAAGGAAATCCATCTAGAAAATATTTAGTCATGGCTTGAGAAGCACATATTGATGATTATCAGTTCACATGTAGTATGTACCAAGGCATGTCTTGCACCAAGGAGTTCAGAGCTCAAACATATTGTATATGTTTAGTTATTTAATGGTGTTATTACATTTTTGGCATAACAGAACTCAAGGACAATTGCAGAGGGTTTAGAATTCATCTCCAATCAGATCTCCTTAATTTTGTAAAGGTTGCTGCATTGTGTGCTTCTCAAAGCTCACTTTTCAGATGAGTTTGCCTACAACTTTCATCATTCCCAGCCATGCACTATACAGAAAAATAGACTTCTACAGCTGTGGAAAATATGTAGATTGTTGAGCTGTTTTACTTACTTGCATCTGGCCATTCTCCTTTCCTTTCTGTTGAGCCCAGGTGATCTATAAAAAAGAAGGGTTATCAAGTGTCTGGTCAGCTGTAATGGCCACATTCAGATGTCATTCTTAATGATTCATTGTAGTTTATCATAGACTCATCATAGTTTAACATGATGATAGTACTTGCATGGTCAGTTTTCCCTCTTTTTCTCTGGTGCAGTTTAAATGAAGATATTGGAAGACAGCGCTTCTAGTTGCCATTAACTGAAGATTACTAAGTGAACTGTATGCCATTAGAGGTCTGATGTTATGAACATCAGAATTACCATTAGTGAAGCAGAGCAAGGTCGATTTAATATAGAATTCTGTTCCAGGAGCAACAAGCCAGGTGCCTCTAGAACTCACAAGCCTTGTTGTTTATTGACAGCACCAGTTATACTTGCCCTTGCACATAAGAGGTTCCAGTTAACATACTTAATAGCGGTCAATTGCACAGTCTTGCTGTATGCTGCAGACTAATCTATTCCAACAGGTATCTAACAAAGCAATTATTAGGACTTGTTATTTCTTAGAATGATGTCTAGCACTTCTATTCTTTGTTCAAACATTTACCACAACACGAATGTTGCTTTTTAAGTCTTCTTCCCTTACATTCGTTTTGTTGCTATTTTCTAGTTACAGGGATTGACTTGTGGGGTGCAGTGGCTGCAACAGGAATAGTTTGTACATTCTATTGTACACTGGTATGTCTGCCATTCATTTTTAAATTTCTGGTTTCCTGGTTAACCTTATTATATATAAATATAAAGAATTGAAATGCAACTTTTCTTAACATCATATCTCTTCATTTTCCTATTCATTTGTACATCACTTCCCCATTTAGGTAGGGACAGTCACTGACTCTTGGCCTAACCTAATTCACAGGGTTGTTTGTTTATTTATTATTTGAGGTATTTATAGACTGTTCCCTTCAGCATATTCTCTCAGAATGGTTTACAACTAATAGAAATAACATAGTACATCCTCCATGAAATCATATCCAAATACAACAATTAACAACCATAACAGGAAATAAAATAATGATACCTAATGCATCAGACCAGAGCAACCAATCATTAAATAAAAACCAATATTAAACCAGAACCTCAAATTGGCAGTTAAAATGATAGCTGAATAAAGGGTTTTGACCTGGCTCAAAAATGTGTAAAGTGTTGATAAGGAACAGGGCTTATATGCTCAAATTGTTCTGTCCCAGTCAACAGATGCACTACTTTGTTCTGTACCAGCTCAAGTTTCCAGACTGCTTTCAAGGGCAGCCCCACATAAAGCACATTGCAGTAATCTAGACATAAAGTTTCCAGTGCAAAAGGTTACCAGTGCATGGATTGCCATTGCTAGGTGCTGCCCATCCAGATAGGGATGCAGTTTATATATCAGCCACAATTGATAAAAGGTGCTCCTGGCCATAGATACCACCTGTTGTTCCAGGGACAACTCTGGATCCAGGAGCATCCCCAAGCTTTGTACTTTGTCTTTCAGGGGGAGTGCAGCCCCACCCCCCTGGATAAATTCCCCCTAGACTAACCCTTCACCCACCAATAGCACCTCCATCTTGTCTGGATTAAGTTTCAATTTATTGGCCCTCATCCAGTCCATCACCCTGCTCAGGCATTTGTTCAGAACTGAAATTGCTGCACCTGGATCAGATGTAAATGAGAAGTAGAGCTGAGTGTCATCAGCATGACTACTGATGACACTTCAGCCCAAACCTCTGGATGACCTCTCTCTGTGGTTTGCTGTAGATATTAAACAGAATGGGGGATATGATGGAACCCTGCAGCATGGAACCACTACAGAGCAGTGCCTCTACCTCCCAACTCAGCCAGCCTATGCAGAAGGATATCATGGTATTAAAAGCTGCTGAGAGGTCCTGGAGAACCAACAAGGACACATTCTCCCTGTCTTTCTCCTAGCAAAGGTTATCCCACAGGGTGACCAAAGCAGTTTATGTCCCAAAACCAGGTCTGAAGCAGGACTGAAATGAATCCAGATGTTTTCCTCCATCCACTTAAGCACCTTGCCCAAAAAGGGAACATTGGCCACAGACCTATATTTGTTAATGTCTTCTGGGTCTAGGCTAGCTTTCAGGAGAGGCCTGATGGAGGCAGAACTCTCAATCATCTGGACCCAGAAAAGTATCCCACCATGGAGTAGGCTCAGTAATGAGCTCTTACCCATGTTTGGTCAGATTTAGGCTGATCGTTGTGAGGATAAGACGGAAAGCAGGAATAGGATTATGTAAGCTGCCCTGGGCTTCTTGCAGGAAAAAGGCAGGATATAAATATATATTCAATAAATTAACTTGCTTGCATATTAACCTATATTTGCTTTTCTAAATACAGGGTGGTCTAAAAGCAGTCGTTTGGACAGATGTTTTTCAAGTTGGAATCATGATAGCTGGGTTTTCCGCAGTGATTATACGTGCTGTGGTGGTTCAAGGCGGTATTGGACATATACTAAATGATTCCTACCATGGAGGAAGATTAAATTTCTGGGAGTAAGTTCTTAATTTGTTTGAGCTACAGTACTGAAGAAGACTCTTACAATGAAATCTTAAACATTATTTGCTTTATTTCTCATTGTAGTCAGTGGCATTTATTTCCAGTAGTATACATGTGCCCAAATCCTACACCTTATTCAAAAATATGAGAGTAGTGGAAGCTAGTGGAATGGCATTGGCATAATATTAGTATCATTGGCACCTAGAACTTGGACACTACTTGCTTGTGAGATTTCAAGAAAATTAGTGGAAAATCAGTTATTTTCTCCTAATTAGTGGAAACTATAATCCTGTCACTGATCCCAGGGATTGTATCCTATCAGTGCTGGAAAGCCCTTTCAACTTGTAGAGACATCTGTCTGCATAAGAGAAGGGAGGCAATTTTCCACCACCAATACCAATCTGATACTGTTCTGCATTTGGGGAGGCATGTGAACTAAAGGAGAGAGGAGACAGGATTTGTTGTTGTTGTTAGCTGCGAAGTCATGTCCGGCCCATCACGACCCCATAGACAACATTCCTCCAGGCCTTCCTGTCCTCCACTATCCCCTGGAGTCCACTTAAGCTCACACCAACTGCTTCAGTGACTCCATCTAACCACCTCATTCTCTGCCGTCCCCTTCTTCTTTTGCCATCTATTGTTCCCAGCATTAGGCTCTTCTCCAGGGAGTCCTTCCTTCTCATTAGGTGGCCAACGTATTTGAGTTTCATCTTAAGTATCTGGCCTTCTAAAGAGCAGTCAGGGTTGATCTCCTCTTGGACTGACCAGTTTGATTGCCTTGCGGTCCAAGGGACTCGCAGGAGTCTCCTCCAGCACCACAATTCAAAGAGACAGGATTATCAGAAGTTAAATCCATTCATGTTCCACTGTCTTCTGTCAGTGGAAGTCAAACATAAGTACCTCTGTATTATTTTTTTTAATTTTGCTTGCTTGCTTATTTATTTATTACGTTACCCAATGCTATTACCTAATTACCAATGCTTTCTACTTGGATTATAAACAAAACATCATTCCATAAAGCAGTCAAAATATAAAGTGAAACACAAATGTATTTAAAGGCATAACATAAAAAATAACTTTTGTGTCCATGCCATGCTGAAAAATTCACCTGACTTCAGTGGGGGTCTTGTGTTAACAGTACAGAGTCAGTCAGCTGGGAGGAAATCAGAGCACTAATGAAGTCACTCTACTAAGTAGAACCTGTTCAAGTCTGGTGATGGGCAGAGAGCTGCCTGTGATGAAGCAGCAAGGTTGACAGCTTGAATGCCGTGACAGAAGAGACTTGTCCAATGGAAGAAAGGGCAGGCCTAATTTTAGAGCACATGATATGGCACTAATGGTGGCAAAGCAATAATAGATATCAGCAAGCAGAGTTTTCTAAATATAGTCTGGGCTCCATTTGGTCTGCAGAGCAATTTCACAATTATTTAGATGTGTTTCAGTTGCAGCAGCCTTTGGACACTGATATATTTCATGATGTTCTTTGTCCAGTAACCAGTGCAAAAAATGTTTGTTGTTTTTGTCTATTTCTAGCTATCCATGAAAGACTGGCTAACTGTAGCTAGGCATTTCCAAGGGAGGGAATGGACCTGGGAATATAATATGATACAATAATCTGTTGGAATAAACAGAATTTATGTTCAAGAAGTATTTATATATGTATAGCCTTTTCCATGCTGGGCTTTTAATTGCCCATCAGTCACATGTTGTGCATGTCACAAATGTATCTCAGTCTCAGGAAGGTTTGGATTACAGTGTCTTCTTTGTTTGTTTTACACATTTCAAAGATTTTTGGTACTGAACTAACAGCACTGAAAAATACATGGTGTTGCATCTACTGGTGGTTTTACACCAGCAGAAGATATTCTGCTCATGCATGTTTGCAAGGGGTGAAGCAGAGAATAATTGAACATTGAATGCCCCAGCATGTGCAAGTGCAAGCACTTTCTAATAGTGCAAAGTCACATTGAATATAACACACGTTCTTATTCCTCAGGAATCTATGTATCTTGAATATTCTTATCTTATTTGAATATATGACATTCAAAATGTGTGTACCATGATTGTTTCAGTTAATATTTTACAAATGTCTGTTAATATGTTTACAAATTAAGTTTGAAAAATATTCATTGAAAGTGAATGTGAAAAGAGTTTAAAGGACCATATAACACTAAGTCCTTTAAGAATTCTATTTTCCTCTTCTTCAATTTAGCTTTAATCCTGATCCTTTGCAAAGGCACACTTTCTGGACAATCATTATAGGTGGGACTTTTACCTGGCTTGGTATATATGGGGTCAGCCAGTCTCAAGTTCAGCGATACATTGCCTGCAAAACAAGATTTCAAGCAAAACTGTAAGTCCACACGTTGTTATGGCCTCTTGCTAGAATCTGGTTTCTACAAAACATTTCACTTTAAATTGCATTCTTGACATTACAAACACATAAAAATAGAGTAATGAAAGATAACCTATGCTTTCTGCTTTATGAGCCATGCAAAAAAGAAATACATGTCACTATTTAGTTTATGATGATTTATAGTAATCTTTCACAGTGTGTCTTTCTTCTTTATTGTAAATGGTATCCTAGCATGTGATCCAATCACTTCTACATGCACTTTTGATGTGTTACATACTAAATTGCTCAGTTTTTTCCTTATGCAGAACTTCTAGTAATAATGATTTTAAGAGAGTGGTTGTATGGTCCCAGTACAGCTTCCTGGGGGCATAGGATTGTGCAGAGCCTCCCCCTACAGTAAAGTGGCAGACAGGTGAAGGAAGGAACATTTCCAATATTGGAATATTATTTTGGCTCAGGCCAGCCTCCATGGAAATTTCTGCAGTTGCCTCCTCTATGAGGATGGAAAATGGGCATGTCAATGGCATTCTAGTGGAAGTAGAGGAAGTGTTTAAGGATCCAAGGGATCTTAAGACCTCCCAGCTCCTTATAATGCCCCTAACGCAGTAAATCATTTAAGCATTTAAATATTTCCCTCTCATTGCTATCAATGGAATAGATTTTTCTCCAATCTATCTACAGATGAAAGTAAAATACATGATGTCCCACCTCCCACCTCCCTTTTGGCTTTTGCCCTGGCAGCAAGAACTGACAGAGCACAGGAGAGAATGGAACACTCCTCTCTTGGAGTACCCTGTCAAGAGCATGGGATTGCTCTCTTAGTTTAGTATTATTACATGGAGAACTTCATCCTAAGTGATTCATTCATGGATACTACCACTGTGTATATGACAACAATACTATTAGCATTTTTACCACAAACATATTTACCAAAATTTGTCAGTCTTTTACCAAAATCTTAACAATTCTGTATCAAATTTTGAAGAAAATGTTCTCTAGAGTACCATGAAACACATTATCATTCTGTAGGCACAAATATTGTTGATTGCGTATCATGCTGTATTCAAACTTTTAAAGAGAAAAGCAACTCTTGGAATACAACCTGGATGTTGACAAATATTTCCCATTTTATGTGAACTAGATATCATAGGATAAATTGGACACATTTTTAATTTATTTAATCAGCAAATAGAACTTTGTGATTGGAATTTAGACTATATGTCCCGATAGAATTTAAGATAGGATTATGGTAGGTTGAGTTCTGAGCCCTTTCTCTGATAATGTACAGTTGAAAGCCTATGAAAAACTTGGAGACAATATTATAGATCCATTAGCCTGATTGAAGAACAGATTTGTACTACTCAGCTTAATTGACCTTAAGCAGAACAACTGAAATCAGAGCCATTATTAGGCAAGAAAGCTAAAAGACAATTCCTGTAGCAAAAAGAAAGAAAAGGCTTATACAGATGACAGAAAACACTCAGAGTTGCTAAGGGCAGACAAAAGACAAAAGCAAACAGTGATTGAAATAGGGTCAGGATACTGAATGCAAGTTTTCAGTGATTATCACAGAGGCAAAAAGAACTATTAAATGGTCAGTGGAAAGAAATAGACGAGAACAACAAAAGAGGAAAAACAAGAGACCTTTCCTGAAAATCCAATAAATCAAGGGAAATTCAGGCCTCAATTAGAAAACGAAAATCACGACTACAGAAAAATTATAGAATTTGATGGTTACATTGAAGAAATTATGGAAGATTTTCTATACCTTGGCTCAGTCATCAATTCAAAGGGAGACTGCAGCCAAGAAATGTGAAGAAGACTGAGGGCAGCAATGAAGGAACTAGAAAAGATAATCAAGCGTCCTTTCTGAAACCTCTAAAACAATGGAGAAATGCTTTTGATTGATCATTAAAATGGACAAGAGGCACTCCAAGAGTATGTTGGACTTGCACTATCCAATGACTAGTTGCTGTGCAAATATGTGCTTGGAGCAGTGTGCTGTGTCTGCTCAAAACCTAGAGCAAAGTTGGAGAGGACTTCCTCCAGATGTGAGGCTGAGTAAACAAGACTGGCAGCTTGGATCCAAAGGTGCTTTTGCATGAATGGAAGACACTTCCACCATAGAAGAGTGCCTTCTTGTCAGTTCCCACCCTCTGCCTGCTGCAGACCCCTAAGTGTTCTAGATGGCCACATTAGGGAAAGAGTGGCAGAAAACCCATTGCACAGAATCAATGCTTATTAGATTGTGAATGTTCTGTGCTATCATGGCAGCTGAACCAACAGTGGTGTGGATGCTCACTACAGACAGATTGAATGCAATAACTTGTTTTAACCACAGATTCAGTCTGAGAGACAGAGGTAGAGAATTGAGTGCTAGGAAGCTTAAATTGCTTTTTTTAAGTCAAATAAATTAAGACTTAAAATGGACTTTTTAATTGCTTTTTTCAGTCAGATAAACCAGTACTATCTATTCATTATCTAATGGATACTTTCTTTCCTTTGGCTGCCCCAAGAGGAGATTAATACAGGTAAAATGCATGACATAAGTGCATAATGCTACAACACTGTGATAAATTCTCACATATCCAAGATGAAAATGTTGTTATTTCCTTACAGATCTCTTTACGTAAACCTCTTGGGACTATGGGCAATTCTTGCATGTGCAGTGCTATGTGGATTAGCAATGTATTCTATTTATAAAGACTGTGATCCTTGGACAGCAAAATGTGTTTCAGCACCTGACCAGGTTTAGTATTACAAATTTCTAATATAAATGAAATAGCTAGAAAAAGAATTAGGACTGTAATATTGGGTTCAATACTGAGATGTAATGTTGAGTAGATGAATTCCTTAGGTGTAAGCACAAAGACAGTAAGGGAAGGACATTAAGCATTTGGAGCCAATGCCTTTAGATGATGTTTCACAGAATAAAAATAAATAAAATCTAGATTTTAATGCAGCACTTAGACTTTGAATTTACTATTCTGGGAAAAAAGATTCAAGCAGCAATCTCATATCTACCTACCTGGAATACCATACTCAGTGGGAATTATTTCTGAATAGACATGCATAGGGATATGATGTTATAAAATTTTTTTCAACATATTTAGTTATCTGTTGTCACTGTCAGCTTAGAGAAATGGTAAAAAAAAACTTTAGATAACATGAAATAAGAAAATTATGTGTGGGTATGGAGGGAATTAAACTAAACTAAAATTATTAAAATTATTAATACTGCATATTTTTCAGCTCATGCCATACTTGGTATTGGACATTCTACAAAAATTTCCTGGCACACCAGGGCTTTTTGTGGCTGGTGCTTACAGTGGAACATTAAGGTAAGTTAATCTGCAATGTAGTGGAAGGGAAAAGCATGCTTATGATGGATCTAAATTGTTACAACAACCTTTAATTAGCTTAATGAGTAGATTAATCAACTTAGGCTTATGTGCGTCCAGTGCCTAGTGTGTCGTGCAGTAGTAGCAATTTTTCCTGCTATTGGGCCTTACACCTTGCATTTCATCTAGGTGGATATTTTTGGCTGTCTGAACAATGTCTCAGAGAGGGGAAGGAAAGGAGGTTATGGCTCCATTTGGATACAGTATAAGCCATCAGCTGCAGCCTCTTCCTCTCCCCAGTTAATGCATAAGCCAATTTATGACCTTGGAGAGGCAGTTGGTGGGGTTCTTTCCATGTTGGCTGCTATGGGGCATAGCCATGGCTAAGTATTTGGAGTCCCAGGACTAGGGTTGCAGGATCTTGGAGCTGGGGCTCTGAAAAATTCTCTGGTCTGAGTCAAATTTGGGAGGCCACAGGGATGCCCTGAATTTCTTCTTTATATCATTGTAAAGCTTATGAATTTATTTTCATCATTATTGTGCTAGTTATTTTAATAATAGTGCAAATAATAAACCATGCTAGCTATCAATAAACTACTAGTTAAATATTCATTAAAGGCAGGTGTGCAATTAAAATGTACGCTTTGTCTTTCGTAGTACTGTATCCTCTAGCATCAACGCTTTAGCTGCAGTGACTGTAGAAGACCTCATTAAACCTCAGTTCCCATCACTCAGTGAAAGGAAATTGTCATGGATTTCTAAGGGGATGAGTAAGTATATACAAAATATTTTCAATTTATTTTAGCTTAAGGAGTTAACTCTTATCATATATATTGGGGTCTATTTTGAAAGATCCCATTAACTTCAGAACTTGCATACTAAATTATCACTAGGGTAATACAAAAATACCTTAAAGCAAAGATGTCTTACAATAACTTATATACCATCAAGTCTGTAAAATTATTTTGCTTCCTGCTGTTAAGTAGGCATATGAGCAGATTAGTATAATCCACTTTATACTGTAAATTTGGTTTAAGAGAAAACCCATTACATAGGCCTTACAAACAGATATATCTATGTATCAGTAGAATTATATCCCTAAACACTCCATCATGTAATACATTTAAGTAATTAATACATTTGTAGCATCTTTAATCAGAATTAAGGGGTATTATGCTTGGGGTGGTTACTCCTAGGTGTGTATAACACTGAATTTAACATCTTAAAAAATAGCCTCTGGCTTGCATCTATGAGATTTAAAACTCCTTGAGACAGGATGCAAGTGGGTACAAGCAGTTTATTCCATACAAAAAGCATTTGCAAAGGCTGGCTCAATGCCTCAGTAGTCTGAGAAACAAAGAGTAATCTTTTACTGTTTACAAGAGATTTTATACATTCCTTTCCCCATGCTCAACACTATCCCCGCTTTGCCATTGGCTGGTTACTAAGAAGTCACAATCTTCCCCATCCTCCTATATCATACTACTCCTTAATATGTTCCCCCATCCCGCTCATACATCCCATGTTCATGCTAATGAGCCTATTATCTATGAGAGCTGTGTCATTTACTATTCATAAACTTATTATGCATGCGCAGTACCTTCTAAGGGGTCAACAGGCCGAAGTGGCCTTGAAAATTCTTACTTGACGCCAAAATGTTTCTTAAATCTTGTGGGGAGGATGAGACAATGAGAACAGGACTTTATTCATTCTAAAAGATACAGATTCTACACTTAAGAAAGAACAATCCTTCACTCATATTTTAAAAGATACAGACTTTACACTTCCCACACATCCCTAGTCCTGGTACCCTACTGTAACTACGTCTAAATCACTAAGTTTGTGAGCCGCCCAGAGGGTTTGTGAGCCACCCCAAGGCTTCGGCGAATGGGGCAGCATAGAAATTTTCTAAATAAATAAGTAAGTAAAATATATTCCCTTCTTCTTTCAACTTCTTATCTTACTTGAGCTGTATTTTAAAATATTCTTCTTGGAGCAGTCTTCTTACACTTTGTAAAGCTCTCTGCACATTAATTGTACTATATTAACAACAAATAACAGCAGGCAATCAGTTAAGAGAGCATGAAGCTAATTGGCAGCTCTCAAACAAATTTAATAAATAATATACCATAAATATGTAAGATACAGGTGCGGCAGGTAATGGTGGGTTTATTGTACCAGGATAATCCCTAATATTCCTGAAGTATTGCCATTCCTGAATACTGTTCCAGTGGGAGCAGTGGTTCCTATCTCTGAACGCCTGCAGAGCATAAATTATTGGGCTAACAATTTGTGTGTTTGTGTGTGAGACTTCTTAACTATAAATTAGCATTGTGTGGGTGATGAGCATAACTGAAGTACCATTCTGTACATATATTCTATCAGGAGGAGAGGATGTTCATACATGCAAACTACTATCTACCCCCTCCCTACATGGTCACTACTTCACCTAGAGACCATGTAGAAAGTATTACATCCTTTGTCTAAGTATCAGTAGTGCAGCAATAACAGTCAGAAAGAAGATGGTGCTTCAACACAATCTGCTTAGATAGGGGATTAAGTAAGGAATGTAAATGGTTCATTTTATGCATTATAAATTAAGTCTATATTTGCCTTTGTTAATCGCTAGTGCAATCTTCAGTGACATCAACTATAGCATTCTTTTTTATTTTATTTTTTAGCTATTTTGGTTATTCTGAGCCTTAGGTACTAAAGGTCCAGTCTTAGGTACTAAAAGGTTTGATTTGTTACAAAGGGTTTGGATGAGTTTGCACAACACAGCAGCCCAACCTGTGAATAAGTAGCATAGTGTGGGTTGTTCCTGGAACAGTAGACAGTTGGACTCAGTGTGGGTTATCTTCTCCCTTCTTCCCCTTCAGTTCTCCCATAGGCATCCCAGGCAAGGATGAATATTTCCCCCCTTCCATGTCTGGGTGTTTTTCCTGTTTTAACTATTTTGAGGGGGAGATTTCAAAAGACACTTGTTCATCTAGTTTTCACAATTCACATGTAGGCAACAACAAGCAGCCTTTGTGGGTGCCCAGCATTTTTGGGAAAAAATGTGCACAAAAATGTGTGCATTAAAAATGTTTTAACACAGTTGTGTAGATGCAATCATTGGCATAAGTCAAGGCTCTTGAACCATTTCCCCCACTTTGGTTTCTCTTGGCACCTCGCAGTTGGTGAGTGAGTCCCATGGCAAGAACTAGGTTCAGAACTAGGTTAACTAGCTAACAACACATGGGTAAAGCAACCCCTATGGCAACTGATGGGTTGTTGGGGTGGCCTTTCCCCCTCAGACAAACCACCTGGAGGAAATTGGTTTTGGTTAGCATAACATGACACGCTGCCATGGGTAGCAACCTGTGATGGGTTGTCACAGTGTGTGAAACAGTCAGTGTAAAACAATATCTAAATGGCAAAACCTGCAATGAATAACCTATATTCCTGTGCACCATCTCTGTGGTTATTGGTGGAATTACTGCATTGAATGGATGTTTGTCACTCACAGTCCCAAAATTCTCAAACTGTGATTTGATTGTTCATTTAGGTCTGTTTTATGGAGGAGTATGCATCGCTATGGCTGCTGTGGCATCACTTCTTGGTGGTTTGTTACAGGTAGGAGTTCAATCATTTCTCAGTTTATGTTAATTTGTCTTTGGCAATAGCTTTGAACGAGGTTAAGTACCAGGACTGCAGTTTAAACTGTTTTAAAACCACAGCTTTAGATTTAGTCTGGAACACAATCTATAATTTCACGTTGACTGGTCAATGTATCATGTAAGATGCTTGGATTAAGCTAACTTTAGCACATTTACATTATGAATTGTTTTGCTTGAAATCAGCGGGGCATACCACCAAGAGCCAAATTGCAAGTGTAGTCCATTAGCCTTTTAAATTTTGTTTTTAAAGCATGTTCAGGAGCAGATGGTAGCTGGCAGAGAAAGGGGACATTCACAACTTTTGCCACTTTGAAATCTATGTTTGTCTTTGCACATGCACTTTTTAAATCATGTTCGACAAAAAAGACAGTTTGGCATAAGGAAATTGTGAGTGAAAAATAGTTTGAGGATCACTATTTTTCATTCATCAGTCATTTCTTCTTAAACAGTGCTTACTACCACCTGTATACGTTTATGGTAGCATATATTCATGATGTTCAGAAAGTAATTCCAGTGAAGCTTGATGTTGGTTTTTATTATTTTAAATGTCCAGTGCTGAGTATTGAACTTCTTTCTCAATGTATGGCTTTACTTATTCCTCAGGCGGCTCTCAGCATCTTTGGCATGGTTGGTGGGCCTCTCTTAGGACTATTCTCTTTGGGTATCCTTTGTCCCTTTGCCAACTCCATGGTAAGTAGTGAGTCTGTATTTTCTTTGTGGCAGAGAAGCAGCTTCTTGTAGTTTTTATTTAATGTCTGATAAATTTGTATGAAATATAAAAGATATTTGTATATATAAATAGGCTACTTTTAGTTCATAGCCTTCCCAAGGTGATTTATAGTACTCTAATAAAGTACATTGAAACATCAGAGAATCCAATCAGTTATTAAACAGCAGAAAAAAGATGGCAACCTAGGTAAGATAAACTACAGTATGAATAAAAAAGCAGTAATACAACAGCAACTTAAACTAAAAGGAAAACAAGACATGGAACTAACACATTTTTAGGATAGCTTAATAATTTAATGTCAGTAGCATTGGAAATCAAGAAAAGGCTACCCCAGACAAATATGCTTTTGACCAGTTTAAAAGCTTGTGCTATTAGTATGAAATTCAGCTTAGCAGGGTGGACGTTCTACAGCTGGGTGTTATCCTGGAGGAAGCCCCATTGTTCATGCCTACCTATAAGCAGGGCCTCTGGGGCAGATCTCAGTGTAGTCAGTCCTTCGTATAACCTATTCCCAAACCATTTAGGACTTTAAAGATTTAAAGCAGCACTTTGATTTGAGCCTGAAAACATGCTGATGTTTAAGCAATCACTGCAGCTGGTACAGAATGATTGTAGCCAGGAGATAGGTAAAAACCTCCTTGCACATAGAGCACTAGAACTTTAGCATGCAAATTATGTTAGGATTTTTAAATTATATTTTCTCTTATAATCCATTTTCTGTCAGCAGGGAATTTTCACATAGGAAAACACTGCAACTCATCTTTGAATTCTAAAATAGTAGAGCATCAAGAGACTTTACAACTGGCATTTTTGAATGTATAGATAAGGCCTTATTATAGGAAACTATACTTGTATATGGACTGAACAGTGAACATTGGACCAGTTAGCAAAATTAGCACTTCCATGTTTGGAGGAACTCTGCCCCTTTCCACATGACTGCCTAAACAGACTTGCATAGATGGGTTTTCCCCTTTCATTTCTATGACAGGAATACTGTATTTTAAAACTGTTTTTAGGTTGCATAAATATGCAACACTGAAGAAAAGCCCTGGCCATAATGCTTCCCAAAAGGAAAATAACATATGATATGCTTAGAACACAAGATTATGTTTTTTGGTATAAGCAGAACAATGTTCTGGAGTGGGAAAGCAGTAACCCAAGAAGTTTGTAAATATGCACCTTGTACCCCATGGATTGTTGGGGTGGGGGAATACTGTCTGCTGAAGTTAAGTACTTTCTCCTCACCCCCAAACAGCTTTGTTTAGTTCTGTGGATTAAATATTTTATACAGATGGTGCCATTCGTCTGTAAGAACTAAACCATAGGTTATGTAGAATGCTTGTTTCCTAGCAAAAAGTAGCTGCAGGAACCCATGATCGGGATGTGATGCAGCATGAGGCAGCTTAACCCATTTGTTCAGCACTCCTTTCCCTGAGGCTGCTATTTGCTCTTGAAAACCACCTCCCTGATGATGCCACTTATGTCCAAAGCTCTTGGTGAGCAAGTACCAGGTTGACGGAGTTTTACACACGAAAGTGAGGTGGGGAAATGAATTAGACTGCCACTTGACCCTGCCCTGAACTGGATCAAGGGCTCTTCTGGTTGCTTTTTTGTTAAAAAAGAGTTGTTCCTAGCCCTGAATATGCTATTCAAATGTGCATTTAAAATAGCTGTCACATGGTAGCAAGAGGATGATATGTCCTGTGCTTACAAACAGTAATTGAGCTTGGAGGAGTGGTGGGTTCTTTTATTTTCCTGTGTATTTTCCTGTTACTGAAATCTGAATAGGATTTTTTTTTCTTTTATAGGGTGCATTTTTAGGTCTCGCTTGTGGATTTATTGCTTCTCTCTGGGTTGGAATTGGAGCTCAGATTTACCAGCCACTTCCCCATAGTACCATGCCATTAAATCTTTCAACTGTTGGATGTAACATAACCAACCCAGGCACAGAAGGCTACTGGACATCTACACCGCTGCCAGTATTAACAGCTCCCTTGCAAAGTGAAGCCATTGGGAGGTATATAACAAATCTAATGAATCTTGGCTTACATTTGTCACATTTAAGGTAGTTTGAATGCAGGCCTAGAAAAAAACTTCACTCTTGTTTTTTGTTGAAAAATGTTACAATACCTTGCTCAGAAGCATCAAAGCAAAGCCCCCTCAACTGAGCAGATACTACGTTGTTTCCAGCATTAGGAGAGGAACCAACAATTTGCTTTGCAGTTCAAGGCAGCAGAGAAAAGACTGGATATTTGATTGTTTCCATTCTATTACTATTGCTGTTTTTCGTATATGTAATGTTAAAGATACCTTATATAGATGGAAATAGATGCTTATTTATTACATTTGTACACCACCCCATATTTCATAGGGCTGTCTGGGTGGTTTACAGAATAAAATATATAAACAAAAGTTAAAACACAACAATAAAATCAATTTAAACTGAATTAATTTTGGTTTGACAATTCCTGCTGAATAAACATGGCATAAAACAGTTCACCTAAAAATGTTTGCTTCCATTCACAATGGCAATGAACCATGACCATATAACAATCACAAACTGACCATGTTTGCAGGACACAGATGCGTCCATAATGGAGCATGTTTAAAACTGTGGGGCCTCCATACTATAAGCATAATGTTCCCCATCTGAGCCCACTTTACAGTTAAGATCAAGCCAACAGACTTTATAGTTTTTGCCCACTGTATGACAGATATGGACAGAGACAACAATGGCAGAGTCTTTCAGTGACCACTCTGAAGTTGTGGTGCTTCCTCCCAGTGATAAATAGGCAGCTACTGCTGTGCTTTCTTTTTGCAAGAGCTTCATTTTTAGGCTAGGCTTTGCCCAAGGCCCTTCTGTTTTGACTGTTGCATAGAGGATAGTGTTCCTGTTTTATATACATTTTCATTATTGTTTTGTAAACAGTAGCAGTTAGATAGTGAAATAAAATGAGAACAAATTTTAGTTTCCATTGTCAAATTTTCTATGCATTTCATGGAAAAGTAGGAAATATATTCTTTTTCTCTCTCTCTAGACCAATCCTCGCAGATTATTGGTATTCCTTATCCTATTTATACTTCAGTACACTTGGAACCCTAATCACAATTGTTGTGGGAATAATTGCCAGCCTTTCAACAGGTATTTAGTCTTCAAGTTTGATTTTATTGAAATGAAGATGTATTTTCAGAAGAATCTGAATGCACAGAGCTCTTGTTCTTCTGTATATAAAGCATCTTCTGGATGTAAAGCATCATGAAGTTTTTTGTTCTAAATTTCTATTTAGAAATAGTGTTCTTTCTTACCTTCTCCTTCAAATTAATTAAGGCTGCATCACTAGAGTAGGCTGTAGGATTCTTTAGAGTCCCAGGCCTAAGGTCCTCTGCTCCTACTCCAAAAGCTGACTCCTTCCCTGCCCCCCATGCCTGAGCAGGCACCTTGCAGCCAGCACAAAAAGACCTGTGGCACTTGCTTCTCTGAGAGTGGGAATGGACCTCAGAAGGGGAAAGGGGGCATGCTGGCAGGCAGTGGGGGTGAAGACTGGGGCCTTCTTTTCTCCCTTCCCTGGCACTTTATCTAGCAGACTTAAAATGGCCATTTAGATAAAATGTATAAGATAAGGTGCAGTGGCCTTATATACATCTAGGACAGAGGTGCTAGGATTGCACCCTGTTTCTTTTCACTTGCAAGCCAAGATTGCATTGTCAGTGTACACAAATTGCTCTATGTTCTGTAAGCTTTTCTACATGAGTTACATGTACATTTGACATTTCCTGTTCAAAGTTTTGTGCAGGTTCTTTATAAAATGTTGTGACCACCCCATATGTGCTTTTGTTTGTAAATAGCACTTTCATTGAGGGAAAGTGTGGTTTTATTTCTGAAAGTGCAAGAAAACACTGTTTCTACTTGTGTATTTCTATTATTCCATGGTATCATTATGCTACCTAGAGGATATGTAGCAGAAACTATGAACAGAAATAGTCCTCATGTAGTCCTTGTTTCACAAGTCTATGTCAAAAGTGGTAGATGCACTAAATTAACAACTTCATGAAGAAAAATCTCTTAATTACATCAGATTGGATTATTGTAAGACATTTTATGTGGGATTAATTGAAGAGTATCCAGAAATTTACCCTGGATTAAAACACAACTGAAGAATGTCTGACTGGTGCTCATTAGTTAGACCATGGGGCCATCACAGTACCTTCTAATTGCTTTCTAATTAAGAGCATTTTTAACATGAGACTGTATATTTATTTTATTTCTGTACTGCTCAATAGCTAAATTCTATTATTAATATTATTACATAATAGTATTACATTACTGAGCACTATAAAAAGAACATGTCCTTTCCTGCTTCTCTGCTACATGAACTCTAGTTGGTACTGTGGTATAATGGAACAGCACAACTGAAAAAAAAAAAAAACATTGTTTGCCTTAACAAATAAATATGTTATTTTTCCTGCTCCCCACTCCCTGCCTCCAAAAGGCAAAAAAAAAGCCAAAAGTGCTCTTTAAATGCCAAAGTAAACGGAAGAGTCATGGCAAAGAATTTATATACAGCAGGGACTATGCATGCACAATGAATGCCTTGTGTAGAAGAGTCCTTTCCAGTCATAATTCAAAGTGGTAGTTATTATTGTGGTGCTACCTGTTCCCATAAGAGCTTGGCTGCTCTTAGATGATTTAGAGAGTATCTGTGCCATCTGAATTTAAATTGTAGGCAACATGGCTTCTTTCCTGCCACATCTAGGCTTTGAAATATACCACCCTAGAAGATCCATTTGATTTCCTTCCAGATAACATTTTGTTCTGCATTAAACAGCTGTCTACTTCAGCAGACATTTGACCTGCTCAGTTTTTGACTTGAATCTGATTTTGTACCCTACTCTGTCCTGGTCGTGTTTCATTTTATTTGCAGTCTCCTGTTTATTTGTTTTTTAATGTTTTAAATTGATGCTTTCATTGATGTAATTGAACTGAGATGTTTCTAACTGAAGGAGATAGGAAGGATATATAGTTTTCCAAAAAGAAATATCACAGTGCTTGAATGGTTCCATATGATCTTTTCCATCCAATTTTATGGGCAGAGTAGCTCCTTGCATTGTCCCTTGAGTCCCTAAGGGCATGATCCTATGCATATTTAGAAAGACACCCCCCTCCCCCCAGTACTTCACAGCAGGTCCTAGCCACCTTAGTTGGCTGCAGGGAAGCGGGGAGTTGTAGGACATTTTTTTCTGTCTAAGCATGCATAGGATTGCACACTAAGTAGTAGTACTCTGTAGAACTTTTTAAACAAATGTCCATTCATGAACTGTTTGTAATTACATTCTTTGGAAGAGCTTTCACTAACCAAGTAGATGCTTTTCAGGAGGATTACGACAAAACATTGATCGGAAGTTCATGCTCAACAAAGAGGATTTTTGGTCTAACTTCTCATTTTTGAAGACTAAACAAGTATGTATACTTTTGTACTTTATTTCTATTTGATCCATTCTGGGTGGTAAGAGATGTAAATTTGCTAGGATGGGCATTTTATTGAAATATATTTTTGAAAAATAGTTTCACTATACTCCTATAAGGGAAGCCCTTGATATAACTCAGTGACGATAAACCTTTTAGAGACTGAGTGCCCAATCTGCAACCCAAAACCCACTTATTTATCACAAAGTGCCAACACTACAACAAAACCTGAAAACAGGTTTTAGTTTAGAAAAAAAAACCTCACAGCCAGTCCAAGCAAATCTCTCTCTCTCTCTCTCTCTCCCTCCCCCCTTGGCAGCGCACTGACTGGCCATGTGAGAGCTCGGACGAGTTGTGGCTAACGAGTCACAGCTCGTGACATCATCACCTGGCACTGCTACTCCTTTCCGAGCATGAGCATGGCCCCTATGTGCACTGTTATCCGATGCTTGGCTTCTGGGGCGATGCTGGGATGATTTGGGTCACGTGCTGAAAGAGAGGGCTCTACATGCACGCTGTGGCACGTGTGCCATAGGTTCACCACTACTGCCCTAACCCTACCCTGGTGCACTACCCTAACCGTAATATAGAGCTGAAGTTCCATTGAAAAGAGAGGAATTGTTGTGAGGCTGGTGCTCCTTCCCAATGAAAGCGATTAGTCCAGCTACTGCTACAAAAGTCTTTATTCTATACAGTCTTTCAAGTACAAACACGTATGCTAGGAAATTGTCCTCTCTGAATGCATTCAGCTCACGGGGCGCTCTTTACCCTCCTGGGCTGCCCCTGTATGGGTGGGTCACTCTGGGTCATCTTCTGCGTTGCTCAATCAATCTCAATTCTAATTGTCCCAATCTCCACGTGCGTCTGTGGGAACGCGCATCTTCAAACGGCTTCTTAAAGCTCTCCCCTGCATTCTAACTACTCTTATCTTCAGGTACTGCAATCGTTCCCTCAGCAACCTATAGATTGGTCTATGTTTGCTGTACTGTTTTGTCTCCCTCCTGAACCCCTCCATCTGCTGAACTTTCCTTCCCATGGAGTGTGCTGCAGGGGAGTGTCGTTTTATCTTCTGGCACCAAATACACATCCTCCTCTAAAGGCATTTAGTTCTCAAGGGAAGCTTCTCTCCCTGGTGTATGTGTTAAAGACTCTCCTGAGTCAGCACACATGACAGGGATTTTGAAAAAGCCTTCCTTGAGTAGCTTTTTCTGCACAGGTAATCATTTCTGTCCATTCTAAACACATTCCAACCATCAAAATCATACCAGGACACCTCATTTTGTAACCCTAACCCTGTTCTGGTGCACACCACTAACTCTAATACAGAGCTAAAGTTCCATCGAAGAGAGGATTTTGAAAAAGCCTTCCTTGAGTGGCTTTTCGTGCACAACTCATTATTTCTGTACATTCTAAACCCGTTCCAACCATCAAAACCATGCCAGGACACCTCGTTTTTCTAACCCTAACCCAGTGCTGGTAAACCTTTTAGAGACTGAGTGCCCAATTTGCAACCCAAAACCCACTTATTTATTGCAAAGTGCCAACACTGAAATAAAACCTGAAAACTGAGGTTTTAGTTTAGAAAAAACAACTCACAGCCAGTCTAAGCAAATATATATATATCCTTGGCACCACACTGACTGGTCATGCATGACGTCATCTCCTGGCGCCGCTACTCCTCTCCAAGCATGCGCATGGCCCCTATGTGTGCTGTTATCTGATGCTTGGCTGTTGGGGTGATGCCGGGGCGACTTGGCTTGCATGCCGACAGAGAGAGCTGTGCATGCCTGCTGTGGCACCCATGCCATAGGTTCGCCACCACTGATATAACTCATTTGATACTGTCTGTAATACCAGTTCATTCATACAGAGGTAGCAGGATGCTGTAAGTTACAGCAGTTTCTAGCAGATCACTGTGAGGGTCATTCCACTATAACAGTGCAATGTTGTTATATGAAATTATCAACTCATGCAATTATCTGGTGACATTACATGGCCTGGCTATATCGGTTAATATTTCAATACTGTACCTTTAACCTTTAATGTATTTAATATTTATTTGTTTATAAATAATTTATTCAATTTAACCTTTAATTCATTCTACATGTTTGACAGAGTTTCTAGCCTTTCATATTTAAATCCTTTTTCTCACTCATGCAAATATATGTATTTTATAAAAATCAAAATATTAAATAACTTTTATATTTCTGCTTCCCGATATAACTGCAGCATGTGGAATCATATTAAATTTGGTCAGTTAAGGTGCTTATTTTAATTTTCTAAGAAATTTCCAAAAATGAAGGTAGAAACACTTTCTTTTTTAGGAATACTGTGACAATTTAGAGCAGACCCAGTCCTCAGGGCCAAGGTGAAATCTAGCTGTCAGAGGTGGAGGCAATCTCAGTATGGCTGTCCAGGGATCCCCAGAAGTCCTTGCTCCTTCCCTGCCCCAGCCCTTGTCTCTCAACCACAAGGCATTTGGTGGTTTCTTTGCAGGTTTTCCAATTCTAAAAGTGATCTTGTGTTTGTCAGGGACTTCATTTCCTCATGGGCAATCTGTCAGGGGTTGTGTACTGCTGGCAGGCATGACCAAAGTCAGTAATATGCAGTGCTGGATTAAAAATGGTGCGTTGCAGCATCAGATTGTGGAGATGGGTCTTATGCAGGTGAAGGCACTCCTTGAGATGCTCAAGATCCAGTCTGTTTATCACTTTAAAAGTTGAGAGCTGTACAATGAATTGACTATGATAATAGGAAGTCAATTAAGAAATGACATTGCATTTTTACTTGGTTTCTAACTAGCAGCAGCTGAGCAAATGAATTCTGAACCATTGAAGATTCTGTACTATTTTCAAAGGCAGAATCATACAAAACACATGTTTGACTGATGGAATCATTTAAACAATCAGGAAAAGTTGCTTCTATTGCAGCAAGCTTGTTATTCTAATATGTTGCTATTTATTCTACTTTGTTTGTATATGTTATCGTGTTTTATAAACTGTCCTAGAAGTATTGCTGAAGAGCAAAATACATGCATTTTTTTGTTTCCAGGAAGAAAAAGTCAAAGTTTTAACCTGGAAGCCATTCAGAATGCCAGATGAAGGAATTGAAAATCCAGCTTTCAATCATATCGAAATGGATTGCACAGACAGACAAGAAAAAGTCAATGGTGTTCATAGATGAATATCTTCTTGGATTGTATGCTTATGTTGGCAGCTACTTCAGGTTTATGTTTGTGCAGGCAGAATACAGTTTAGCTCATGTACCTAGGAGAATATTAACTACTCCCTCAAAAAATCTGAGCAAGTCATTCCAAACATCATAGCTGACTGTATCGACAAATGATAGCAGAAAAAAATGCAAGCAATGAAAAAATAATAATGTTGCTAATTTCAGGACCTATGGAAACCAAATTTGAAAAATTAAAATCCCTGTGAGTGTGCAGTGAGAACTAAGATAAGTTAAATCATTTTGCTTCATGGTTGCCCTTTCATACTTGGTAGTAAGCTAGTGGGACTTACTTCTGAGTAGATATGCATAGGTTTACACTGCATATTTTCCAGTACTTGTGCTTCCTTACACACAGGTATGAGTTTCTAGTTAATGGTTTGCATTTCCTACAGGGAAAAGTAAAATCTGAATCACAGTGTTTCTACCATGGTAAGAGAAGTTACTCAAAAGGCTGGCCAAGGCAAGCTGAGGGAGACTAGATGCCAGGGCCAAGATATGCTATGTAATGTCAGAGGCATAGCCCTGCAGCTGCTTGCAGTGTAATTTGCCTTTTACATGTGAAAGGGGATTGTAAGAGATGTCTCTATGTAAAATCATACTTTACTTTGCTATGGTACATGTCATGAGTGGAGCTGGCAACAGCTGAGGGTCAGACTAGATGGCCAGGAGACCCTTTATGACTTGCTCTGCTTCTATGTTTCTGTGTTTAAAGAGTGCAATATGCATATTTGTGTTTAATGGGACTTGCTTCTTTTGTAAGCATATTTGGGACTGCAGCCTTAATGAGAAGAAAGGGAATCCCCTTTGCCCTTGGAAAGGGATTCTTTTCAGTAGACTGTATGAATTAGGATCCACACTGTGAACAATCATATCTGCTACTTTCCAAAGAAATTAAGTCTTTACTTTGTTACTTTGTACATGTTACTTTGCAGCTGTACAAAGAAATCCCTTTGTTTCTATTATCTAGGATAGATTTATGTTATTTGGGCAACTGTTTATAGACTTTGAGAAATTCCTATAGAAATTATTCCAGACATTTTCCTAAACAACATAGTGGAATCTGTTCAACTTTCCTTAAGTACAATGGTGCAGAATGAAGGTAGCTTAGCGATGCTTTCTGTCACCTATAATGTACAAGGGCATTTGCTCACATCAACGCCAGAGTCTTCCTTATATCTGGACATATATAGTAAGCAATTCCACCATGGTATTTGATAGCACAATCAAAAAGACAAAAATATTTCTAAGGTGCTGTTGAAATTGCACCTTAACTTCCAATTGCTGCTTTCCAGTTACGTAATTTGTGGAAAAGTCATATGATCTAATCATGGTTGATTTTGTGCCACCAGATGCTTGGACTAGCCAAATTAAATGGAAATGGTGCATTACATTTTCCATTTATTTAAAACTTGTAATGATAAGATTACAGTTCAGTATGAAGCTCTGAGTTTGAATCTCTGCACATCCATGAAGTTCACTGGCAGACTCTGGCCTATTTTTAGTCTACCTTATCCAGTGGGCTTATTGTAAGGAAAATAGGGATAGAAGAGAAATGTAATATAAGAACATGTTAAACACACTTATAGTCATTGATTTCAATGCATGTAAGTGCATCTAACTTTTCTTTGGATCACAGCCAAAATTTATCCTGTTAAAATGGGCTAATTTCTTTTTGAATACAGAGAATTTAATAACTTATTAAAGCATCTGTATATAAAATTTTGTTTCAAAGCATTTTGTATTGGAAATAATGCTCAGGAGTTGTATTTAAAATGTAAATAGAAGACTTGATTTTGCTTGAAAGATCAGTTTTTAGGCAAAATAAATTTCTGTCTTCTTTGGACCAAGAAACACATATAAACGTGTGTGAACTTATACATATGACAATATAGTGCCATTGTACAAAGTTGTTTCTTTATACCAATAATAAGAAATTATAAAGTGGAGCAAATTCTAGTGGGAACGAGAGGGGGATCGCGCGCAGGCGCTGGGGAAAAGGGCCGTTCGAACCGCGCGGCGGTTGGCCAGGCGGGCCGCTTTGCTAGCGCTCGACGGCGCGGGCTGAGGGTAGGAAAGCGCCGGTCGGCCTGGGCCCAGAGCGGCAGGGCTGCGGGTTCCGGGCGGCGGGCACTGCTGCGCCCCTGCAGGTTCGGCAGAGGACGGCCGAGCCGCGGCCGAGGCCCAGCGAGGGGGCGCTGCAGGCTGCCGCGTTACGGCCCCCGCGGGCGCTGGATTCGCGGGCGCTTCCCGGGTAGCGAAAGTGGAAGCGCGGGAGGCTGCCTCTCCGGCTTGCTCGGCGTACCTGCTGCTCTTGACTGGAGCCCGATTATCATGTCGTCGACTTCCCCTGCCGCGCCACACCATCCTGACGCGGCCGAACTGGCCGAACGCTTCACTGCCTTTGACTACTTGGTCTTCGCGGGCATGCTCTTGCTTTCTGCGGCGATTGGCATTTTCTACGCTTTCAGGGGAGTCTACAAAAGTGCCACCGACTTCATGATGGGCGGCCGCAACCTGACATTTGGGCCCGTTTCGTTGTCCCTCACCGCCAGCTTCATGTCGGCCGTAACAGTGCTGGGAACCCCAGCCGAGATCTACCGCTTTGGGATCTCCTTTGGTCTCTTCGCGTTCGCGTATATCTTCATGGTGGTGATCAGCGCTGAAGTGTTCGTGCCCGTGTACTACCGACTGGGCATCACGAGCACTTACGAGGTAGGGAGGGACGTTTGAGGTGAGCCTTCACAGCTGCCCATCTTCAAGGGCAATTAGATGAGCAGGGCTTTTCCACACACCTCTGGAGGGGTCGCCCCTGATGTTCCCTCAGGGCTAACAACCACCTGCCACTTCACACCCCTTTTGCTCTGCAAAATTCACTGCCTTGTGGCCTTATGCTATAGTAGCTATTTACCTAAAAACATTTCTAGGCTCTTGTCAGGACAAGCGCCTTCCCAGGGTGGCTTGCAACAATAACATTCCATATAATAAGAACCTAGAATACAATAATAACAGGAAAAAATCATAAAAAGCAAACATCAGTAAAAAGCCATCAGGTCTAGTCAGTGCTAAAAGCATACAACATGATAGTAACTAGGACAGCCCAGTAATGCATAACTGGGATGGTTTGAGTAAACAACCATTGATGAGATCTGAGTGAACCTCAATGGCAGTCTGGTTCAAAGGTATGTGGAAATGGCCCACTCTCGTGTACTTGCTCACCTAACTGCTCTTCAAAATGAGCAAGCAAGAAGGCCCTGTATTTGCTGACCTTACAATACAGGCACCAGGCAGGCTGATATGAGTGGCCCCAAGCATTTTCCACTTAAAAACTGCTCTTGGGGTCAGAAATACCTTCTTTTCAATCAAACTTACTTTCAAACCAATATTTTTACAGTGACAAGACAAATTGGGAAAATGCGTAAAGGGTTTAAGGTTGCAAGATCCCTGTGTTCTTATTTCCCTCAGTGACCAGCCGGAGACTTCCAGGAAACTCACAACCGCCTGAATGTGGGATTCCTCCATGATAGTTTGTTCCTTACATCTCTTATTCAGAAATATACTACATGGATAGGCTTGATAAATTTGTTCTCCATAGATTTGGCCTATTTATCTTTAAAACCAACTAAACCAGCAGTCACTGTTACATGTTATGGCAGTTAACCTGCCTGTTGAATTGAACCCAGAAACAAATTGAAAGCAAGGACAATTGGAACAGGATTGGTATAACTGGTAAACGAAGAGTACATCAAGAAGTAATCTTGGCTATCACATTTTCCAGTACTGGCAATTTCCAAACCCTTCAGGGGCATCCTTGTGTAGAGTGCACTGTAGTAATCTAAATGGGAAGTGATTAAGGGATGGATCACTCTGCTCAAATCAACCTCCCTCAGGAAAGGTTGCAAGTGGTGTACCATGCATAGCAAAGGCAATCTTGACTACAGCAGCTTACTGACCCTCCAGGAACATGACCTCAATCTTTTAGAGGGAGTAGATCATCCAAAACAAGGCAGGCTCTGTCCCACCTCCTGACTGGCCTGACTACTGACCACAGGTATATCTAATTTGTCTAGACTGAGCCTCATTTGTTAGGCTACATCCAAACAACTGTTAGAAAGAAACAGAGCTGGGTGTCATAAGCATAGCGATGAGACCCATCTCAAAACCTCCACATGATCTCCCCCAAAGCACCTTCATGTGCATGTTAAAAAGCATAGGGGACAAAATAAAGACCTGTGGGCCAAGGTCAAGGGCCAAACAATTCTTAAGCATAATCTTTTGGGAGTGTTCTGCCAGGTAGGACTGGAACCACTGTGAAACTGTCCCATAATCCTGTATTAGCTAAACACCTTGGAAATAGACAGTGGCCAATGGTATAAAATCCTCCTGGGATATCTGGTAGCTTTCATCTTCTTTATTTTAGATTATAAATCTTTACATTATGAGGACCTTTTCAAGATTATTTCCCTATAGAAATATACAAAAGCTTGTTTGTATTGTTTATACACATAGTGAACCCCTTCTAGATACTCAAACAGTCAATGCAGGATAAAACTACAGCATCCCTGACATGTAACTGTTCAGAATCTCCTTAAATGTTTACAGTGAAGGTGAGTCCACCACCTTCTGAAGCCTACTGTTTTACTGTTAACAACAATGACAGTTAGGAAATTTATCCTAATGTTTAGTCAAATTCTGTTACCCTGCATTTCTACTCATTGGTTCTTGTTCTGCTCTCTGGAGCAGTACAGAACAATCTATTCTTTTGAGGTAATATATCAACGAAAGAACCTTGTACCAATTTTTTCTTATTGCATGACTAGCTGTAAATTTTGTTTCTTAAACCCACAAGGTTTTCCAGTGGCGGAAGATACTGCTTTTCCAAAATTCTGCATCCATCTTACCATACCTGTTTTAACTTGTTCAGTTTCAGTGTCATACTGCAAGAATTGCTTGTAAAGCCATCCTAATAAATGATATTGCTGTAAAATCAACTTTTCAAATTCTGTCAGATCTCTTATGGCACCTATATCCCACTTCTAGAAGGTACCAAGTTTGGAAAAATTACACTATAACATTCTGGAATTAAATTGACCTTGGAGGATAGACACTATCAGACAGTGCTTTTGGAACTCTTGTCCAAAAGACTCAATATTCTCAGGTTTTACTCAAAACTCTTGTATGGTGTAGGAGGGAAAACCCCAACTATTGCGGCTATCTACATTGCCTTTTTTTCCTTCTACAACAGTATAATAGGTTCTTCACACACACAGGGATTGGCCACATTCACATGACATACTAAGCCACCCTGTGAATAAGCACACAGTTTGGGTAGTTTATGGAACAACTTACAGCAGTGTCCCCATAGATGATTAAATTCATGATTTGTTCTCCCTTTCCTTCCACTTTGAACCTTCAGCCAGTATCAGTGCTCTTCATGGCAGAATTCATCTCCCTGTCTCCATTCTGATTGCTATTCCTTTTCGTTCACAATCATGGGGACAGGCAGTTCAAGTGGAATGGGGACCGTATTATTTTTCCACCCCTGAAAATTGGATTTTGTATTTGTATTTTTATTATTTTTGTTGGTCCTTTATAAGTGTGCTCTTACGGCTGTTCAGTAATTGTAGTATTGCCCAACCAAATATTTTGGAGTGTTTTAGCTGTCAAAGGGAGCAAAGTGTAGTTGATAACATAGATGGAAATTAACAAAGCATACTTAGAGGTTAATTTGCATACAGTTGCCTGGCTCCAGTTGCCTAGTCCTCAATGGAAAAACACTGATAAAGGTGGGAAAATGGTGAAAGAAGGTGTACCAAAAACGGATGGGTATGACCAGTTACTGCAGTTACTGCAGTGCTCAATTTTCCCATCTGCTACTTCTCAGACATCAAATTTGTGCACATTTCCTCTCCCTTTACTTCCTAGACCATGTGCCATCTCATCTTGTCAAATTCCTTACGTACTACACTTGCTACTCCGTTTGACAAGGAAATTGACCTGGCAAGTGTACTCTTATAGGACAGTTGTAGGAACTTGACTGTGAAAGGCCATCACCACCATCAGCAACAGGAACAGCAATAAAAATTACACACACAGTCATGCAATTTTCTGTTGCTGAAAAATGAAGATGGGAAAGGTGACCCTAAAAACTGCCAACTTGGATATTGGTGGATGGGCTCTCACTGACAGCAGCAAGGTGAGATTGTGAAGAGCAGTTACTGAACCCACAATAAATAGAAGTTGCAGTATAGTAACAACATTGCTCTCAGAAGTGGAACAGGTGGGAACACTGGGTATCTTAGGTCAAGAGTATTGTGAAGATAGAGCAGAAATAAATACTAGAGGCATAACTACTCCTGAAAACAAAATATGTGGATTATATTTCTTTCCTATTCAAATTAGCAGGCCCACTGCCCCTGCTGAATTGAGTTTTTAAAAAATTGGAACATAAGTAACTGATCTTACAGCATTCCATTCAGTCTCAGTAACTGCACAAAGTTACATTCGTTCAGTCCAGTGTTGTGGATTTCACTCAGTAAGTGCCAGTAAATTCTCTAGAATTTGTTTACAAGTATGTATGCCTATGACTGCAGCCTTAAGCAGCATGTTCCTTTTTTAAATGTATCTATTAAATGTCTTAAGTTAGCTTGAATGTATACATGCACATTTAAAAAAATGTAACAATAGCTTTTCCCTTTTGCAGTATTTGGAGCTTCGATATAACAGACACATGCGTTTGATTGGAACAGTGATGTTTATGGCACTAACGGCAAGTAGAAAATGCTACACTGATCCTTAATCTTCTGTAATATTAAATACAGTGGTACCTTGGCTCATGAACACCTTGGTTCACAACCAAATCGGGTTGCGAACAAAAACTTCATGAAAATTTTGACTTGGGTTGTGAACTCCGCATTGAGTGGCGACCAAGATCACAGCCATTTCCCCACACTCAAGTGGGGAGATGGCCACAGTTGCAGTTACATTCGTGCAGGGAAGACGTGCATGATCATGGACACACTCCTGCAAGAAAGATGGGCACAATCTAGGCCATCTCCCCCTGCCCCAGCCGGCATGATTGCGGCCATCTCGCCCTCCCCCAGCACGCCCTGTTTGCATCCATCTCTCCCTCCCCCAGCGCACCCCATTTGTGCCTGTCTCTTCCTCCCCCAGTGTGCCTGCGATCGCGCCCATCTCTTACCCCCCCCAGCGCGCTGGGATGATGGGTGCATGCAGGGGTGACGGGCGCGATCTCGGTCGTGCTGGAGGGGTAGAGAGATGGCAGCCTTGTGCTCGGGGTGGGGGGGGGGGAGATGGCCGCGATCTTTGTTGTTCTTTGTCACTTTGCTTCACATTGTTTCTGATTAAAAAATAGTTACAGAACGGATTAACCTTATTTACATTGAACCTTATGGGGAAATTTAACTTGGCTCACAACCAATTTGGGTCACAACCAGAGTCCTGGAATGGATTAAGTTCATGAGCCAAGGTACCACTGTATGTTAAAATTACAATTTCATCATAGTGTTTGCTTATAAAATATTTAATATAAATGCCAAGACTGCCCATTGATTTTAATGATGGTCGGTAATCTGTCAGAATAACATATTGGTTTACTGTTTGACATCACATATTGTCAAGCCAAGGGTGGATTGTGTTAAAGCATGAAGAACAACTATAATGGATTTAAATTAATTTTTCAGTTTTGAAGTTCATGCAGTTCCTGAGCAAGCCTGAATGATAACTCCTTGCTAAAAACATGTTGGTTTTTAACTAAATAGAGGCTTTATGAAACCTAGATGTATACCCCCAAGCTTGGCTGTGTCTTTTTGCTTTTTGACTTTTAAGTATCTTAAAATAGCTGCTCTTTCATTTTAAAATTAATAGTGTAATGCAAATAATTCCAAGAGGAACCATTTATTTCACATGTATATTTTTTGTTCCACCTCTCCAGATATTATATACTGGAATTGTTATATATTCTCCATCACTTGCTTTGAATCAAGGTAATGTGAACATAGTTTTTAGCATGATTTTTAAAAAATCAAGGAAAAGATAGATAAATAATATGTCAGCCATGTACGTTGACTTTTGTAGATGGTTCATGTGTATGACATCTATTGTAGCTGTGTGAATTTTTTTTAGTTACAACTTCCATTCACATCCCCTGCTCAGCAGTGTGCTTAAGTAATATGACACTGAAATCTTTTTATACTTTTTATGGTTTAAGCATATTTCCTTGTTGAATTAATAATTCTTTTGATTTAGCTATTAATGAATTTTAGAAATGATTTACAAATCAATCCTGTGCATGTTTACTCAGATGTGCAATTGAAAGACTCACGGGAAACAAATGGAAGTATTCCGAAAAAAAGCATTTTTGAAGATGGTTTTTTCCCCTTGGAAAAATAGGAAAAAACTGGATTAGAAATTTTATTTCTAGAATGCTGAATGTATGATAATGTGTTCATATATTGCAACTTTGCTGTTACATCTTCAAAATGATGAATAGAAACTGTGTCATACAAGACTAGAGATGTAATCTTTCTTGAAATGTTGAAGGCATAGGAAAATGGCATATAATCTACACATAGCAATCCTATGGCTTCTTAGATGGTGTCTGAGGAACCAGAAGGTGCTGCAGATTTCCATCCTCAAGACTTTAGCCATAGCTACCACTTCAGGTATAGAAATCAGAGGCCTGATTTTTCTGCCATGCTCCTGCCCATACAGAGACTTCCTAACTTTAATGGTTATAATGGAGAATTGGGAGAATGCAAATGACTCCGTTCTTCTGCCCTGCCTAGCAAGTGCCAGAGGGCTTTGGATAGGGACCTCAAACCTCTTTCAAGCACCCATCCCTTAGAATTGTGTTCTTTAAGTTTTAGAGCAGGGGTGGGCAATTAATTTTCCTATGGGGCCACATGAGAAACTTTGACAGTTGTTAAGGGCCGGACCAATACACTTACAGCTCTGCTCAATATATATCTCTATAAAAACAGTAAATGAAACATTACAATGATACAATGAAAATGTGGAGCACAGAACAACACTATTTAATGAATATTCACAAAAACATTAACATTAACATTACATGAAAAGCAATACATTTAATTCAGTTTAGCAGATCCTTCAAAATAAAAGCAGTGCAGTTGTATTGCTTGCATCTATATTACAATGATATATATTTGCATTGACTTTTAATTTGCCAGTGACCTCATGCGGGCCAGTCAGGGTCAGCCATCAGGCCGGATGTGGCCCGCAGCCGTACAGTGCCCAGGTCTGTTTTAGAGGAATGGCCTGTGGCAATTAGACATTGTCTCTAGGTGATAGGTAGTTCATAATTTCAGGCCTGAGTTCAGAGACAGTACTCTGATCTCAGAACTAGCAGTCAGAATTCTGTTTCCTTCCGCAGCCAATAACTGCAGTGGCTACACTCTTGTGATCAGGAACTTGTCCTGATAGAGCAGGAAAAAGTTGTGTCAGGGGAGGCTGAAGCAGCCATAAATGAGATATCCTGAAGCTGCTCTAGCCCCATTTCCTCTCCCTCTGAAATGTCCTGCATTGGATGCCTGGAAGGAACCAAGTTAGCAGGTTTATGGGCATTCCAGTAGGATTTTTGAGCTGTAAGGAGTATGAAATGTGATTTTTGAGCTGTAAGGAGTATGAAATCTTGCATATGTTTCAGTTCCTCCCTGAATTTCCATTTTCTTCTCAACTCCTCCCATTGCTTTTGCTAAGGAAAATTGTACATTTTTACTAGGCTATACTTTGTTCAAAGGTTTTAATCTAAGATCAGTGTGTATAGGACTGCATCCTTTAAAGGCTTTTAGCCCTTTTGTAAAGTGGAAGAAAAGAGAAAAATAATCAGTTGAATGTTATTTCTTCCATTTAACCTTGGAAACATTTCAAATCTATATATACATTTTTCTTTCTTTTCTCAGTTACAGGATTTCAGTTATGGGGATCTGTCCTTGCAACAGGAATAGTCTGTACATTCTACTGTACGTTGGTATGTTTACAGCTTGTTATAATATGCATGTGTTCAATTAACAATTTAAAAGTTATCAGTGAGGAAATGTAATCATTTATTGTAGGTTGTTGTTGTTCGTCACGAAGTCGTGTCCAACCCATCGCGACCCCATGGACAACATTCCTCCAGGCCTTCCTGTCCTCCACCATCCCCCGGAGTCCACTCAAGCTCACACCAACTGCTTCAGTGACTTCATCTAACCACCTCATTCTCTGCCGTCCCCTTCTTCTTTTGCCATCTATTGTTCCCAGCATTAGAGTCTTCTCCATGGAGTCCTTCCTTCTCATTAGGTAGCCAAAGTATTTGAGTTTCGTCTTCAGGATCGGGCCTTCTAAAGAGCAGTCAGGGTTGATCTCTAGGACTGATCAGTTTGATCACCTTGCAGTCTAAGGGACTCGCAGGAGTCTCGTCCAGCACCACGATTCAGAGGCCTCAATTCTTCGGCGCTCAGCCTTCCTTATGGTCCAAATTTCACAGCCATGCATTGCAACTGGGAAAACCATAGCCTTGACTTTACGCACTTTTGTTGGCAGGGTGATGTCTCTGCTTTTTAGTATGCTATCTAGATTTGCCATAGCTTTCCTCCCCAGCAGCAAGCGTCTTTTAATTACTTGGCTGCAGTCCCCGTCTGCGGTGATCTTGGAGCCCAGGAAAATAAAATCTGTCACTACCTCCATTTCCTTTCCCATCCAGTGTGATTGCTTTGCTTTCAGAAATGAACCTGGAATGTAATCTAGATTGTTTCACCTTCATATGGTTTGGTTTAAATGAAAGAAGAACTGCAATAGCTGAGCTTATCTACTGTTAAGTTTTCTTACTGTAATTCAAATGAAAGTTAATTTTACTTTCTTTTAACTTTCTTTTTTGAAGACAAATTCATATGTATATGATCCATGACAATTCTTTTATTATTAGATGTACGACTGGGGCAGAATCCAACATAGCACATATGCCTCCACCCTTGTGCCCCACTTACTCTATTGCCCAAGTCTGGTTCCACCTATTACACTGTACAAGTGGAACCCACTGCTTGCAAAACAAAGATTTGTGGATTCCTAGTGGAAGTCCTGAAATGAGCAAAAACACTCATTTCTCTATTGGAATGCATTGGTGTAGCCCCCTCATGAGGCTCCACTGATCTGACCCAGTGCAGAAGCAAGTGTTTTCAGTCATTTTAGGTTGCCATTCTATGAATGGTGGAGACTGCTTGTGGATGGGAATTAGTGAAGGTGTAAGCATTCTGTTGAACTTCCCCATTGCTTGAGGGAAGGCACAGGAACAGCTATTATATAGAAATAGAATCAAATGCATGTGATTAAATTGTGTGCATATTTATATAGGTGGAATGGATCTTTTACTGTACTCTGTATCTGTTTTTTCCAAGTAGGGTGGCCTAAAGGCAGTAGTCTGGACAGATGTTTTCCAGTTTGTACTGATGATAAGTGGGTTTATAGCTGTGATTGCACGAACTGTGGTAATTAAAGGAGGATTTGGTCCTATTATAGATGATGCTCGCCATGGAGGGAGACTACATATGTGGGAGTAAGTGTCTTTTTACTTCAGAAGCAGTATCTTAAAGGTTTTGAAAAATTTGAGTTTCAGAGGAAGATACTTCTTTGATAAAACCTGTTTAAGTCTGTCTCTACATGTTTAGAACAGCAAATTAATAATTAAGCAAATATACATTTAATATCAGTTCGCTGGATCCATTCTTAAAGAAAAACAGCATATAGTGTGCCTAAAAACAAATGAGTCTGAGTTCTAACAACACTATTTCTGTGGATTGTATGCAATTAAAAATCCATGGAATAAAAGAGTTTTCTTTTTCTTGTCAATATTTGTATAGGTAGTTTATAGTTTTTCATAAAGTAAACATGAAATTTGCAACTATTTTTAAACACTAGTATTCACTCTGTTGTATCTGTAGGTTGTTCTGTCCTCTGGATGACATTTTTTCTTGTTAACAGATAGTATTATTATATTATATTTATACCCCACCTTTCCTCTTTTTGCAAGGAACCAATGCAGATACAGTTCTCTAATAATAATGACACCCAGGAGGAAGAGCTTTTACCTTGTGCAGGCTGTCTGCCTCAGTGACAGAAGATAAGGTTATTTGAGGCTCCTCTTAAAGGCAGACTCAAGTGACCTGTCCAAGTTTAAAAATGTCTTTCCTCTTAACAAGTTAGCTAGTTGAGTTAGGGAGGGGAGTTTCCACTATGCACTGCCTCTGAGCATGAGTAGCTTTTTCTTCTCCCTGAAGCCAGCTTCAGGTGCAGGAAGGAAGTACTCCTCCCACCTCTCTGCAGGAACATTAGCAGTAATTCCAGTGTACCAAGGAACTGTACAGCAACCTAATTCTTTGCTGCTGTCACCACATCTGGTTTATTGTTTTATTGGTTGTTGTTTTATTGGTTATATTGTGTTTATTTCCTCCTGTTCTATTTATATGGTTGTATTTATATTGTATTTTAATCCTATTATGTTTTATGGTTTTGGTTGTTATTGTTATTTATTTTATTTGTATTTTTATATTGCTCTGTGAGCTGCCCAGAGAGCTTCTGGCTATGGGGCAGCATACAGATGCAACAAACAAACAAACAAACATCAAGATGTGGTATGGTTAGCCCAGTGAGCTTTCAGTGCAGGCAATATGTTGACAAGTGCAAATAGGTTCTGTAGAAGAACTTAAAGAATTATTCATTCAGGTTTCTACTAAGATTCCTACGTTTAATTTTCTTGTATTATTTGATCAAGTAGTCAGGGAAGAATGGAGCAATCTGGCCACACAGAGTCCACTAAATCTAGTTCAAAAGTTTTACACTATTAAAATGCTGCATTACATTAAGAGAAAAAAGTCCAGTTAGTAACTGTTGTTGTGCTAGCACTGATTTTTGAGATATATTTACTTGATGCCAACACTACCCTGCTTTCTTACCTTAGCAATAGGCACACTGAAGCTGTCTGAGCGTTTGAGTGCCTCAGTTAATTGGGCACTTAATTTTCTGCTTGCCAGGGCAGTGGCCCTATGGATTAATAACTTCTACTAAATCTAATCTATGATGCATGGACTATAGAAATTCTCACTAGGGCCTCTCGCTTCTATATCTGTTGTCATCATGAGTGCCTGTTTCAGAACATAGCATGTTAGTCTTTTTTCTAGACCCTCATGATATTTTCAGATATTAAGCAGGTTGGGAATTGATCTTGGTGGGGTGTGTTGGAAAGAAATGTTAAAAATTATTTGATATATTTTGTCTCTTTCACTTAGCCTTAATCCAAGCCCTCTACAAAGGCATACAGTCTGGACAGTCATTATTGGTGGCACTTTCACTTGGCTTGGTATATATGGAGTAAATCAGTCTCAAGTTCAGCGATACCTTGCTTGCAAATCACTACTTCATGCAAAACTGTAAGTCTACCTTTTGTAAATTGATGCAAAATTGTAAGTCCACTCTTATTTCCAGTCCAGAAATTCTCATATGAAACAGTTGATGTGTATTTGAGCTACAGGTGCTAAATATCTGTATTTGTTCCCTGTTGGGAATGAAATGGACAGTTATTCTTGGTGGACGTTACAAGGTCAGGCAGATGTAGACTTGTCAAGTGAGAAAGGGTCTTGACCATAATTCTCAGATATTGAAATGGAAGTAGTGGAGGGGCTTATCTCAAGGGCACCCTCCCAAGCTGTTCAGGTGGATGCTGAAAATAGATTTACAGATTCAAGGAAGGCATGTGGGAGAAGAATTCCTATGGCCAGCTAAACCTGGCACACTCTTGACCCCATGATGTGACATTAGAAGAAATGCGCTGATCAACTAGAGGGCTGTCGGACAAAGAAGAGGCTTGCCCTCCTCCAAAAAGAACATACCAGAGAATGGGGCTCCTTTTCTTTGTCCCAGCAGTGTAACCCAGAGGCAGACTGCCTTGGCCCATAAAGGCTTCACCAGTGGTCTACAACTTCCTTCTTCTGCTCCACACTTCCTCCTTGCAAGATCTGTGTGGTTGTACTGTGAACCATCTGTTGTTCCCCCCTTTGGGCAGCAGTTATCATGCAGGAGAAGTTAGTATCTGATACAGAGAGATTGGGTTGAGCCCCATAGCACTCAGCTCTTACATTCTCCCCTGAAGCATTTCTTTCCATAGAGATAGTATATTATTGAATCTCAAAAGTTTGGTCTTACTTGAATTTACATCTTTAACATAGAATTCTGGTTCTTGTTTCATGACCCAAGTTGCTGTCCTGCAATGACTTACTTGGGAATAAGCTCCATTGAATCAGTGGGGATTACTTTTGAGAAGTCATGTAAAGGATTGATCTGTAAGGACTATCTGGTATGAACCTTTGGGTATATAGTAACTTCTTGAAAATTTTGCATTTGTTGGCTTCCTACCTATTTCCCAGGCATCATCTGTAGCTGTTCCATCTTTTGTCATTTTACAATGTTAGTGCTCCTTTCACTGATCATCCGCTTGAGCAAATGGTTACATACTACAGGCCATAGCTCTATACAATTGGCTGAGCACAAATGGGAACAAATGCTTATAAGATTTATCAAATAGTCATGTTACTTGGTCATGGAGATTGTATTCCTTTTAGAAGTGATTCCTTAATTGTATTCCAATCTTCATGACCACCCATACCTGAAAATATTCTTAATAGGAACTATAGAATGGAGGTAACTTTATGTTGCTTTTTAGGCAAAGGTGTTGGTGTGTTCATATTTACCAGATTTCTGTATGTATTTGTTGCCTAGTGTACAAAGAATACAATGTGAGGCCTTAACATATAACATGGCAATATGAGTCAGCTTTCATGTAATATCAGAAAGAACAACGCTTCTTTAACTTTCTTTACAGCTCTCTTTATATGAATCTTGTGGGACTTTGGATAACTCTTTCTTCTGCAGTGATGTGTGGACTCTCAATGTATTCTGTGTACAAGAACTGTGACCCATGGACATCCAAATATGTGTTGGCACCAGATCAGGTTTAGCATTAATTATAGAGGAATCTGTATTTGACCTACAATTTTTTCATGTTACATGTAATATTTCATTTTCAGTAGGTATTTTTATAATTATAAATATTATAATGTTCATTTTATAATTAACACATTTTGATAGGAGCAAAGACATTATTTAATATGAAATAAAGGAAAGATATAAAAGTAGAAAAGAAGAAATGATCTCATTTATCATTTCCATTTTAGCCTCACAATAGTAAGTCTGTGAGGTAAGTTAAGCTGAGAATCAGTGACTGGCTCAAGAACCTGATCTTCTGAGTCCCAGTCTGAAACTAACTGCTCTACCACATTGGCTTAATGTTTAGTCTTTTCTGAGAAATTTATCTGATGCAGTGTAGCAGCCACGGTTAACAAAAACAGTTTCTCCTGTTTGCTAAAACCAGTTAAACATGTTAAACATGACATCATTTTCAGTATCTTCTGGAGGACCACATCTCTTCCCTCTTCTCCTGAGTTCCATTGAGAGATGTATCAAATTACCATGAACCCATAGATCTGATCTGCAACTTGGAGTCTGAGAATCAAGAGTGTCCTGTGGCACCCCCATTGATGTCTCAGGGTTCACAGAAGCCATCAGAAACTAGACCTGTGGGCAGAGCAAATAACCATCACCCTATTCTATCATAGAAATTTTTAGTTAATCATTTTAACATGTAGAAACTAGAACATATATTTCAATTTTTATTTAAATATATAAAAATGAATTTGATTTTGATGAATACATTTTTCAGTGGCAATGGAATTCTTTACATGCATAATCAGAAATTCAAAAGACTGTGGCTTTACCCTGATTTTTATGAGCTATGTAGGAAATTTTTTTAAAATATATAAATATACAAAGAACACAGTTGGATTTACAAATAGATCTCAGAGAGCAGAAGACTCTTCCATCCTTCTGGTATTAGTTTTGGATATGATGATTGCTATGGTACGCATAAACACTTCACTTCTAACTGTTTGAAGTTAGTCTTTTCAAATGAAGGATATGTTTTTAAAGGATAAAGCAAAATAAAAAAATTCTCAATTATGTGTTTTCTTTAGCTCATGCCATATTTGGTACTAGATATTTTGGGAGATTTTCCAGGAATTCCAGGACTTTTTGTGGCTGGGACCTACAGTGGGACATTAAGGTAAGTTTGAATCCTAGTGTGTTGGTCTAGATTCTGAAATGTAACTATGTGCATCCAGTCCATCTTCTGTTTTGCATGGCAGAGAAACCAAATCCCTGCTCTTTATAGCTAATATTTATTTTTTTAAAATAATGCAACATCAAATCATGCATTGACTTAGTTCATATACCTTTCTATTGTTTGTTGACATAGCTTTCCGTAATTCATGTATAGGTTATCTAATTTATTGTAATTATATTATGCCACTAAAAGAAGTAGGGAATAAAATTGGGAGTATCCAGTACTGAGTGTCTTCTGCTGTTTCTCAACAGCTGGGTTTACACAACATAGTATCTCACAGTCAGGGTTGAGTATGGGATGAGTGGGTTGACACTTAACTGTAGAGTGAAACCTTGAAATCAAGAGTACTACTCCCAGACCCCACTACACAGAGCTGCAACTTCACTGGCATGACTATGGTCTTGTGAAAAAAAACCTATTCACAAACATACCCCAGAGACCTCAGATAATAGCAAATTATTTAACTCTTTCAAAGTACACAGGCACTTGGAACAGAAATCTTAAATGTAACATCTCAAAATCATGAACCAAAAACATAGAAGATGTTTTTGTTAAGGGGAACTTTAGCTATAAGACACTATCACTCAGGGAAGTGTCTTCCCCATTCATTGCCACTTGTTTAGGATTGCTAATACAGATGGCCAATTTATCAAATAGTACATTAACCACTTGATAACATGCCCAGCCTTCAGTACATGTTAGAATCCATGGCAGGGGAAAAACCCCTTCTGGTTTTGTTTGGTACAAACAAGGAAATTTGTGGTGAAAAACTTGGTTATCTGCATTAGGCCATTATGTCTGTTGCTGCTCACATCAGCTTTGTTTCCCCCATTGCCTCAGTGTTTAAATATTTTGAAGTCTTAGTCAATATGGATAATTCAGAATATTTTAATTTTGTATTTCTTAGCACAGTCTCCTCCAGCATTAATGCATTAGCTGCTGTAACTGTAGAAGATTTTATTAAACCTAATTTTGAAGTTACTGAATCAAGATTGTCATGGATTTCCATGGGAATGAGTAAGTTTGTATGTGATACTTTCTATGTTTAAAGAAAAGTTCTGCACCTAGGAAAAATAAACCAAATGCATCGTTACAAGATGGGGGATACTTGGCTCAAAAATACTGCAAGTGAGAAGGATCTTGAAATTGAGTCCTGTACTGATAAGGGGGTTGGACCCCAGGGCCCTCTGGCTCCTTTCAGCTCTACTATTCTATAATTCCAAAGAGAAGCCCAGCCATCTGTTACGACAGCACAAGCTACAGAAACTAACAGAAAGTCCTTGTTAACATTTGCTTTCTCCAACAGCAGAATCTGTTGGTCATGTAGTCCTGTCTCCATCCAGATATTAGAATTCTGAAATAAGATGTTTCTCTGACTAGAGACAGGGATTAGCCAGATGTCCAGGTTCAGACACAATTCTAAACACAGGGCCAGAGTGTTCTTGTTTTGTTTAGTTGCTTATTTATGCTTCCTTTTTCATAATCCACAAGTTAAAATCACTGTGAGTTGCTGTGATATGTGAAGTAGGGCATTATGAGCAGCCAAAGAAATAAGTATTAAGCTGTTCAATCACAATCATATAAACTCTGTATACATTTATCCATTTAGATCTATTGTTTGGTGCAGTATGCCTTTTCATGGCTGCAGTGGCATCTGTTATGGGTGCTTTATTACAGGTAAGTGCCTAATGACTATTCAGATCAGCCTAAAATGAGTTGTTTTGTGTATACTTCCAGAAAATAAATGTTAATACTCATTATGCTGGTGGCACTGCACAAGGCTCCTGCCAGTCTTGAGGTTACTGATGCTTCTATTACTGTGGCCAAATGAGGAGAGACCACAGCTGGCAATCCAGTTAAAGCTAGTAAAAGCCCTCTCAAGCCACTGCAGCCACTTGGGATGGCAGTGCCAGGTCTAGGAATAGCTTCAGACTACTGCTATCTTTATTACTGTATAACTTTATCTATGGAGTTTCAGTAGCATTTCAAATTAGAGAGCATAGATTCCATGTTGCTTCTCTTTCCTGAAGGCCTTCAGGTCAGATAATATTGAGATCACTCCTGGTTCTCCTAGCTGCCTCCCAATTGTGACTACCTTAGGTACAGAAAGAGAGCCAAAGGGATCATTTAGCCCTTGAGTGCAAAGGTCCTTAACCTTTTTGAGCACAGGGCATCTTTGGAAAGTGTCATGGAAACAGTCACAAAATGCTCGATATTGGGCCTAATTACAAAATTCATAGACAGCAAGCCAATTAATTTTCAGGCATTTCTTCTAAATAAACCATTTAAAAATTTTTAGATTCTTCCAACTTTATACTAGGTCCCGGTATTATAAAAGAGTTATTTCCCTCTATCCACTTTCTCTGTATCATGCATGATTATATAAAACATTATCATGTCCCTTTTTATTTGCCAATTTTCTACATGTTGTAGAACATTTTCTCCCCTGAAGTTGTATTATAGGGGAGTTACTCCTCCCCCTGATTATCTTGGTTGTCCCTTTCTCCATCCTATTTAGCTCTACAATATTTTGAACTGTAGCAACTAGAACTATCCACAGAATTCAATGCACAGTTGTAGCGCATATTTGTATAAACACATTACTATTTGAGCAGTATTATTTTGGTTCCTTTCCTGTTGATCCCTAGGATGATACTGTCCTTATTCAAGGCTCAATAAAAGTTTTCAGTGAATTATTTATCATTACTGAACAGACTTGGTTCTGCACAAGTGGGGAATATGCCTTAGTTTTGCACAGCAAAGCCTTCAAGCAAACTTACACAACTGTCAGAGTTAGACACATTGTGCCCATCCAATCTAAGTGAAGAGATGCTTGAACAAAGAGCTGTAAAAGAGCTATAAAAATTAAACCATGGTTTCTCCCTCTAATATCTATGAAGCCTGTCTTAGTTTGATGAAAGGAGCTACCCACTGCAAGATGCCCTCCATCCATTGGAGGGAATGAATATTTATGGTAAGTCCAATGATCTCTTTTTCTTCCTGCATTTACAATACTGTGTTATGGGTTTTTTTCTCCCACAGGCTGCACTCAGTGTATTTGGAATCATTGGTGGACCTCTTTTAGGAATATTTTCCTTGGGCATCCTTTTGCCTTTTGCAAATGCTAAAGTAAGTACTTATCATGCATCTTACTGTTGCTAAATGGACTGATTCAGTCCGCAGGTTACTTTCAACTAGATAGAAAGAAGTCTTGCCCTGTTTACTGCTGAATAGGCTTAAAATGGTAATAATCACATTGGTCTTGCCCATCTTGACTTTGACCCTGTTCACAGGTGGAATGTGGCCTCCCAAATCTTTCTCATTTAGCAAATTGGCCTTGGACTAAAAGAGCTTCCCACTCTTGATAAAAGAATTACTGACTTCTAGTGAAATGGAGATGAAAGCTGTAATATTGATTAATTTTCAATGGCACACTAGGCAAAACAAACATTGTATAAATTCCCTACTGGTTGGAGGGAATGGAATCCTCAGAATGAAAACCCTCTTTAGGTGCTATAAAATCATCTACTTCAGCTAGTAGATTCCACCCTGAATAGCTAAAAACGCAATCCTACTAGAATGCCTGTAAGCCCCTGAAGGTTTATGGACAGTCAATGCAAAATGGGGGGAATGGCAGGGGTGATCTTTGATTTCTCCAGTTCTGCATTTTCACTAGTTTGCTGTTTTTGGCTGTCTAGTAATGACATTGCAGAAAGAAAAAGAAGGAGACTGGAGTAACTTCAGGATTCCTCATATTCTGACCACCCGTCTCCTCCTCTCCCTGCCCCATGAACTGCCTCTTTCCTCCCACTCCCTGAAGTTGCTTTTCCAACCTCGGAGAACATCACCATGGTTCTTTCCATGTCACCTCTGAGCAAACAAGGAAGGGGAGCCATAGTTCCATCTACCAGATCTGCAGTCAGAGTGCAGTCTGTGAATTCAGAGTTGGGGATCCAGACTATCCTGTGGCCCCTTGACAATGTCTAGGGGCCATAGGATTGTTTCCTATATATGGTATTATTATGTTCTTTATACCACCTACACCAGTGGTGGCAAACCTATGGCATGCGTGCCACAGTGGACAAGCAGAGCCCTCTCTGTTAGCACACAAGCCAAGTCACCCCAGCATTTCCCCAGCAGCCATGCATCAGATAACAATGCACATAGGGGCCATGCACATGCTCTGAAAGGAGTAGTGGCACTAGGTGATGATGTCACTAGCCGCAACTCATTAGCTGCGACTCGTCTGAGCTTTTGCATGGCTGGTCAGTGCGCTGCCAAGGATATAACTACATTTGCTTGGACTGGCTGTGAGGTGTATTTTCTAAACTAAAACCTCAGTTTTCAGTTTTATTGCAGTCTTGTTCACCATCACTGACCTACACCAATGAAGGGTTTTGGGAGACTTGAAAGCTTGCAAAATTTTTGTGGCATTTTGATCAATCCTATTAAAAGCATTGCCAAACTGGATTTTGGAATTTTTCCCGTGTCATGAAGCAATGTTACTATCTTGTTTTTGAAATAACTTGGTAACCAGTATTCATTTCCTTTTGCAAATTAGAGGCAAAGGGCATTCTGTGTGTTAATGATTTGTCTCTTTTGTTACTGTTACCTTTACACTGAATATAACTTCCTGCTCTGCAGGGTGCATTTTCAGGTCTTCTTTGTGGATTTTTTTGTGTAATGTGGATTGGAATTGGTTCTCAGAAGTACCCTCCCCCTCCTCACAGAACATTACCATTACCTCTTTCAACTGAAGGTTGTTTAAGACCCAACGTCACTATACCTACAGAAGTCACTACTACTATGCTTCCTCCAAGGTATGCACACCAAAACAGTGATATGTTAAATATAGCTGAATAATTTGTTGTATTTTAAGAATTACATTACTATATACTTCTTTTTACATTGATATTTTAGTATGCTATTATTGGTTGCTTTGTACTTCTTTTTGGAAGGCATAATGCAAATATTAAGGGTGCTAGACATTGTTTAGAAAGCTATTGGAAAATTTATATTCTGAACTCTGGTCTTGGAGAAGTGTGCTAGTCAATTTGATTAGATTTAGTTACAAATTTTTTTTAATTGAGCAGTTTCTCTATACTACACATAATGTCTATATTTTGGTCTAAACATACTACTATATAGCCCAGGCTACACATCATCCCCCTTCATGGATCACTGCCTTGTCGTGGTGAAGGGGCTTGTGTAGCTCAATGAAGCTATGAGCTATGCTGTGCAGGGCCACTCAAGACAGGTCATAGCAGAATGCTCTGACAAAACGTGATTCACTGGAGAAGGAAATGGCAACCCACTCCAGTATCTTTGCCATGAAAACCCCATGGACACTACCAAAAGGCAAAAAGATATGACACCAGAAGGTGAGCCCCTCAGGTTGGAAGGTGTCCAATATGCTACTGGGGAAGAGCACAGGGCTAGTACTAGTAGCGCCAGAAAGAATGAAGCGACTGGGTCAAAACCGAAAGGACACTCAGTTGCAGATGTATCTGGTGATGAAAGGAGAGTCTGATGCTGTAAAGATCTATACTCCATAGGAACCTGGAATGTAAGATCCATGAATCAAGGCAAGCTGGATGTGGTCAAACAAGAGATGACAAGACTGAACATCGACATCTTAGGAATCAGTGAACTAAAATGGACAGGAATGGGTGAATTTAATTCAGATGACCATCAGGTATACTACTGTGGGCAAGAATCCCTCAGAAGAAATGGAGTAGCCTTCATAGTCAATAGAAGAGTAGGAAGAGCAGTACTGGGATACAATCTTCAAAATGACAGAATGATCTCAGTTCGAATCCAAGGCAAACCATTCAACATTACAGTAGTCCAAGTCTATGCCCCAACCACTGGTGCTGAAGAGACTGAAGTTGACTGGTTCTATGAAGGCCTACAACACCTTCTAGAATTAACACCAAAAAAGTGATAGCAATCACTCTTTTCCAACAACCCAAGAGACGACTCTACACATGGACATCACCAGACGGTCAGCACAAAAATCAGATTGACTATGTGCCAAAGATGAGAAGCTGTATAGTCAGTAAAAACAAGACCAGGAGCTGACTGTGGCTCAGATCATGAGCTTCTTGTTGCAAAATTTAGGCTTAAATTGAAGAAAGTAGGGAAAAGCACTAGGCCACTCATGTATGACCTAAATCATATTCATGATGAATATACAGTAGAGGTGACAAATAGATTTAAGGTATTAGATCTGATAGACAGAGCGCCTGAAGAACTATGGACGGAGGTTCGCAACATTGTACAAGAGGTAACAACTAAAATCATCCCAAAGAAAAAGAAATGCAAGAAAGCAAAATGGCTGTCTGAGGAAGCTTTACAAATATCTGAGGAAAGAAGGGAAGCGAAAGGCAAGGGAGAAAGAGAAAGATACACCAAATGAATTCAGAATTCCAGAGCAAAGCTAAAAGAGATAAGAATGCCTTCTTAAATAAACAGTTGTCCATGGGGTCTGAGGAATGTTGTCCATGGGGTCACGGTGGGTCCGACATGACTTCGCAACTAACAACAACAACAACAACAACAACATATCATCAGGAGAATCCCATCTTTCTACTCTGCTTATTTATTAATTTCTCTTTATAGTATTTAGAATTTTATATGCCCTGTAAGCATGGGTTGGAAGAGTTCTTCTAAAAACTCAGTTGTGGATCAGTTTCAAGATCCACAGTCAGTAGGTAGAGTTCAGAATCTGCCATTTTATTCATTTATTTAAACTGCCACATAACCAAATTTTTCTGGGTGATATAAAACTAAATTAAAAACAAAAGGGGCCTCCAACACTTTCAGGCCAATGGATATGTTCAAAATTTTCAGAAATTGTTACAGGCACAGTCAAAAGTGGCTACTGTGCACAAAACACCAATTTCACAGAGGTAAACTGAGAGAACATAAAATTATTAACAAGCCCAAGAACCTGAATTCAAAGCAGATGTGGGGCCTGAACCTCCTGTTCTATTTCAACAAAACACACATTTCACTAAAGGGAAGCCCTTTAGTGATTTCTCCAAATCATCTCTAAATAAATTGCATTAAATTCATTTACTTCCCCAAATTTTAATAGAACACATTTCCTCCAAGTCAGTTCCTATTCAATTAATATTTAACCACCTGTGTCAGCCAAGGTGCTCCCTACATTATGATCATTCTTGCACTTTCTCTCTCCTACCTCACATAAACAACCATATACAGGTGCACACCTGTATATGGTCATGATCCTATGCATATGCATGTCTGGGGACTGGTGTGTCAGGATCACCAATCCCCAGACATGCACTGACCCTGCTCTCATTAGTCCTTGGAGCAATTTTGGCGCAATCTTACTTCTGAGTAGAGAGTACTCTGTCCATTCTATTCTTCTCTCAGCCCCAGAACTGAAAGGAAGAAAAATGTTTTCAGATCCAAAGGGTAGAAAGGACTTTCTCTATCTTACCCCTTAGTTATCCCTCAGGCTTGATTGCTTCTTTCCTCTTGGTTGCCAACCTGTATTTCTGTACTGTTTCCTATGCATTCAGTGGAGAGCTTACCTGGGAAGGGGCTTGCAGGGAGACAGAAAGAGCAGGACAGGGTGCCAGAGGAGAAAGGAAGCCAAACAAAAACAAAAACAAAAACCCCAAAACAAAAACAAAACAGGCTGCAGGGGAACCAGAGAAGCTAGAGGCTGGGCCAGCAGAAGAAAAGTCCTTTCCAGGGGCCTTACGATGGCAGCTGTAATAATTTTAAGTTAGAATGTTTTTAAACTGGTTTGTGGGTATCATTAAAGTTTAATTTTAAGAAAATATAACCTTTTTTCCAGATCACCCATTCAAGACTACTGGTACTCATTGTCCTATTTGTACTTCAGCATGTTAGGAACCTTGATCACCTTTATTGTGGGATCAGTTATAAGCATACTAACAGGTAACTTTTCCTAGTGTTTACTTAAGTATAGCAAATCATGTCTAGAGTTCATCCTTAAATGTAAGTTTTCAATGAGCAGTTGCATCCATACTAAGTGATCTGTAAACAAATCATATCAGTCCTGTCCTGTACAGATAGCTGGTCCGGATCCAGGTACAGCTGTGAACAACTCATCACAACCAACAAGTAGCATATCCAGCTAGGCATGCTTATCTCCATTTACATCAAAAAATACATTCAACGCTTCAGCAGGTCCTGATGAGGCCTACAGTGGATAATTGGACTATTATTGGAGTGACTGGGATGATATTGCATAGTTCCCTTGTGCTGAAACTTCTAGCATGTTAAAGACTAGCAACATTATTGTAGAATTTGGCAGATTTTACATCTGCCAAACAACAAATAACCTGTTCATATTACATGACAGATCAATGAGTAGTTACAGAGCAATCTTTGAATCTCATCTGTGGATTCTGGCCCTGATGAAATGCTAGGAGAATGCCTTTCCAAAGGAGAATAAGCACAGAGTTATACATTTAAAAATTGCATAATGAATTGTTAATGAATTGCATTGTCTGAGATCATACTGTTAATCAAACTGTTTTCTAGGAGGATTAAACCAAGAGGTGGACCGCAGACTTCTGTTTGGCAAAGAGGACTTTATGGACAACTTTATGAAATTAAAAGCCAAGTGTGTAAGTATAGTTTTATAAGTCCACTTCAGGTGTCTTTGCTCAAGAAAATCTTGGCCGCTCATCTGAATATCCTGTATGTATTTCTAGAGCCTTTTGTTTCTTTAAACTCTGTACATAAACTCGGATTCTGTGCAAGAAGTATGCATGAGCTAATAAAACATACTAATTTGTGTTCAGAGTTGATCACTTGTTAATTTAGCAACCCTCTCCTTTGCACAACACAGATGATGGCAGTGAATGGGTAGGCATAATCCAACAAGAACCATAATGTGCAGCTGTAAGTGCTGTGTGCAGTTTTTGTATGCGCCACTATACTTTTTTTGCATGTATAAGATCTAATCTAGAATGTTATCCAGGCAAAGCTGTTTCCATGTGCAGATCACACTACTGGATCAGAGCAAGACTATACATTTTGCCAAATTCCAGCACAGCTTTTCCATATATTTCAGTCAACTTACCTTCACATTGACAAAGGGAACACAAATAAGCCCATTTGATGCTTCATTTTCTTATACTTACGAAATTATGTTTACAGACAATGCTGTATGAAACGGATCATCCAACACAGAAAGTGGAACCTGAATAAGGCTAGTGGAATAGTGATCTATGTTCATTACTGTGAAGATACTTACTTCAGAGGATGACATAGCGTAGCATATCGAGAAAAACAACAACCTCAAAAGAACAGCACTGAATGCAGTGGTATATTTAATATAGCATGTTTGATTTTATGAACTGATAGTAAAAATGGGTCTTTTTCAATAAATTAATTTTGAAACAGTAACAAGTTGGGAAACAGGACTAGAAGCAGATTTGAGAAAGCTATCTTCTATTTCTGTTTTTTGTAAACTAAAGTGTCTGGTAAAACAACACTCTAATAAAAAATTACTGTTACTACAAATTAAAACTAAACATTGGGTGTATTTATACTGATACTCCCCACTTAAAAAAGAATCTTGTTTGTTGACATTTTTGTATAAAAGAAGTTCTGTGAATGCTTTACATATTTTAAATGTTGTATATAAATGTTGTATAATTTACATATTTTAAATGTTGTTGAATATAAGACAGCATAATCCAGTTTGTAGTTAACAAACTTAAATTTGTTCTTCTGTGCAACTGTCAGCTTTGTGTAGCTCTTCTGTTCTTCATATCCTTTACAAAATAAACCATTATAAAAATAATTTACAATCCCTAACACACAAGAAATTTTTGTAATTTAAAGCCGCAGTACGCATGACATAGCAGACTTAACTTTTTAAAAATGAAAATCGGATGCAAGAGGTTGCAAATTTGATCAGAGGAAGTGTGTGCTGTGGGTTGAAGTGTGTCTTCATCCTTTCTAGTACTGCTTATTCTGCTTGGAATCACTGTACTGTACTGTTTTCAAGGCATATGTGAAAAAGGAAGTTTGTATGGAAAGATGAACTGAAAACTAGTGGAAGGAAAATAGCCACTACAACCAGCTATTGTTTTGATGAAATTCTAATGAAAACAACAAAGATAGTAATCAATATAGTTTTCGTCTGGACAAAAGATTTCAACTCTTAATAATCTTTAAGAGGAAAAATACCTTTGCATGTTTATAAAGAAAAAATTCCTACAACTCCCAGAATACCCCAGCCCGACATTCTGTAGGAGTTGTAGGACTTTCCAAATATGCATAAATATGGCATCCTTACAGATCTCTTTCTAAACTAGCTATTTGCCTCCATGTTTTTAAAATTAACTTCACTCCATTTACAAAATTTATTAAGGCATGCCTAGGACACCCTAGGATACAATGCAGCTGGCTTTGTATCATATGCAAATATGTCCCATGGGAAGCCACTGAGGGTGAATATCCCTGTGGCTCACCTTAATTTGTCATTATGTGTGAACCTGTGAGGCTGGAGTGGTTGACAGGCCACCATGAGTGGCTGATATTGATCTCAATTCCCAACCAGGCTTATATTGGAAACAAGTGGTCCTTAAGATCACCTGGTCTAAGTCAGGCAATAAACTTTTTAAAGTAGCAATAGTTTGTCACAGTAAATTCCCAATATCATTTCATATTCTTTTGTAAAATAACTTAAGACCTAAAAGCAAGAATGTGAATCATTATTTATTTTAAAGTTTATCGTGTCACATTATAGAAGTGCTAAACATGGCTTTATGCTGATGATATTTTTAAAGTGAAAATTTGACATTCTTCACCATAGTTTTAATTATTTACTATTTACAAATAAACAATCTATATACTTTATATTTTACATATGTATGATATATAACATCTCCCCAAATAACAAAAAATCCCAATATGTAAACAGTTTGTCTGGTGTACATTGTAACTTGGTAGGAGATGCTTTTATAATAGTCATTAGTAACATACCCAGAATTTTTTGTATATTTGAACAGTTGAAAAAGTGACATGGAACCTAATGTAAGTAGGTAGCCAACAGGCTGAAAAGCAGTTCATGATAAATAAGTTTCTTAGTTTTAAAAACTGGAGTTGCATGCTCGTTTTTTTCTAGAATGCTGTATGAATAGCAATCAAATGGAGATTGTAAATGATATCACAGTAGTAAAATCCTTGAAACATTCTGCCTTGCTTGCTGTGTCAAATGGTGGCATGCACTAAGGTTGCATCTTTTTTCATTTTCTTGAAGGTAGTGTTCTTGTGGAACTGGAGTAAGGAAACAGAATATAGGACTGCTACCTGCAGATATAAACAATGGCAAAATATAGTGTCCAATCAGGGAAAGCACATATAAGAGGAAGAACCAATCATGCAATTAGCATCATGTTTAATTTGGGCCCAAGTCATGGAAAATGAGTAATACATGGTCAGCCAACTTAACACCAGCAACTTTTGTTTTATGCAAAGAAATACAGAACAATATACATAAAGCAATTTCAAATACATAGCTGCATTGTAAGCAATGTTTCAGTTGTGTTGCTAATATTCAGTTGCATTGCTAATGAATATTGTATATTCATATAATATATTATATATTGTATAACATAATGAATATTATACTGTTGTTCTCCTACACTGAAATATAATAAGTTCCAAAATGCCAACAACAACAACAACAAAGGAAACCATGTTGGTCCATTAGAGAAAATCTTAAAGCCATCAAATTGTTCCTAATAAAGGTAAAGGCACTGTTGTGGCTTTTGTTACCTAATTTTTGTAAAAGCATTTTAAGAAAAACTTAACTTCTTTGTCTATTTGGAAGGTAGGGTTAGAAATGAGAAAAAGTCCAGGTCAAAGTGATACTTAAAGGATTGCAGGATAGGCATGCCATGGCAGTGCTGTCACTGCTGCATACATTTCTTAGGGCTCAATTGCATGAGCTATACATTTAGCCTTAATTGTCCTATTTCACACTTCGACCTCTGCAATTAAACAGGGCTGAGGATGATGAGAATTGTAGTCTGGAAGGCACCAGGCTGAGGAACTACAACTGTATCCTAGTGCATATATGTTAGTGAATAAATACATTTTTTTAATTTTGTAACCTAGTGGATGACTGAAACCATTAGATTTAGCCTTGGTGTTTTCTCTTAGCTGAGGGCATATGTCCACACTAAACTGCAGATGGGTTAGATTCAACTGGACATGGTGCTGTCTAGTTTAAAGAAGTTTCTACTTTCTGTCCCAACCTTCCTGAGATAAGAAGCCCATGCAAACCTCTTGGCTTTATCCACCAGTCTCACCTGGATGCAAAGCAGAGTTTGAATAGTTTGCACGTGGAATAAAGGGAGAGCTAAACATGGTTCCTAAACCAGGAATGGACAGGTCCACACAACAATTGAAGCAACACTTGACTTTTGTGGGATATAGTACACTACTGAGACTTTTGAAATTGCAAACATGCTGAATGTGAAAAATATGCAAACTACTGACTTCTGTTGTGCTCAGTGCCACCACAAAATAATTAACTTGTGCAAATTCCCCAACTCATTTGGGCAATTTGGATTACTATCGAACTGATATATCATTTAGCAAGGCTCACCCATTTTAGCTATGGCCACTCATTATGATAAGATTTTCCATTTTTCTTCCTCTCTTTCCGTTCTTTCTGAAGACGTTCCAGTTCTGCTTCATACATCATTTCCTGGATCAGATATTTTTCTCTTCTCATACGATCCCTCAGATCCTTGGGAAGGTCTGGGATTAAATAGGAAATCAAGTGTTTTATGGAAAACACGAGGTGCTGCAAAAAAGTTTTTAAAATGGGTGAAATAAGCATCAAACTTCAGCACTTAAATAACAATACAGTCTTTGCAATTGTTTCTGTGCACACGTTCTGATTTTGTCCTGTTTTGTTTGAACATCCTTGTAACAGCTATACATTTTAAGAGATCAAGGGCAACTCTCCCTAATCCGAATGACATTCATTATCTATCCCAGCCAAGAATGACTTTCCAATGAATGGTAATCACTGGACAGTTTTGCTAATCAGTATCTACTCATTTTACTTAAGAAATCATAAACATATTTTAAGGGCACCTGGTCATAGTCCAGGTGAATTTAATCACTTTTAAGTTCCATTTATTTAAAACATTTCTATGCCCCCCATTCGCAAAGAGCCTCGGGGCAGCTTACAAAAGAAACTATTCTCACAATTAACTATACTCACATTGATCCTTATCACTAATATGCCTAACTTTGGTGGAATGACTCCTTATTCTGTCATCAGAACATAGGCAGCTGTCTTATACTGAACCAGTCCATGAGTCTATCTAGCCCAGTTTTATTGACTAGCAGCAGTTCTCCAGGATTTGGGGCAGGAGTTTTTCCAGCCCTGCCTGGAGATGCCAAGAATTGAACCTGGGCCTTCTGCATTCTGAACATGGATTCTGTAATGGAGTCACACCTCCCATTTGTCAGAGAATATTGCAACTAATCGTATGGAATGATACAGGAATATTAAATTTGCCTAGTGGTATTTTTGTTATGTTGAAAATGTCAAGCTAGTAAACTATATCTTAACATTACAAGATAGTTCTAGAATATTAACATACAAAATTTCTTAGAATTGCAAACTTAACATCCCTGCTTCACACCATTCTAACTTAACCTTGGCTATCAAAGCCATTTTAAAGAGATGGACCATATTGCCCTCTCAGAAAGTAGCCAAGGAATGAAGAATTCCACAAACAAAGGCTCTGCAAATAAAGCATTTGATTATATGCAACACAACAGCACAAGAAGGTAGTAATTACTAACAACTCTTTTATGTCATATACAACCATAACCCTGATCTAAAAGAAAAAATACTGAATTATTGTGGATGAGGCAGTGTTCTCTTGACACTAAACAAATGACAGGCCTTCCATAATAGGCTAGCATCATGCACTAAGAACCAAAATTGTGCCTTGTCTCTTCCAGCAAGCTAGAGAAAGAAGCCCAGAATGCTGCCTTGTGAGAGTGAGATAAGTGCCAGACTTGGGTCCAGGCCTGTGACCTTGTGCAAAACTCATGATGCAACACAATGCAGGATGAGTTTCCCTGGTACCAGTAAGAATTTTAAAAATGATTATTAATAATCAATTGTCTTTTATTATCTATCTATTAAAAAAAACCAATGAGTATAA